GTATGTTCCACGTGACCACGGTCAGTAACAGCACTGGTGAAGCTGTGGTCCAGTACTTCAGCGGTCAGACGGATGCGCCCCCCGATTCCTGTGGGTCTTTTCAAATAACGGAAGGCGAGAACTCTAAGTCGGTCATGGAGTGTAAGAGGTGGAGTTATAAGGGAAAATGTGGATATGCAGCTTATGTGAAAGAGAGGCTGTACAAATATGCTGCATATGTTCCATCCGAGTATCATTGGCATCTGTTAGAAGGATACTGGTACTGCGACGACTGGTACCATGACTTCCTTTCGCCAGGAGATTTTTGGAAAATCTATGTGCGCTAAGTAAAACAAAAGATCAGGACAATTTTTAGTCGAGTGTCGACCCAGTGTGGAATTACAATACTTCACTTTGTGAAATTTCTTTTAAAAAATATATTATTTTGTCCCCAGGTGCCATAAATTAGCTCGATTATTTGCGATTTTTTCGTCTTGAGGCAGAATCAGATCCAGTACACTGGTTCTGATTGGTTGTTTTGATACACTTCGTTTTGAAGTAAAGACACTCGATTCAAAATGGTTCCAACACAAACAACAGTTTTTAGAAAGTAATATCTTTGAATAGCACTGCTCAAGCTGTGATCCAGTACTTTAACGGCCAGAAGGATGAGCTTCCCGATTGATGTGGGTCTTTTCAAAGAATGAAAGGCGACAACTCTGGGTTGGACATGGAGTGTAAAATAAAGAGATCTGTGTGTCATTGGGGAAATGACAGACTCAAAGTAGTCTGTGGTAGTGTACCTGCATTTGTTCCCAGAAAGCATTATTGACGTAGTCTCAGTAGGAGACTTTTGGGAAAAAAACCCTGTGCGCTAAATAATTAGTTAATAAAAACATTAGAGCAATTTTCAATTAAGCATTGACGCATTGTGGAATTGCATGCTTTTTCTTTTTGAAAGGTCGGAAAAAAGTCGCATCATATTCTCAATCATCACTAAGACCTGAAATATTTATCTTGGTCACTTGCACTTGTGATTTACCGCCTTGAGGTCATTTTTATGCATTTATTATGAGTTCTTATTGGCTCCTTGGGATATTTATCTTGGTTCTGGTTGGCCGTTTTGATAACCTTGGTTTTGGTTTATGTTACTCGTTCATTCTAAAAATAAAAACCTTCCTTTCACTCATTTAAGTCGTTTCGATGAATATCCGTAACTTCAAAGGATAAGCAAGCGAGACAAACCGTTCTCTCCCCTTACCAAAAAAATGTTAAACAAATTCAAACTAGTCAAACTACTAAAAGGAGCGAAAGGTGATGATGAGAAAAGGATGAAAGAATTTGCAAGAATTGTATGTATCCTATTATACATCGGGATTAAATTGTGTTATTCAAAAGATAAGTTGTGCCTCTTTATCGTCGAGTTTTTGAGGCATTAACCACCAGGTGATCGCTAGTGTAGGATAGAAAACCAGGGCCTGCACTTCAAGTCTGGCATCTTTGAAGGGTTTGCTCGTTGGAGACTGTTATTTGGGCCCTTATACGATGTACTTATTTCATATGAAATAAAAGGTTAAAAGATCCCTCCTAAGATCCCTCCTGTTTTTAAGAGAATGTCTTGACTACAGTCAATAGAGAAGCTGTAACTAATGAATGAACCAAACTTCCCCTCCATCGACTTTTGTTAAGTCCATTGTGAGATCCTAGGTGGTTCGTATAGAAGCAATGCCAAACAGATTATGTTAAACGACCGAGCTTGAAAATTTTCAGAACTGCATAAAGTTTTAGGGAGCGCTAAGTCACGGCTAGAGCGATTGTCAAAGATGTGAGAGCCTGGTACCTGGCCGGATAGCTTTTCAATGTTAGCCGTTCAGAGATCATGACGTGTTATCATTTGTTATATTGTAATCGATAATATGACTCAAAATAAAACCTCTTCATAATGGCAATTTAGGCCACCCCGTATCAATATGAGGGTTTATGAAAGCAGTTATCAATTATAAACAAGTTTTCTTTCGCAGACAACGAGCGACTATAACCCAAGTTGTTCACTGTGAAAATTGTCAAATACTCGCAAACAATTCACATAACAGAGACACCATGCAAAGTTTGTCTTTGTGACTCTTAATGTATTCTTGACCGCTCGATTCGTTGTGGTGAACAGACACTTTTTGGAAACTAATTAAAATGGATAAATCAGCTGTCAATAATAAATGAACTAAACTTTCTCCCTGCGGCAACCTTTTTATATCCATTGTGAGGATGTGGGCAGAAACAAACCAACTCGCCAACGATTCGCACAGACGCACTACCAAATAGGTTATAATTCTAGTCGGATGACCTTGAAAACTCTCACGAATTTGTAATAATATTTTCTCGGCAACTGTTTTATAGCTAAACACTACACGCCATAGTCCAAAAAAGTTAGATTCAACAATTTTTATGTGATCTTACTTTGTTTTAGCCAAGCCTATACATACCAACGTACGAAAAATACCGAAAAATGAAATTAAAAAAAGGACCTAATGAATTAGAAGAAATTGTATAAAACGTATACAACAGGACAACTTCGAATAAAGACTGTATTCCAGAATAACAATATACAAGACAGCTTTCACGCATTCCTTTTCATTTTCCTTTTTAGAGTTTTTCATCAAGAGTTCAAAGTTCAATTCGTGGGGGGTAAGAAACATACAAAAATCCACGTGACACTCTCGGTCCAGTTTTCAACAGAAATTGACCTGCTTTGAGTTGCTTTCTTTGGCTTTTGTAGTTCTTCTTAATTTTGTCTGACAGTTTTGTTTTTAATCCTTGTGGAGAATGATGATAACAGCGGTTCATAATAGTCCTGAAGGATTCTGTATTATTTTTCCAACGGCGGAGAAGTGGTGACTACTGAATCATTTAATTTATGATCCAAGGATTGTCGTGTAGTAAAATTACTACATGCGAGAAAAGAAAAAAATAACCCGGGTGATTTATTTGCTGCTGAGTGGTTTTAGCAGCTATTATCAACAAATAGCCTCGAATTGGTATTCAATGTTATTCTTAGGTGGACTAGCTCTTTGGAAGCAGCCGCTTAGAGCAAATGACCTGAAGCTCGTTGAATGCTTTGCAAGTGAGCAAAAAAATATTGTAGAGACAGCCAAGCGGGACAAACATCAAGTACCTAAGCAGACTAGATATCTCTGAAGAATCTACACCACTCCTAAAAAGGTTCTTATGTTTTCGTAATGAAGTGCTTTTCTTACAAGCTTGATTTCACAGCAGTCTCCTCTAAAAAATACCTCTGCAACCGAATGCTTAATTGAAAATATCATTCAGAGAAACTTGTACTATTACACAATCCAAAATGACGCATCTACAATTGGTCTTATTTAACCCAAACCAGGGCACTTGTGCCGATATTTCTAGTGAGCGAAACGGTAAAACTAAGAGCGGTCAGTGTCACGCGAGATACACGCGAGAAAGATGGTTCAAACACGTATGCTATCCATTGATTCTCCTGCATTTAAATCAGCATGTCACCAAAAAGATCCATTCTTACGCCGCCCTAGAGCACCTAACTCTGTTCTGCGTTAGTTAATCAAGTACCTCGGCATAATTTTAAGGGTGAAAGTTTAGTTTGACTGACACAGCACGATCCTCTCATACGAGCAGCGCCATTTTTAAACTCGTGAATTGCGCGCATGCGTAAGAGCGAGTTGTAGATATGGTGTGCAGAATAGCACTCGCTCGCTCGCTCGACTGGTCGATTCCTGTAAACTTTTTTTCGATTTTAGGCTTTTGAGTGCATTTGATAGATGGCAAGTAATACACAAACAAAATGGCGACCTTTGTTGCTAAGAATAGTGGTGCGGTGAAAAAGAAGCCAATGATAATCTAAAAAGAGTTTATTTTATCCGTTTTAGTTTCAACAAGCGGCGCCAGCGACTGGCAGGCGTGCGAGGATTCACACTGAAATAAGAGAACAACCTTCGTTTTTCTTAAAATTGAAATTTACAATCCTTGAACTTGAAAACAATCAGAAGATTCATTAAAAATATCTCTTACTCCGAAGCGCTCTGAGTTTACAGGTATTCAAAAGCTTTTTCTGTTATGGCGTGAGATTAGGGACAAAATTGATCATTACATTTCGTATCGTGTGTTTTTTCGGTGTGAAGCAACGAAAAGTGCCGGCGACTGACGAAATTACAGGTTAACATGTAAACAAATAATTTTGGCTACCGATTTTCAGTGAATTTTTAAAGAACAATTTTCTTTTAACTTAATTGATAAATAGGCCTGAAATGAAATTCTATCTTGTTCTTGATTATACGCTGCCTAGCATATAACCAAAATCTACCCTGGCCGAAATCCAAAATGAAAGTGGAACTCTGGACTTAGATGTATCACTCAAAACTCGTTCCCGTTTGTCTCATTTGATAAAGAGGGAATCATTAATGTTTTCATTGAGACAGTATTGCCCTGATTTTCCAATATTTACAATGACAGGCAGTAAATTTCTCTTTTCACCCACATTTACTTCCAACCTTTTTTTTTTTGAACCAGAAACAAAAATGATACATGTTTAAAACACATGACATCATCCACCCTTGTCAAATGTAATAGCATGATCATTTCAATTGTAATGCATTCTTATCCAAAGGTTACTTTGTTTCCTTGCTACATTAGCGCACACTGAACTACTGCTCGTACTCTAAATATGACAATCAACCACAAAATTCCCTAAACCAGAAAACATTAAACATAATCCAAAAAATCATATAAGTCATCTGTCAATTCACGAGTTTGCTCACAGAGCACTTTGATATTTTTCAAGTTTTGAACTATTTATTGATCGACCTCGTAAGAAATGATAATATGTTAACAACTCTTAATTGGTCTATGAATTCACTCGCGTTATCCTATAATATTCAAACGTTTCGTTTGGGCAAAACCGTGGTGAAAACATTTCACTTTTTTAAGGCCACTAATTATAAGTCGGTAGTTAAGTATGTGTTTGTCCTGTCGGTAACTGTTTAACGAACAAAAATCTTCCAAAAGTCTCCCTTTGACAAATTTATAAAGGTATCGTTCTTATTGTCGTCGCACAGGCGATATATCCCGGTTGTCTTCCAGATATAGTGCTTATCAACATGTGCAGTGAGATCGTACAAACGTGTTTCGCCTTGTTTATTTCTATGCCCCCACTTCCCGAAGTTCGAAGATCTGTCGTTTCCCCATCTGGAACAATTCCTGGAGAGATAAGAGTTGTCATCTTTCATTCTAACAAAAGAGAGACACGAGTCTGGCTGGGTGTTCGTCTGATTGCTAAAATACTCGACTACAGCTTCACCAGAGCTGTTAGCGGCCGTGGTCACGTGGAACGTACGTCCCTGTTGTTTACTGCAGTGGAATCTCATCTGAGTGAATCGCAAGTGTCCTCTGAGTTCTTTCATGGCGCTAATTGTGATACCCATTTTGTGATTGGTGAATTTGATGATCCCGCGGTACGATGGCTCAGCGGTCCAAGCGGGAGGAGTGGTCGGGTTATCTACCATAGAGATGGATGTAAGAAGCCAGCCTCCAAGCAATATTAAATAAAGACGATACATCTCACATCAATTCTAAAGTGTTCTAGGTAGAAATGCGAAATCTTAAATAGTGTGTATATCTCGATTAGTTTTAATGATTTGAACATGACAGATTGCGATGCATATTTTTATGCGGTATCATCTCTTGGTACCTTTCACCTACCTCCGTCAGTTTTCATATCACAGTAGACCTTCAAAGAGTTTCCTTTGCCCTCAGGGTCGATCCAGTATTCCCCATCTCCTTTAGAGTCATTTGACTCAAGAATATGCTTGCAAGATTTCCCAGGATTTTCAGCAAAATGGCCAAGCCTCACTTGATAAATTTCAAAGAAAGAGATAAAAATTTAGTTTCGAAATCGCAGTTTTTATCATCATCAACACAATCTATAAATGTGCTTTAACCCTTTACATCAATTCTCATTCTCTCTATACTTTTCGTGACACTTTTCCTACGGTAACGACAGGGAGTCTTCGTTTAATGATCAACGACTTGTCTCGTAGGTGATCATTTCCTTTATTTCCTTAAACCTACTGACTGATTCCTAGGGGAGAATGTAATAAACAATTGAACACACGGCAACATGGAATCAATTTTTATAATAAAGAAGCAAAACTTTAAAACGCCATTTATGCGTCTGTCCTCCAGACATGAGACACGAGATCATGGGTACGAACCAATCATATAGTCACTCTAAGGTCAAAGTCTCACTGCTTCTTTTCTTAGCATTTCTATAGCATATGACAACGATAGAACAAAACTAAAGAAGCCCTGATGGTTTTGGTTTTCTTACCCGTCAGGCATCCCGGCCCCTTGTACCCCGGATGACACTGACAGTCTTCTTCCCCAATGCAAATTTTTGGAACACAGGACACCTATGATAAGCAAATTTAACAAAGCTGTTGGATACAAAGAACCACTGACCATGTTGTCTTGGGTCTGTTCATCAATCGGTCATAGAGGACGTCAAATTAATATAAAAACAAAAAAATTAAACTGGCGCACGATGTACAGCTGAGTGTCATTGATGACATCTTCCCTGATCTATTTCGTTACAGACTCACGGAAACATAGAATACATCTGTTTTATATCAGTAACGATGCAAAATCCCATCATTGGTGACGTCATTAACGTGTCTGTCCTCCGGTGGCTAAGAACCAATCAAAGTGTGTATATAGTTCACCTATTTACATCTATAAACAGAAATGTATATAGCACATACACATATAACGGGAAGAGAAAAATACAGCGGTTGTAAGGTTGTTTGCAAAGAAACCAGAACTTTATTTGGAATGTTTGAGAAGTGATAGCAGATTAAATAATTCAAAATTAATTCCTACATAAAATAACTCGACAAGTGTTTCATGTAAACCTACCGGAACAGCACCGTTGTAAACATATCCCTGCCTGTGTTTAAAGTCGCCAGGTTTGGATATTCGCGATTGGTTATTTAATTCACACATTTGATGCTTATGCCTACTGCTTTTGGCTTGAAGATTGTATGAATGACAGGTGTCATTTGCCATGCACTTCAAAGCACACTCAGAGTAGTCGGAAACGTTGAATTTGATGAATTGGTGACCAAATAAGGCATACCCTGTGAGAATGAAGGCAAAATTAGTTTTGACATAAAGAAACTCGAAACGAACTTTCATACCACTTGGTTTATTAGCAACACAAGTCAATTTCGTCATAGTGAGTTTTTAATTATTTTTTCTTCATTATTTAATTATTCCTGTGCTTATTATCCCTGTAGTTGCATGTCTTAACGTGCCCAATATAGTTTATCGCCTGTACAAAAACAAACGAACGATACGAAGCAACGCAAAGCGATAAAAGTATATTATGACCGAAACAAGCTGCATCTACACTAGACTATAACAGACGTAGAACTTACCCGCACATATGAAACAAAAGAAGCACACGGTACTAAACTAATTAACAAAAGCTGCAAGAACACAAAAAGCTAAGCTAAGCCAAAAAAACAGATAGTGCCAACAAAAAGAATTACGTAATCGTGGCGCCCAAAATCACTTTGGTGCTCCACAAAGTGAAATCTGAATCGTGGAACCCTAAAACTTCAAATTTTGTAGATGAACTTTGAAGGTCATCACAACTCAAATAAACTCAAATTAACTTTGTTGAAATTTTCATCGCATCCTAACTTACCGTCATGGCTCTCGAACACAACTGAACAGCTTTCCGAATGTCGTGCAGCAGGGAAGACAAGATACGGTCTCAAAAAAAACAAAAATGGAATGTAGATGCCAAGTAACATGGTAAAACTGGAACAAACAAGATAATGCAACTCACTAAATGGCATTTGACACAAGTTTTAGAATGACAGGATACGTCAAACAAACCCACACAGCTTAAAATGACAACAGTCCCAATTTTTTTTTCTTTCCTTAACATGCGTCTGGCTAAATAACATTCCTGGCGCATTAGAAAACAGTATTGGGCAAATAGCGTTTTTTCTAAAAAAAACTGCAACTGTTTTGTTCTTTTTTGTTTTGGGCTTACGCCTGTCTGTGGCCTACTTTTCATAACAACACAAAAGTTAAGTTATAAATCATTTATTAGTTTCATTGCAAAGTATTTTTATTTTTAAACTTCGTTAAGTCGGCGAAATATGAAAGTATATAAATAATACCCAGTAGCACGTACCTTCTATTTGTGCTAATTAGCCAGGGTAACCCTTAGAATGAAGAAATCCGTTGACGACCTAAATTGGAACAAGAAAATGAATATTGAAACTGATAAATCACCCAAGGATGGAAACGCTGAAGAAAGTAATAAGTAGAGAAACCCAAGAATGATTTTTATCGCTGCTCAGGAAAAAAAAACCGTTTCTAGGCGAGAATTTTTCTTTAGCTAAGCAGGTGCATACCATTTCATTCTCTTACGAACAATATTCTCATCTCTTGGGCGTTTAAACTAAGTAAAAATGAGTTATGACTGATTGTTTGATCAATCGATCAGTCGAAAATTGTGATCGCTGGAGTTGATGTCAATTACTTCCGGCTGGCTCACAAATCCGGAGGATAAGAGAAAGCAGCGATTCAAAAAGTTGACATCCTCACATAGAATGAAAGATATTGGGTGATACACGCACAGTCACTCATAATTAATCGTTCACTTCGAAATTTGTTTTCCAATCGCTTTAAAATTCTTAACTCTGTAAGGAAGATTCTTCGATAATTTCAAAAGACTTTATAATGTCAATGACTACAAAACAAGCCAGTTATTTTAGGGCAATGTTAGACTAGCACTGGCTAATAAATGCTTAATAATTATTGAACAAAAACTGTAGTTCTGCCGGATTAAGATTTACCTCAGAGCTATAAAGATTACTGGAAACACAGATCTCCAGAAGTAAAAGTTGTTTCAGACTGTGGTTTTCCTCGTGGTTAATCAGAAAAATTACCAAAATATTATATCCGATCAGTTTGTTGAATTAAAAAACGAATTTTTTTCGGAATTCGCCAACATTCGGAGTTGGTCAGACAACAGTTTGAAAATGCTAACCTTTTCCACTTAGAAACACACATGCAATTTCAGAGGTACTCACTATCCGGTCAGAGAGGAGAAATCTTTCGACTTTCCACGAAAAACTTATGGCAAATTATACTGCTAGGAAAAAATGGATGTTTTACTTTCCTAACGCAGCTCTGAGTAGTAATGCATCGGTGACAATAGAAACTTGATTTATAACTTCAAGTTATTCATTGGAAGCTTTTTTTTTTCGCATCAGCCTTTGTTTAAAATCATCAAAGACTTCATTCTCTTATCGCTACGCTAATTTAGCTATGCAGTGGATGTTTTCGGAAACTCTGCACTTTTCTTGCCATATGTTAGATTGAAGATGAGTCTCAAAATAATTAATAGTTAATTTCTTTTATTTCTGTGGAGTAAAAATTGGTCTGCTCGATGAAGGGAAGTAACATATTTTATCCACCATTATTTCCACTGTCCCTGAGGTCACTGATTAACAGTTAGTCGAAGAACTTCAGATATTGTTCACTATTTTGCGAGCTAAAACTGATAACACGAGATTCTGAGGCCGAAAACAAAAATTGCGAACTTAAACCACTCAGACAGCTGACTGGTAAATCCATAATCCAGGCAAATTCACCCATTGCCCAATGCAGTATGACATAAATTACAGTGTGAGAAAAATATCCACTGCGTATGAATGCCCGGGACGTGTGAGGCACAAAAACAATTTTTCTTACTTATCGCTTTCTTGAGAAGTAACGTCTCCTTTGTTTTCTTTTCAAGTTGATGCGATTGAAAACAGCGAGTTAGCAACAATTCAATAGAACTTTATTTAGTTATGATTGCCTAAATTAATAATTCAACATGAAACTGTCATTTGATTAAGTAGCTCCAGGACTACATTGTATTTCTGTCGTCGCACAGGATTATTTCTATGAACACTATTCGTGGCATCAAATTACCCCAAAGTAGAGGAGACTTTTATCAACTTTCCATTCGCGACTCTGAGCAGGTGAATTTGTGATATCGTTTGGGGATAGGTGATCAAAATCCTTCTCTAAACCAAAGGCTGTAAGTGCGGCCCACTAAATTTTAACTACAGGTAAAAGGGAAAATAATGGAAGTAGTCATGATAAATCAGCTGTCAATAACGAAGAAACTAAACTTTTCCTCTGCAGCAACCTTGTTATATCTATTGTGAGGATCTGGGCAAAAAACAAACCACTCGCCAACGATTCGCAACGACGCATCACCAAATAGATTATAATTCTAATCAGATAAACTCGAAAACTCTAACAAATTCGTTACAATATTTTCTTGGCAACTGTTATATAATTTAACACTACGAAACATCGCCTCGAAAAAGTTAGATTCAACAATTTTTACATGATTTTACTTCGTTTTGGCTAAGCCTTTACACACCAACGTACAAAAAATACCAAAAAATTAAAATTAAAAAATGATTGTATAAATAAGAAGAAACTAAACCGCTTTGAGTTGCCTTCTTTGGCTTTTGTAGTTCTTATTTTGTCTGACAGACTTTTGTTTTTTAAATACTTGTGAAGTATGATGAAAATAGCAGTTCAAACTTGTCCTGAAAGACTCTGTCTTATTCTTCTGACGGCGGAGAAGTGGTGACTACTGAATCATTTATGATCCAAAAATTGTATTCCTGTTTAGAAAAATTACTACATGCTGGAAATGCACAAAATACCCCGGGTGATTTATTTGCCGCTGAGTGTTTTGCCCAACTATTATCAACAAATAGTCTCGACTTGGTATTCAATGTTATTCTAAGTTTGCATTTGTAGTTCTTCTTATTTTGTCTGACAGATTTTTGTTTTTTAAATCCTTGTGAAGTATGATGAAAAAAGCGGTTTAAACTAGTCCTGAAAGATTCTGTCTCATTCTGCTAACGGCGGAGAAGCGGTGACTACTTAATCATTTATGATCCAAAAATTGTCTTCCTGTTTTTGAAATTACTACATGCTGGAAATGCACGAAATACCCCAGGTGATTTATTTGCCGCTGAGTGTTTTGCCCAGCTATTATCGACAAATAGTCTCGACTTGGTATTCAATGTTATTTTATTTGGCAGCAGTTGCGTGGAGCAGCAGTTGCGTGGAGCAACCGACTTGAAGCTCGTTGAACGCTCTGCAAGTGAGCGAAAAAATATTATGCTTCCTCTGAGGTCGAAGCAATTGGTATTTGTAACTTTTCATATTTTTGTGGTTGTATCACTCGTTGTGGCGACCAATAACTTTTGTGCAAGCGTTTTTGAAACTCAAGTCGGTAAGTAATAACTCCAGAACCTGCAGCTTCCTTTTCTTTTACAGTTGATGTTTCTGCATCCACAATTTCCACTTGCAAATTTTGCAGAATTCACTTAACTTGATCACGTTTTAAACAAAACTGATGTTGCTGAATGTAAGCTAAAATAGATGGGAAACAACAGTTGCAAGTCGTTTAATGTTCATCCTAATGGCAATGATACGAAGAAGCTTTGCGAGCTCAACAACAAAACCCGGCAGATGAAGCCAGGAGATTTTAAAAGGAAGAAAGGATCTACATACTATGGTTATGGTTCAATATGTTTCTGATGTGCACATATTCCTTTCTATATTCGAGAGAGGCACAAGGCGAAGATAAAGAAACAAAAAATCTCGTTGGTAATCCGTTTTTATGCTAGAAATTTGGGGCACCGTTACCTTTTTTTACCATCATTATCATCATAATCTCATCTTCATTTTCATAACTATCTATCTTTTTATAGTGCAAAGAAGAATAACTGAACGAGAAAATTCAACTGCAAGAGCTCTTACAATCAATTTTAGAGCGTGCGTATACTTATGCGTGCACTTGTTATTCTTGGCTTTACTCACTGTATTCTCAAAAAAATGTATAAACTAACCACTTATTCTATTCTTTAAACCTGGCAATAGAAATATAAAGAAGTATTCCAAGGCTAATGGAGATTGATTAACTATTCATAAGCCTCCCTTTTTCGTTTCTTGTTTTTCTTACATCTGAAATACGTTTTGATAAAACCAACGCTGGGCACTTGTGTCGATGTTTCTCGTCGGCGAAGCGGCAAAACGAAACGAAAAAGTCTACTTCACCCTCACACTGGACTGTTGAGTCATCATACCGCAGAATCAAAAACTTTACCAACAAAAAAATGGGTATCACAGTGAGTGCACTGAAAGAACTCAGGTGACACTTGTCCTTCACTCAGTCGAGACTCCACTGCAGTAAGAAACAAGGTCGTACGTTCCACGTGACCACAGTCAGTAACAGCACCAGTGAAGCTGTGGTCGAGTACTTTAGCGGCCTGACGGATGTGCGTCCTGATTCCTGTGGGTCTTTTCAGAGAATGGAAGACGACAACTTTAAGTCGGTCATGGAGTGTGAGAGTTGGAATTATGAGGGAAAATGGGGATGGAATGAAGGTCGTGTGGAAGTGAAACTGTACATACGTGCTGCATATGTCCCAGGCAACTATCACTGTAGAGTATTACACGGATATTGGTGCGATGACTTGTAGTATGACTACGTTTCGCCAGGAGATTCTTGGAAAATCTCTGTGCGCTTAATAATTAGTTCAACCAAATGTCATAACAATTTTTGGTTGACCTTTGACCCAGTGTGGAATTACAATTTCTCACTATGTAAAAGACAAGCAAATTGCGTTCAGTCCTTCGTTTGTTGACGCAGTAAGTAGTTTCATGAATAACTTCGACTACTGAGGGTAAGACACCAGTCGTTATTTATCCCTAGGAGGCGGGGGGAAAGAAGTTTAGGGGATCACATGGTTTTCAGGATGAACGGAGGGGGAATCAGTCGTCGTCAATAGAGTATAAGGGGGGAATATAGAAAATTGACTGCCAATTAACTTCAAATGATATCAGAGGAATTCATAGGAAAATTACAAAGCCTTACAGGGGGATCGGGTAAATTTTCTCGTAACACAACCTCTGACTTCCCCCCTTTCCCTGCCCCCCCCACCTCGCGATGAAATATGACCGTTTCCATACTTGTGTTACATAAAATAAAACTCTAGCCTGATTTTAAACATTTTTAAAACTAAACTAAAGCGGCGGGGGAGGGGAGTAGGGATGGGACGGAGAGAACATCTGTAACGAGCCATTTTAAATGTAATTCTTTGTTACCACCTGAACATCTAAATTGTGGTTATTCAATTTCAAAAACAATTTAGAGTGGTCGAGATAGTAGTAGAAAAATCTCTTTATTTAGAGCTGACAGAATACAACATAAACTACACAAATAAAAGAGAAAAAAAAAAGAGAACGAACAGACAAAAAAGTGACAGGACATAGCAGGATGCGATTCTCTAAGAATTTCGACTCAGCCAAACATATTGACGACTACCAAAAGATCATAGGGGGATCTTTTGCCACTTTAAACCGACTAATTTTCGAAGGAAATCCGGTTTTAATCGTTGACTTAAAGGCACATCTGTTCCTTGAGAAATACTTTTTACATTTATAAAACAAAAGTTTCCATGATGAACAGGTTCTTACATCTCTTAATATTTCCATTCAGATTAATGTTTGTCCGTTTTTTCGTTTCGCAATGGATATCGTGTTATGACAAGTGAACTGAATAATTTATTAGAGTTAGTCCGTTTAAATTGAAATAAGTTCATACGCTTGCTACTAAATTTTTGCAATGCGTTTGTATTGACATCTAGTGTACATAAGCATTACAGATTGTCTGACTTAAATGCGAACCGGAGTAAAATTAGCTTAGAGCAATCTGGAGTGCATTTGAGCTAAATTTTAAACAGCAAAACGGAGATAACATTTTTGAATGTACAACTGACTTTAAATATAGAACTTTATGAGATAAAATCTCAGTTGTAAGGATTTCCTGTTTGTGAGATTTTTCTCAACACTAGCTTGCCCTCATAATGATCGGTGTTATATCGCAATAGATTTTCCTTTCAATAAAGTAGTGTTATAAAGAAGTTTGCCATATCTTGTATATGCGTTGGCAATCTGCATGATGATAAGGACAATTAAGGATTTTCTATTGAGATTAGGGAATACCATTTTATAAAACTTTCTGAACTTTGTAATGGCGCAGTTCGTGAGCTATATGTGTCAGTAATGAGGGTTGTCATCTAAGGCGTAAAATTTGAATTACGACTTCAATATTCTCACAAATAGAAGTATGTTGGTTTAAATAAACTGTTTACATTTTTAGTGTAATGTGGTCAAATAAAAGCTTTTTGTATCGTAACTGAGACCCAATTTCACACTGTCTTAAAGAAATCCACACCATGGTAAATAAGTCAGCTGTCAATTATGACTCCGGCAACCTTTTTCAGTCCATTTTCAGGTTCTGGGCAGTGACAGCCCAATTCGCCAAAGGTTCGCTTAGGAGCCACACAAAACGAATTATCACAATGTACTTGGAAATTGTCAGAAATACATTACAATAATTTTGTGGTGACAATTTTATGATAGCGCAGAGTTATTTGGAACAATAAATCAGAGATGGCCGAGCGAAGTCACGTAGCTGTTAATTATCAGCCGTTTAGAGATCATTATGTGGTCTATTCAGTCTTACATCCATATGATGAAAATAAAAGTTGATTAAAATGGAGATTAATTAAGACCCTTAATGTGGGGGTTTATCAAATCAGTTATCGTTCGCGAATAAGCTAAGCTTCCAATCGCAGGCAACAGGCGACAACGATTAAATGTTTTCTACCTGTGTTGCTCGGGTATTTACGAACGACATGCAGGCTTCATGGCTGACTCAGTTTGTCTTTGTGACCCTGTATATATTCCTGGTGTTCGTGGTGGCAAACAGAGACTTTTGTGCAAACGTTTTAGAAACTCAAGTAGGTAAGTAACAGGCTTCGAGCCAGCTTCATTACGTTTTTCATTCATTTTGTTTCTGCATCAACACTTCACCTGTAAATGTCTCCTAACAGATTTTGCCTTACTCGGTCACGTTATCAACAAACTGATGTTTTTGACCAGTTCGAATGTCACCTTAGATGTATGGGAAACAGTGGTTGCAAGTCATGCAATGTTCATCCTAATGGCAATGATGATAAGCTCATTTGTGAGAAGAACGACAAAACCCGGCAAATGAAGCCAGGTGATTTTAATCGGAAGAAAGGATCTATGTACTTTAGCTCAGTTCAGGTAAGGGGTAAGTTAAAAGTATGGTTTTAAAGTGCGCATATTCAGTATTATGTTGCATCGTTTTAGTCTTATTTTTCAATCGAAGCAATAAATCGTCACGAAGCGGTCTCTGTAGGAATTTATCGACTGAGGCTGAATCTTGATTTTAATACCTTGGTAGCTAAGAAAGGCTCGAGTTCCCAGGACTCTGGCTGTTCACGTAAGAACATTCGGAATACAGGGAACTCCACAGGGAATGGAGAGTACCCGATCGACCTTGAGAAAAACGAAAACCCTTTAAAGGTCCACTGTGACATGACAACTGCTGGAGGTAAGCTGTACGCATAAGTAATTCAGTGGCAAGAAACGGATTAGTTTTCCTTTCTCATACATGCAGCTACAAGGGATCAATAAGGACTTTTAAGCACGGATGTACACGAATGTTCTACTTGTTAAGAGTTTCACCCAAATCACGGCAAGTTACGGTTCTCTGGACGCTATGATTATCCATTAAACACTGCAAGTGAGAGCACTTTGAAGGTGCTCAATACCCTACGTATCACCACCCATCAAAGGCAAATGAATATGAAACACATTAACTTAACATGCAAATGTTTTATTATTCACCCGTGTTATCATATGATATTTAAGCGTTTCGTGTGGGCAAAACCGTCGTCTAAACATTTCGCTTTTTTTAAGACTATAATGAATATAAGTCGTTTGTTAAGTGTGTGTTTCCCCTGTCAGTTCTGCGAGTCGCTAGCTGTTTAACGAACAAAAATCTTCCAAAAATCTCCCTTTGACAAAGTTATAAAGGTATCACCGTTCTTGTCGTCGCACAAGCGTTTTCCAGAGGTTGTCATCCAGTGATACTGATTAGCAACAAATGCAGTGTGATCGTACAAACGTGTTTCGCCTGCTTTATTTTTATGCCCCCACTTCCCTACGAATTGCGAACGTCCGTTGTTTCCCCATCTGGCACAATACCTGGAAAGATAAGAGTTGTCATCTTTCATTCTAACAAAAGAGAGACACGAGTCTGGCAGGGTATTCGTCTGACCGCTGAAATACTGGACTACAGCTTCACCAGAGTTGTTAGCGGCAGTGGTCACGTGGAACGTACGTCCCTGTTGTTTGCTGCAGTGGAATCTCATCTGGGTGAAAGACAAGTGTCTTCTGAGCTCTCTCATGGCACTTAATGTGATACCCATTTTGTGATTAGTGAATTGGCTGATCCCGCGGTACGATGGCTCGCCGGTCCAAGCGGGAAGAGCGGTCGAGCTATCTACCTCAAAGATGGATGTAAGAAGCCAGCCTCCTAACAAAGTTAAATAACGACGATATATCTCACATCAATTCTAAAGTATTCTAGGTAGAAATGCAAAATCTTATGGATTTTTTAGATGTAAATAGTGTTCATATCTCGATTCGTTTTGAGGATTAGGACATAACAGGTTGCGACGCATATTTTTGTGTGGTATCATTTCTTGGTACCATTCACTTACCTCCGTCAGTTTTCATATCACAGTAGACCTTCAAAGGGTTTCCTTTGCCCTCGGGATCGATCCAGTATTCCCCATCTCCTTTAGAGTCATTTGATTCAAGAATATGCTTGCAAGATTTCCCAGGATTTGCAGCAAAATGGCCAAGCCTCACTTGATAAATTTCAAAGAAAGAGATAACAATTTAGTTTCGAAATAGCACTTCTTATTATCATCAACACAATCTATAAGTGCGTTTTAACCCTTTACATCATTATTCATATTCTCTATACTTTTCGCGACACTTTGCCTGCGGTAATGACTGGGAGTCTTCGTTGAATGATCCATGGCTTGTCTCGTAGGTGATCATTTCCTTTATTTCCTTAACCCTAATAACTGATTCTTAGGGGAGAAGGTAATTAACAAATGAACACACGGCAGCATGGAATCAATTTGTTTAATATAACAAATAGGCAAAACTTGCGAACTATGACGCCATTTATGCGTCTGTCCTCCAATGGATCGTAGGTAAGAACCAATTTAATCATAACCGTTACAATTTCCTCAAATGTGATTAGTGCATCAGCTGCTTTATATTTCGCTAATCACTCAGTTCAGTTGTAATCAGACGGTTGACTGTAATCGGTCACCTGTAATCAGACAGTTGGATGTAATCAGACACTTGTAGTCGGAAAGTTATAGCAGCCAATCATAATAATTATACTAACTCAGAAAAATCTACCAATCACAGAATTGATCACAATAACCATAGCAACACCCGCTTACCCTGAAAAGAAAACTGGGAAACTTCCAAATTTTTTGCTACAGACATTTTCCCTACTAGAAATGTTTGTCCTAAATGTATTTTTTTTTCGGAAATTGTAATGGTTATGATTAGTTGGAAACAGGATTTCGTGTCGTCCAATTCTGTCTGTAATCATACTCGTAATTGACAAATCGCTGTTATGATTACAGACAGAACTGGACTCCACTCGGTCCTATTACCGTTATAAATAGTCACTCTTAGGTTAGAGTCTTGTTGCTTCGAATCTTTTTTTAGCTTTTCTATAGCATATGATAACGATTGACCAGAACTAAAGAGGCCCCGATGGCTCTTTAGTCATCAATGAACATAAATTTTATGCCGCGCAATCATATGAGTCAATCCACAGGACGAAATCACATGTCTCCGTATTTCTGGCGGAAACATGCAACTCCATGTTTCCGTTATGTTTAACATGCACAAAAAGTGATCCGGTTCCGTTGTATACGCAGCAACGGAAACGCGAGAAAACGTCACGAAACCGGTAACGGAAACACAGGTTATCCGTCGTGTTTCCAGAACGGTTTAACATGTTTCTGCCACGTTTCCGTTTATGGATTCTTGCAATTTCGTCATGTGATCGCATTCCATCTTACCCATCAGGCATCCTGGTCCCTTGTATCCCGGATGACACTGACAGTCTTCTTTCCCAATGCAAATTTTCGGAACACAAGACACCTACGATAAGCAAATTTAACAAAGCCGTTGGACACAAATAACCACTAACCATGTCGATTGATTGAAATACATTGTCACTGCAAAGCATGTTGCCGTGGGTCTGTTCATCAATCGGTCACAGAGGACGTCAAATTAAGATAAAAACAAAAAACCAAAGTGACGCACGAGGTGCAGTTGAGTGTCACTGATGACATTTTCTCTGATCTGTTTCGGTACAGACCCGCGGAAACAGAATAACTCTGTTTTACATCAGTAACGATGTAAAATCCCGTTATCAGTGATATCATTCATGTGTCTGTCCTCCGATAGCAAAGAACCAATGAAAGTGCATATATATATAGTTCACCTTAATACATGAATAGAAATGCATGAAGCACATAGACATATAATGGGAAAAGAAAAATACAGCGGTTCTAAGGTTTTATGCAGGAACTTTATTTAGAAGTTTTGAGAAGTGATAGCAGATTCAATAATTCACAATTATTTCCTACAGAAAATAACTTCACATGCGTTTCATGTAAACCTACCGGAACAGCACCACTGTAAATGTATCCCCGCCTGTGTTTAAAGTCGCCAGGTTTGGATATTCGCGATTGGTTATTTAACTCACACATTTGATGCTTGTGCTTACTGGTTTTAGCTTGAAGATTGTATGAATGACAGGTGTCATTTGCCATGCACTTCAAAGCACACTCTGAGTATTCAGAAACGTTGAATTTGATGAATTCGTGACCAAATAAGGCATACCCTGTGAGAATAAAGGCAAAATTAGTTTTGACATAAAGAAACTCGAAACGAATTTCCATACCACTTGGTTTATTAGCAACACAAGTCAATTTCGTCATAGTGAGTTTTTAATTATTTTTTCTACGTTGTTTAATTATTCCTGTGCTTATTATCCCTGTAGTTGCATGTCTTAACGTACCTAATATAGTTCATCTCCTGTAGAAAAACCAACGAACCGATGCGAAACAAAGCAAAGCGGTAAAAGACGATTATAACCGAAACAAGCTGCATCGACTCTAGACTGTAACAGACATAGAACTTACCCGCACATACAAACAAAAAAAGCACACAGTATATAACTAATTAACAAAAGCTGCAAGAACACAAAAAGCTAAGCTAAGCCAAAAAACGGAAAGCACGAACAAAAAAAACTACGCAATCCTGGCGCCTACAATCACTTTGGTGCTCCACAAAGTAAAATCCCAAACTTGGAACCCCAAAACTTTAAATTTTGTAGATGAACTTTGAAGTCTTTCAGGTCAACACAACTTAACTCAGCCCAAATTAACTTCATTGAAATTTTCATCGCATCCTAACTTACCGTCGTGGCTCTCGAACACAACTGAGCAGCTTTCCGAATGTCGTGCAGCAGGGAAGATAAGGTACGGTCTCAAAAAAACCAAGAAAAAAGGAATATAGATGCCAAGTAACATCTTTAGTGACGAATACCCCGAGGAAACTGGGAGAAAACAAGATAATGCAACTCGTGAAATGGCATTTGATGCAAATTTTAGAATAACAAGATATGTCAAACAAACCTATACACAACTTAAAATGGCAGCAGTCCCAATTTTTTTTCCCTTAACATGCGTCTGGATAAATAAAATTCCTAACCCAGTCGAAAACATTATCATCAAATAGCGTTTTTTTCTAAAAAACATCTGTTTTGATCTTTTTTGTTTCTGGACTTACGTCTGTTTGTAGCCTATTTTTCATAACAACAAAGCAGTTCAGTTATAAATAATTAATTAGTTTCACAACAAAGTATTCTTATTTTCAAATTTTGTTAAGTTGGCGAACTATGAAAGTATATAAATAACATCCATTAGCACGTACCTCCTACCTGTGCTAATTTGCCATGGTAACCCTTTGAATGAAGGAGTAAATCCGTTGACGAGATTAATTTGAACAAGCAAATGATTCTTAGAACTGATAAATCACCCAGGGATGGAAACGCTGAGCAAAATAACACGTCGAGCTAAGAAACTCGATGATGGCTCTTCTCGCTGATTAGTAAACAAAATTGTTTGTGTGTGAGAATTTTTTTTAGCAAAGCAGGTGCACGCTATTTCATTCTCTTACGAACAATATTCTTATCTCCTGGGCGATGAAACCAAACACAAATATGCAGTGTTGATGTTAAGGACAACTGATGCCCTCGAGCTCATTTAACATCTTTCCTAATACAGTCCTAAGATCTGAAGAGTAACTCCCTCTTTTGGCTGCTACGTATGTTATTTACTAAAGGGAACTTAGGGTCTTATCCAGATAGAAGCTTTCGCTCACCCACCTGTGTTGCAATAAAATGATGTTGTCCGCCGTCAAATACTTTAAATGAGTTATGATAATTGTTTGATCGATCGATCGATCGTAGATCTAGATCGCTGGAGTTTATGTCAATTACTACCGTCTTCCCACACGAAACTGGAGGATAAGAGAGGGCAGCGATTAAAAAAGTTAGCATCCTCACACAGAATGAAAAATATTGGGTGATACGCGCCAGTCATTCACATTTAGTCATTAACTTCGAAATTTGTTTTCCAATCACTTTACATGTCCTAACTTTCTGAGGGAAATTCTTCCATAATTTCAATAAAAATCTTAGAGTCAATGACTACAAAAGAAGCCAGTGAGATGATTTTAAGGCAATGTGAGATTAAAACTGGCTGATAAATGCTTTATAATTATTGAGCATAAACTGTAGTTCTGGATTAAGACTCAGTATCTCAGAGCTATAAAGAGTTTTGGAAAAAACAGATCTCCAGAGGTGGAAGTTGTTTCAGACTATGGCGTTTCTCGTAGTTAGTCTGAAAATTTACCAAAATATCATATTCGATCAGTTTTTTGAATTAAAAAAAGAAATTTTTTTCGGAATACGCAAACATTTTGAGTTGATCAGATAACAGTTAGAAATGTTAGTCTTTTTCCACTTAGAAACTTACACGTACAATTTGAGAGGTACTCACTATCCGGTGAGAAAGGAGAAATCTTTCGACTTTCCACGAAAAACCTTGTAACAAATTATACTGCCAAGAGAAAATGGATCTTTTACTTTCCCAGCGCAGCTCTGAGTGTCGTCTGCCAACCAGTCTAAATAGTAATGCATCGGTGACAATAGAAATTTGATTTATAACTTCAAGTTATTTATTTGAAGTTTTTTTTTTTCGCATCAGCCTTTGTGAAACCTCTTTTTCTTTTTTAAATCATCATCGCCACGCTAATTAAGCTGTGCAGTGGATATTTTCAAAAACTCTAAATTTTATTGAAAACGTTGCTTGCCATATGTTAGATTGAAGATGAGTCTCAAAATAATTAATAGTTAATTTCGTCTATTACTGTGGAGTAAAAATTGATCTGCTCGGTGAAGGGAAATAACATATTTTATCCAGCACTATTTCCACCATTCCTGAAATCACTGATTAACAGCTAATCGAAGAACTTCAAATATTGTTGACTATTTCGCAATCTAAAAACTGACAACACGAAATTCTGAGGCCAAAAGAAAAAGAAAAGAAAAATTGCGAACTTTAACCACTCAGGTAGCTGTTCGGTAAATCCATAATCCGGAGCAAATTCACCCATTGCCCACTGCGGTATGACAGAAATTACAGTGTAAGAAAAATATCCACTGCGTATGAATGCCCGGGACGTACGAGGAACAAAACTATTTTCTTACGTTTTGCTCTGTTGAGAAATGACATCTCCTTCTTTTTCGTTTAAGTTGATGCGATTGAAAATAGCTAGTAAACAACAATTCAACTTTGAACTTTGAAACTACGTAATTGCCTAAATTAATAATTTAACATGAAATTGTCATTTGATTAAGTAGCTCCAGGACTATGTTGTATTTCTGTCGTCTCACAGGATTATTTCTTTGAACACTACTCGTAACATCGAATTACCCCAGAGTAGATGAGACTTTAATCAACTTTCCATTAGCGACTCTGAGCAGGTGATATCGTTTGGAGATAGGTGATCAAAATCCTTCTCTGAGTCAGTGGCTATAGGTGGAACCCACTAAATTTTAACTACAGGTAAAAGGGAAAATAATGGAACTAGTAATGATTTATCAGCTTGGGGGATTTTGGGGGTTTCATGGTTTTTAGGGGAAACGGAGGTGGGGATCTGTCCTCGCCAACTGAGTATGAAAGTGAAAGGGGAAGTATAAAACATTGAATGTCAATTAACTACCAATGAAGGGGATGGGGGGGGGGGGGCTGGGGAATATTCGTAAAAATATTACAGAGCCATATGTTTTACGAGGGATATAAGCCATACCTTGATCATTCAAAATCTGTCAACAGATTAGTTATTATTTATCGGGGGGGAAGGGGGGTGGAAGAGAGATTTTTGGAAGTCACATGGTTTTCAGGGGAACCGAAGGGATCAGTCGTCGCCAAAAGAGTACGAAATGAGAAATTTAGAACAATGAATATCAATTAACTGAGAATAAGGGAGAAGGGGGGTGCAGCAACATTTTAGGTGACACCCATTTCTTTTTGTTTTAGAGTTACAGTAAGTAATACGAATAAATCCTTTTGCAACGTTTTTCACACTTTTTAAGAAGAAGGAAGTCGCAGGTTCAGAGCTACCATAAATTGAGATGAAACTTAAATTGCTTGGCACTGTCAAAAGGAAAAAGACAGTAGAAAATTGTAAAAAATGCACGAATCCGGATATGTTTATTGCAAGACAGTAGTGAAAAACGAAGGTCACCCAACTCAACTTAGTACCTTCCACTGACAACAACTACTTACTTGACACCAATAATGACCTCCACTTAGGTTGTCTCAACTACCGATCGACTGCACCCAACTCAACTTAGTACCTTCCACTGACAACAACTATTTACTTGACACCGATAATGACCTCCACTCAGGTTGTCTCAACTACCGATCGACTGCAGGCTTCTCAAGACCACACTCACCCGGACTATCAGACTACACAATCACATTTCATTTATTTTTAGAAGCGACATGCCATAATTTAAGTTTTACATTAAACTAAATTTTTTTTATCCGTGTGATTGTATGAATATTGTGCACTCTAGGTTTGTCTCGGCTAATTACACTCTGGTTTTCTCGATGTTGCCTTCTATTTAAAGTCAGATCCAGAACAGAGCAATGTAATGCTTATGTTCACTAAATGTCAGTATCAACTCATTTCAATAAGTTAGCAGCAACTACATAAGCTTACGCTGGCATAATACCGACAGTAATATATTGGAGATTATTACATGGGAAGTGCGAACAAAAGATTTTTATTCAGGAAACGAGTGGACAAGAATCGTTCAGTACTTTCTGTGGTATGATGTTTTTATTTCATACATACCGATATTTTTCACATTTCATTGCAAAGATTGGAAGCGAACGACTGTGAAAATACATCGTTCATCCAATCAGACACAAACTATAGTGCTTCATACTATAAATCCCAGTATGTATAGAATAAAAAGCATTTCCATTTGCTTTTTATCTAGTGCAATGCAGTTGATCATGCATTGTTGGTGTTCAACGAATAAAAATCTTCCAGAAATCTCCTTGAGTCGGGGGAGCTTGCAACTTAGAGTGTTTCGGGTCATGGAAGTCATCACATTCCCATCTGTCTACGTCTGGACTTGTCATCCAGTGATGTAATCCTCCAATAAACATTGGAACATCGTACAACTCACGTCTCCCCACGATGCTCCATGTGTCAGACCTGTATGTAGAATATTTTTTTCCCCACCAGCTGCAATACTTGGCGAGCTCTGAATTGTCGTCTTCCATTTTCTGAAATGATCCACAAGAAGTCGGCACCGTCTCGGTTTGACCTGTGAAGTACTGGATTACAGCTTCGCCTTTTTCGTCGGTCTTTGTAACTATATGAAAGGTGCTTCTATTTTTCTTATGGCAGTGAAATCTCAACTGAGTGAAATGAATGTGGGTTCTGAGCTTATGAAGCGCACTGTTAGTCAATAAAGTCTGGTTATTTTGATAGTTGCCAATCACATGATAATCCTCCTTAACTGGCAAGTTGGCTTGGTGGTTGAACACGATGTTGAAGATAAGAAGCCATCCCCCTGAAATAATTGGCACAGTGAAAATTGATAAAATATCTAAAATTTTCAACCTTTCTCAGATCCTTTTTCGCTGTTTTTGACCTAAGCAAATGTAATCCCTCCTATTAATATGATGTTTACTTGGCCCTGAAAAGCATATTAGTACAGGTAATCACATGATTTCGAGTGCAATTTGGAATAAATAAGCACGAGTAAATTGCACGAGCCCGTAGAGTGAGTGCAATTTGTGGTCCTTGAAAAATTAACAAGTGCTTATTTATTCCAAACTGCACGAGAAAAATCATGTAATTACGCGTTAATAATATACATGAAAAAATACGAGATAGCTTATCACAATTACGCAGAAGTAAAGCGCGCGCATCAAGTGCAATAATGATTTACTCAAACTTATGCATTCGGTCAAAACAACCGCGTACGATCAAAACAGTAATATACAATGATATTTTCACATCTATATGGCACAAAAATGTTGAAAGTTCGCCTAAACAGTTCAAGGAATTGATCAGTCCGTGTCTGAATCACTTTCGATGGAATGGAATCGTCGTTTGTGAGGTTTAACCATGTTTGTTTTTAATTTCGGCGTAGAATCGCTCGAGCGAAGTGTTAAGCTGGATCGGCTCGTAATTTTGATTTCCTTGGCAATTCCCTTCTCTAAACACCACTTTTTCCAAACCGACAACCAAAAAGTAGTGCTTTTTACAGCGTTTTCGCTGTCAGAGCTGTTTTTCAGCTGCTGTATTGTTGTTGCGGTGGCGAAAGAAAACCTACTTAAAACGCCGGTCATCGTTTTGCTCGCAAATTTTCAGCGTAGCCAAATGTTGCGACATCCAAGGCTCGCATTTGATTGACTATGTGAGAGTTGATTATTGACCAATCAGAATGTCTGGTTTGTTACTTTCTTTGCATTGAATTAACCCTCTTCTGCATTGAATTATCTGAAAACTCCATTTATCTTAACTAATAATTTGAGTGATGAGTAATTTTTTCATGTATATTATTAACCTTAAAACAGATAACGACGTTCATTTCTGAACTACGCGCGCTCGAGAAGAATTGTCATACACCTGCAGCATCTAATATTGCAGAGGGCTATACGTCCTTTTACCAAAAGACCTAAGATAACAGGTCGCCATTATATATATGAAAAAGCACAAAACAAAACAAAGCAGGGTATAAAATCAGATTTAATTCTCTTATTACCTCCGTGAGTTGTCATATCACAGTAGACTTTCATAGGGTTTCCGTTGCCCTCTGGGTCTATCCAGTACTCTCCGTTTAACAAGGGATGTTCAGTCCTCCTTATATTCATACAAGATCGCCCGGGTTTTAATGAGTGAAATCCTCGTCTCTCTAGAAAGAAATGGAAGTAAATTAGATGTGAAAAAATTGTGTTGATCTTCAAAGACTGTTTCTAGTCATTGTCAGCTTTTTCGGGAAACTGTGAAACGAGGGAAGAATGTGGAGAAACGAGGAGCGAAAAGAGAGAAACTTTAATAAATGAGAAAGTAATTTTGACCACCAAGTTGCAGTAAGAGACTAACTGACAAGAAACGAGTCACAACGGGAGGCTTTGCTATACTCTCTTCTCAGTGCAAGTCTAAAGAAACCAAAAACCGTGGACGAGAATTGCAAACGAGAAATTGAAGCAGCAAAAATATTAATAAGCGAGTCGCGAGATACCAGCAACGAGAAACGGGGAATGTGAAAGACTAAACCAGAAATGATTAAACAGCTATTGAGTAACATGCTTAAAAACGGAATACGAAGAATTTACAAACTGGATAACGAAATGATTGCCATCGAGTATAGCTTCGTTCCTACCCTTTCCATAATAGGTGAATCCATTGGCTGCTATTAGGGTCACTGGGCTAAGGTGCCACGTTTGGTCGTTCAGCTCACAAAATTTATTACCATAGTAATTGTATGACCAGCATTTCCTGTTCCTTACACATCGTAATCCACATTCGAACGCGTCAGCGTTACAAGTTTCAATGACGTGTCCCACAAGCCTAAAGTCTGGAATTATGAGCAACACAGAAAAGATCGATCAATGTATGAAGCAACAAAGCACGGTTGAAATTGCGCACCGTCACATAGAACTCTTTCTGTAAAGGAAGACGTTGACCTGTATCACGGTAATTGGACAAAGAACCCCTGCTCTCGCTGCCGGATATTTTGACAACTAAGGTTTAGAACACTCTTTTCGTGAGCTAGGCAACATCGACCTCATTATTAGAGAGCCCTTTTTTGCACTCTCTTTCATAATAAGTTTACTATGCATTTCCTTTTTTAAATGGTTCGCTGAGGTTAACTTAAACTAGCTATACTGTTGTATTTAGATTCTTGTACATTATCAGATAAAGTGGGTATCCTAACAGCAATAGTGTTCTGTCATGTTATTGTGTTGCAGGGTGTGCTATCATTTGTCTTCTTACCATCATCTGTGAAAAAGGAAAGGTTTGTGGCCTTATAACTCAGCTCACAAAGGTGCCAAACTAGTATATGGAGGGCGTGGGCCGTTGGAACCTTGGTATTCTCTTACTTTTCTTTCTGCTACGACTGCTATTGCAATTGATCTATGCAGATCAATTTTCGACTAGTTATAACCCGCACGTCTTTAAAAATATGACTTATGTCATAAGCACTAGTTTCACGACCTCCTAGTTGTGAAATTTAAAGGCTTACATAACTCACCGTTGCGACTTTTAAAAACCTGATTTTGCCCGGAGACCATGTAATATGCTGTTCTGATGGCAAAACTCCCCGCGTAGGTTATAAGTAGTACTGTGATAATCACAGGCCAGCACGACTGTACTCTCATCTCCTTGGCGATAAAACCAAACTTTAGGTTGAAGTGTTAAGAGTAAAGTGGTGAACAAGGACAAGGGGTGGCCTCACTTACCCAAATTCTAAAATCATAGATACCATGAGTACCCCTTTCTTTTGCTTCTAACTGTTAGTCAAGAGAACTAGGGTTCTTATCCAGACATCGGTGCTTTCAGTAAGTTTTCGTCAACTCTCTTATCTGCGTAGTGATATGTTGATATTGTCAGGGGCAGATATACGTTCAAACACAAAATAAACTGAATAATTTATGGCTAAATCGTTAGATTGGATGTCAGTTACTTCTGGCCATGTGAGTCCCGAGGGAAAGATAAGCCAGTGATTCAGTGGGACCATAACCGCAGTACAGCCTTAAAACCTAACGCTGAGTGGCTCAATTCTGATTAACGGGATGATATATTTGGCAATAAACCCACATTCTGAATTAGTTCTTGCTGCTAAACTTGATTCTTAATTACCTCGAATATAAACTCACTAGGAAAAATTTTTCACCTATTTCCATAACATTCGTTGAGTTTATGAATGGAAAGCAGCCGGAGGCAGTTCTTTAATAATGTAGAAGTAGAATTGGCGAAGTTATAACAAATGGATATTAGGAGGAAAATTCAAGTCTGTGAAAAATTAAATCTAGGAGCCATGGGCACATTTGAACAGATTATCTCATTAACAGGAAGTTGTTTGGGTGCCTAGATATGTAACTCCGTCTATGCTTTCTTTGACGCCATTTCAAATATATTTGCAACTGTAGAAATAAATATCTTCCCAATGCATATTAATGCAGAAAGAAGTTTTCTTTACCATTTCGTCTCCAGTGCTTTAGAAAAGACATTAGTGAAATTCTAAAGTAAAAAACCCAATCTCAGTCGTGTCAGATCTATGAAAATGGGAAATTTATAGGTAAGAATTGGAACATGTACATAACATGTACAAATCTTATCTAGTGCGTCAGCTTTTTTTCTTGATAAGCCCCATTACTTTGCATCGATCCTTTTTCAGTTAATGATATAGACTCAAACAACTAATCCTCTTCTAATAGTTTGAAGCCAGTGTAGTTTCGTGAGGCTGATAAAAAAAATTCTAACAATACGTCGGTCGGTTTGTTGAACTAAAAAGCGATTTCTCTTTCAGAATTCGCAAACGTTTGTGTGGTTGTTCCGGTTCGGACAACAATTAACCTTTTGAAAATGAACTGCTAACCTTTTTCCACAGAGAAATTTGCTCCTTGAAAGTTATTCTTCCGGTCTGAAAGAACAATTTTTTTTGCCACGCATGAAAATCTTATGGCAAATTATAATGGAAAGAAAAAATGGATCTTGTACCTTTCCAACAAAGCTCTGAGTGTCGTCTGCGACCAATTTACTCAATAATGTATCAATGTTGATGGCAAACTAATCTATAACTTCAAGTAGTTCAATAAAAGTTCCAGCTAATATATGTTTTTGATCTTACGAAAACCAAATATTTGATTATTTCATCACTGTCGTTGCCAATTATTTAAAAAGCTGTGCAAAGGATGTTTTCAAAAACTTTCCATCTTATTAAAAGCTTGCAAGACATGCCATATGTTAACTTCAATGCCGTTCTCAAAATAAGTAATCGTTAATTTTTTGGTTGTCCTGGAGTAAAAATATGCTAACAGAATGAAAGGAAAATAACATGTTCCATCCACTATTAATTTATCTCCTATTATCATCACTCCTAGTATCACTACTTAATACTTAAACGCGAAATTCCGAGGCAAAAAAGAAAAGCGAATTTTACACAGTTAGACAGTTGATTTCGGTAAATCCTTGAACAAAACAAATTCACTAATTTCCCTCTTTCATACACCTGAAATTACCGTGATAGGAAAATATCTACTTTGTATGGATAAACGGAACGTAGAAGGCACGATTCAATTTGCCTTGGTTTACTTTGTTTGAAATGCCTTCTCTTTTTGTACTTTGGTGTTGATGAAATAAAAGTCAATAGAACTTTGATATTTTATTAGGTTGTAATTGCGTAAATTCATATTCAACATTAAATAACCCTCCAATTTTGCGGTTTGACGACTAAATTGCATTTCTTTAGAATTAAAACTAACAAAATATCCATATAGATGTGCTTATACAATAACAATAATATATTATAACCCTTAAACTCCCAAGATCCGATTGCTGATTCTCTCCTCTGGCTGCTACACATTTCCCTGTAAATTATGTATGAGACTTGGTGCTAGTTCAAGATAGCAGCTTCCATCTGATAATTTCGAATACTCTCTTTAACTGTTTGCTGTATAGTGCATGGATATTATAGGGAAAGTTTCGTGTTAATCACATTTGGGAGTAAATGGGTTAACAGGAAGAGGGAATTATAAACAATTTCAAGAGCGTAGGACATAAGGAAAATAAAGTATCACGCAGATTAGATCGAAATTTATGAAGTTCAATCCCCATTTTCCATCGAGTTATGAACCGTCATTTTCCCAGTTGAGAGGTTTAGTCTGTTCATTCTTTCGAACGAGTTATATGAGGAGAGAGGATCATCCGGCTGTCAGCTGAAGTGCTGGATGAGAGTTTCACCAGTGCTGTTAGCAGCCGTGATCACGAGGAACGTGCGTCCCTATTGTTTGCTACCGTAACAGTGGAAACGCGGTGGTGTACAATTTGGGCAGGCGATAAATATTGGATCTGTCGATCAAGTGTTGCATTGCTTTAATATGATAATGTTGTTATGGCAACAACATATGACGTCGTAACATAGCTTCGGAGGTAATTCTTCTCGTTTCTACGGTGTGGCAATGTAACTCCTTAGTAACTTTTGGAAAGAAACAAACAGGATGGAAGTCATCTTGCTGATCATATTCAATAGATAGAAAGTTATCCTTGTGCAGCTAATAGATAAATGATTTTCACCACTACTTAAGTAGTGTTCATGACTGCGAGGATCGCTTCGATATTCGTTTTTTTCAACCGCAGTTCACATATACGATTTTCGTATATTTGCATTCATTTATTCACCACTTCGAGGGTTTATTTGGAACCAACATAATAACCAGCTCCCGGTTGGCTTGTTAGCTCAGTTGGTAGAGCACTGCACCGGTATCGCAGAGGTCATGGGTAATCCCGTACAGGTCTGATTGTTTTCAGGCCATACTTTCACTACTTCTTTCGTAGTGTTCATAACCGCGAGGATCGCTTCCGCATTAGACAAATGATTTATCATCAATTAACTCGCATGCAGCCCGAGGAATGAGCAAATTCAACGAAATACTCTGAACAAAAGCGTATTGCATTGTCCACTGTTTATAGAGAATTAAGGAATTAATCAGCTTGAATAAAAAAATTGGTCACGCCCAGAATCTTTAAATTATATGACATTGGAAGAATATTATCTGCCAGGTTATATGCTCTGATTACATCCGTATGCTATTATAATAGTATTTTTTAAAAAGGTAAGTTTCTACTTCGAAATGAAGAGGCTTAAATTATGTCTTTAGGAATAAGCGGTTTCTATTGTACGAATCAAGAACGAAATTCATGGAAAGCCATGTTTTGAGTGCGGGTTCGAAAGTGTTATAGAATATTGTCTTTAGGCAGGAGAAAAAAAACCCGAGATAATCATTTGTACGAGTGTGAGGTTGAAATTTTTGGCGTCTCTGCTTTCTAATGTCCAAGTTAAGCGTTTTCAATATTAATGTTATACAGAAACGATAATTTTCTATAATAATTTTATAAAGAAACGATAATTTTCTATATTATAAAGAAACGATAATTTTCTCTATTATAAAGAAACGATAATTTTCTCTATTAATTTTATACAGAAACGATAATTTTTTACATTAATTTTATACAGAAACGATAATAGGGTGGGTAATGGCACACTTTCAGTATAATCGTAGACTATTTTTCACACAAGTATTTGAGCTCTTTTAATGTGATAATACAAAAAAAGTAGAAGTTATAATTTACTCAAACTGGTGTGTTCGCTACATCGTGCACCTGTAAGCAAAAGGGTGCCTGCTCTTCACCTTACTTTAGAAGGGAATTTATTATGGTAATAGGACCGAGTGGAGTCTAATTCGGTTTGTTATCATACGAGTGATTAACAAAATTGGACCATCTCGAAGCGGGAGTCCGATTTGTGAGTCCGATTATCGCATATGATTATAGACGGAATTGCACGACAAGAAGGCCTGTTACCAATTAATCAAAAATGTGACAAAATTTGAGAAAAGAAAGTAGATATCGGTTAGACGTTTTCATAAAAGCTGGCAACAGTTAACCCGTCGAAATGCGAGACAACACCGCACGCACATGACGTGTTCTGTCCACTTTCACAGGCATGACGTGTTAACCGTCCCTTTAACTGTCCTATTACACCGTCTAATTACAAGCATGACGCGTATACTGTCCTATAAGTACTCAAATCGGGCTGGTGATAACCAATCACATTCGAGAATTTTTGTAATAGTTTGTCACAGTAGTACTTTCCAAATTTACCTCAAGTTTGTACCCGGACCGACACAACTTTGCAAACACTTTGAATTGAATATTCCCTTGTGAATAGCATACAAAACAAAGGGCTTAGACCTTGAACCATTGGGTTACTGGAGGTCTTCTTGTCAGTTTAATTGGTAAGGCAAACTGATTCTTAACAACAATTTTAGCTTCGCGTCCCTTTTATCCAGACTAATCTTCTGAAGATTTTATTTTAACTCTTAGCGAAAGAGGATTTTCTTGGAATGATATTGCCATGGCTACAAGATCTGACTCCATGAAATGAGTTCGGTTGTGTTACGTCATATTTCGGTAAAATGGAAACTTCCGTAAAATCAAGGATGGCAGCCATCTTGAACGCCATCATTACGGATGACTTCACGTTCTGAAATAGCCTGAAAACACACCTACCATTAATTGGTGCACAAAATTATGTACATCGAGGGCTAAATGGAATTTAAACAGACTTAAAACTAAAAAACTATTTACAAATTTCTTACAGTGTACAAAATTCCAAGGTCTCGTTGGTCAACAGGGGGTTCCTACATGTAATGAAAGATTTGTTGGGTTTTTGACTTTTTTCCCCATGAAGAAGTTTGGACCATTGCCAGATCGATGGACATGTACTGTTTGGCAGTGATCTACAACTGTGCAAGGAATGGCTCAGGAATCAAGAGGTGTTTTGTATGGGTTTCCTGACGGATATTTGATCCTGTTTACGAGGTGTCCTCATGGAAACAGGCATATGCACTCGGAGTTTCAACGCACATAAACTTTCCAAACATCACCAGGCGATATCGCTATTAAATTGCTTCCATTATCATCATCACACCACCATTTACCCAAAACGGCCACCCAATAATATTCCTGCCGAATGAAAGCTGCGTGATTGTACATCCTACGCTCTCCACGGTGTTTATAATGTCCCCACTTTCCAGCGTATTTTGAGCCGTCATTTCCCCATCTATCACACTTTGAAGCTAATCGGGAGTTATCTCCCTGCATTCTTTCAAACGAGTAGCAAGAAGAGGGGAGAACGTCCGTCTGGCCGCTGAAGTACTGGACCACAGCTTCACCAGAGCTGTTAGCAGCTGTTGTCACGTGGAAAGTGCGTCCTTGTTGTTTGCTGCAGTAGAATCTTAGTTGAGTGAAAGACAAGTGGCTTCTGAGTTCTCTCATGGCGCTCAGTCTGATACCCATTTCGTTGTTGGCAAAGTTGCTGATCCCGCGGTATGATGTCTCAGCGGTCCATTTTTTGGGCGGTTTAGAGCTGAGCATCTCCAAGTTAGCGACAAGAAGCCAGCCACCTGTTACAAACCTCACTTTTAAATCGATTCGTTGTAATGTAAATGGTTTAAACAATTCGATACCGAATACTGAGCGTGGAAAAGACAAGGAAAAGCTTGAAAAGATTATTAGATAAATTATAAGCATTTACCTCCGTCGGTTGTCATGTCACAGAAAACTTTCAAAGGATTTCCATTTTTCTCAGGGTCGATCCAGTACTCCCCGTCTTCCAGGGAAACTCTCGACTCACGAATGTGTTTACAGGAGTCACCAGGTGAGGAGGAGCTCGATCCAATATTTTCTAATGATCGTAAGAATAAACAATCATTCAATAGGTTAAATTTTTCATCTTTTTTTTCGAACAAAATAATGAATTTCTTCTTTTTTCTACCATGTCCTATTGTTGAAAAATTCATTTGTTGTTCATCTCGAGAAATGAAGCCAAACTATTCCTCAAACAAATCCGCGTTAATCTTTTCTATCCTCGACAATCATTGTGTCTTCATGTTTTATTCTTCATCAGGTGGTAGAGCTTTTCTTTCTTACTGAACTTATACTTTAGCTGCCGTGTCAAGGGTAATTTTGCAATTCGTAGGAAGCAATTATGATTTGCTTCTGTATATAAGACTTCTTGTACATCTCTGTGCTGCGTTTCGTGATTCGGCGCACCACTGAGTGCATCGGCAGTTAACGCGGATCCCATCGAAACAAATCAACTTATTGAAACTGTGCTAGCATTTGTGAGGAGCATCAAGCAAATTTGTAAACTGTCATCAGAAATACTGCACCGAGTTCTTTCTTTCTGCACATTCTGGGGTGAATTGTTAGATCAGTGACGGTACTCGACTCAAGTTTCACTCACCTGATTGGTTGATGGTTCCACTAGATCCAGAGTTATTTTGTTGATGACTCCACCTCCCAAGGTCTTCACGAACAAAATTTGAGTTTATGACCTGCAGCTGGTGAGGAGAGACATTGAAACTGCATAAATTAAAGCGTACATTCGCGGACACTTTCATCCCTATTGTCAGACAAGTTATATTTTTCCCCTCTTCTTAGAGGATATTCTACTTCACACTCTGATTTGCATGGTGGATAATGAAAAGAAAGACTGAGGAACACAAACATAACGCGTGTTTTTCTTACAGTATTCAGTAGAGGAGTGGCTCGATATACGTTAATTTGCACCGAGTTTTCGCTCCAAATTTTTTGCACCTCGACCCTTTGGGTTGAAAATCAGCTGCTATTGCACAATTTGTAACTTGTGATGCTTGCCGAAAGTATAAAAGTAATCGAAATCTCCTCAATAGTTTCTTGAACTGGCCAATTTAAAGAGGGACTTTTAGAACCTTTCTGTGCATCATAAAGGACGAGGACGTTCTATTTTGCCAAAACCGAAAACGTGAATGCAAGTTCGGCAGTGATTCTGTGGTTCTGCCAATTATAGCGCTGCTCTCACACTAAAAGGTAAACGACTATTTTTATCATTTTGAATTAGTTTATTGATAAAGGTTTTTGCTCTCTTCTATGGTCAAAACCCTCTGACCGTTCATCAGTCGTACTGACAAATTTACACCTTTTTAGTCTGTACTTAAACATGTCTTTTTGATCGGGATTCGTTTTTAAATCTTTTCAATTTTTCAGATTTGCCATTAACCCCCTATCTCTTTCACAGATCGCAGGACTTCCTAAATATTATCAGAACAAAAACAAAACAAATATTATTGAAGCTTTACGATTGAATTCTCTCTCTGTGATAAATTTTAGCTGTATGTTTTTGTTTAGAAGCATTTAGAACTATTACGATCATCGCGGACTCTGTGAGTCTGGTATCTGATGATGGGAAACAACAAACCTGCAGTACTTCAAAGTAAGTTACACCCTGATTTGCCACAAAGTCTTTTGGTTTGGACCTTCTTGTTTCGTTGTTTAAATAGCACATGGAACCGAGGCTCTGAGCACGAAAACAGTTATATGATCGACATCTCTCGTTTCTCAAACACCGCAATCCACACTCCACATCTTTGCTGTTACACACACTGATCACGTGCCCATGTAAGGAGTAACCTGCAGATTAAAGAACAGATCTAAATCTTTTCCATCTTGAATGAGCAGGTGAATATTTGTGATCATGATGCTGATGTGGAAATACAAATGATAGAGAAAATCACGGTTAACTGTTATAAGTTGATCGAAAATAAAGTGGTTCGACTCCCACTTTGAATTTTCCAATTTCTTTTTCCCGGAGAAGTCCAAAGTTTTTAGACTCGATCAGTTTAGAGACAGGCCAGTCACCTTACAGTGCTTTTTTCATAAAGTATAAAATGTTCTTTCTCCTACCTTCGTATCTTTCAAAGACACCTGAAGCTGATTCTGTGCAAAATACGAAAGGTACTTTAAAACTGCAAAAGAAACTGATCTGAAGCAAACACTGCAAAGCTGTTACGATATTTTTGATTCGTCTCGTCATAGTGTTTTGAAAAGACTGCAGAGAGCTCGTGCTTTCGACAGCGATAGGAAAACAGTAGGGGATTCTCTTCTTTCTAATGAAAGATACTACGATATTTCTAACTTGCAGGTTTCCTTTAATTGTTTACTCTCTGCTGACTTTATAACGATACGACATTAACCTTCAATCGATTGCGGTAAGAGAACTAAGTCTATTCTTTTTAATAGTAGAACGATATAAAATATTAATGGTGAAAATAAGTAATCATAAGGGAAAACATGTTTGCTTTTTGTGAGTGAATAGAAAGCTTTGAAACAAAAGACGAAAAGCATAGCGTCGATAAAAAAAATTACTTGTTCATAAAATATAGGTGCCGCCCCTAAATTTTAGATTTCCAACAGTTTTCCTATTTTTGCCAATAGGCACTGAATCAGACAAGTTGCCTGATGCTGTTTCAACTATGAGAACCTCGAAATGGACGCCGCTCTATAAAAAGACTTCTTGTTCAGCGTCAAGTGACTTCTTCAAATGATTTAATGTTGAGGAACTTTCTGAGTACTCGCTTTATTCCGCCTAAGCTACGTGATTTGTCGATGCACCGAAACGTGAAATTTGTAAATATATGTATCCTTCATTAATAACAGCGTGATTCAGCAGAGAAACTCTTTTAACTTGGACAACTATCGAGAGCCGGGGAGTCAAGTTTAATCAAAGTGCTATTAAAAGGAACTAATGCGTCATAATTACTTTGATGAAGTCGAAGTCTTACTGAGTAAGAATTAACTATACATCAAAGCGAATCACATATAACAAGAAGAATTCGCCAGCTCCGAAAGCTCCTCCCTCTGACGCCGGCGACGTTCAAATTAACACCAGTTACAGGCAGGCCATTAATTTGACAAATGAGAACCACAGGAACTTAAAACCTTCATCAAAACTTAATGAAAATGTGCACAGTATGATTTTTCAGAAATGTCTCCTGGTAAACTTGCTATTGTATGGGAATCCTGTTTTTAAATGTCTTATTTCGACCAGTAGAGGACTTTTGCATCATGCACTGGTTACAAAAGATGCAATTTAAGGGAAGCTGATTAGTTGAACAGAAACCTGCTGTGATCAAGTTGAAATAATTGTTTTTGCTTCTTTGCGCTGTAATGGTCTTTCCTATTGCAGCACAGGTCACTTTGGAACTTCCCAAAAGAGTGGTTTCTTTTGATTCACTAATTGCATTGCAATTAGTAATGATAACAGGGGCGAGTGGAGTCCAATTCGGTCTGTACTCATACGAGTGATTAACAAAATCGGACGACCGCGCAGCAGCAGTCTGATTTGTGAATCACTCGTATGATTACAGACCGAATTGAACGAAACGAAGTCCTGATACCAATTAATCATAGCCGTTATAATTTCCGAAAAAACAAATATATTTAGAGCAAACATCTCCGGTGGAGACAATGTCTGAAGAGTAAAATACCGATATTTTGGAAATTCCCCAGTTTTTTTTCAGAATAAGTGGTTGTTGCTATGGTTATTGTGATCAATTCTGTGACTGGTGGATTTAGATTTTGGAGTGAACTTAGTATGATTGGCTGCTTGAACTGTCCGATTACAGGTGTCCGATTACAGCCAACTGTCTAATTAGTGAAAAATAACGCAGCCTATGCAACAATCACAAATGAGGAAATAATAGTTATGATCAAGGGAAAAACCATGTTTTCTAATTTGTTTTGTTTGTTTTTTTTTCTTTTTTTCTTTTTTTTTTTTGCAGGCCGTGTTTCGGCAATATAATTTTGCTTTGGAGAGACCTGCGTCGCGGAAAATACCCTAACTCCAGTGATGATGACTGAGAATGTTGCCATGCCACCATCGAATTAACAAATGCAAATTACGTTTCTTTATGTAAAGGCTATTCTAATGTGAAAACTACTTCGAGCCTCCTCGATATTTGGATATAAAGTAATCCTCTGGGACGATAAAAACTACCCAAAGTGCGATTCAGGCTCGATTTCTAACGCTCTTTAGAGTCCAGTCGTCGATAAGACAGCAGTCGAATGTTACTCATGCGCCAGGGGAAAAGGTTCTGGCCGCCCGCGATCAACATTCTCGTGCAAAATTCCAAAGGAAATCATAAGAAAAAACTTCTATCTTGCAAAATAAGCGAAAGAAAATTGGAAAGTTCACGGAAATCTATTTAAGTAAACAAAAGTAAAGAAAAAGAAAACTCGAGACTTAGTAAAATAACCTATTGATTGAGCCTAAAATTAGGTTAATGCTTTAAAAACATTGTCTTGTGTGGTTGTAGAAACTTAGTTCTAACTACCCGAAAGCAAGTCGCGGAGACAATACAGCGCCCGCACATGCGCAGACGTTTGACCACTGTGTTGACGCCGACCCTCCCGAAAAGGTCAGAAGCGTGGGTTCAATCCCCGGTTATAGAGCATAACTGCCACGATTACCTAGCAAAACTGCTGGGTACTTAAACCATCTTTTTTTTCTAAATGGTATCTGCAGTATGGGGGAGTGCTCTGTACTTGTGTGAACAAGAAAGCACGAGCAGGGACTAGCTAGTTACAAAAACAAAGCTCGTGCAATGCAGCAAGTTTGCTGTACGAACAGTAGTTTCCCCATTAATAACACTAACCCAAGTCGTTTCACAGGATCGAACCATTTATTGATCTTTTAATAAAACCTCAACAACAGTTCGAAGAATTTTACTGCTTGACAAATATCTCATAGCGCACAATTTCTGTAAACCGAAGCGAGTCATCCTTACATACTCATTCAGAACAGTGCAAGAATCAAAGCACTTTGAGGCTGACATTTTCTGTGATCGCAGAGTCTTAAAACAGTTCATTAAGAGCAAATTCACACGTAATAAATAACTAATTTCCTGAACCCCAATATAACCTTTTACGAAGCAAGTTTACATGCTCTATAAAAAGCAGTGCAAAAATGCGAAGACTACGAAATCAACGTAGCTTCTTTTCTATATAATCTGAACCTTTTTTAAAATAATTCATACGCTCTTTGAAATACGTTACAATTAAATGGACACAATAACCAACTTGAACTGAACATTAACGCACTAAGAAAGAGTACTGAACACATTGAACAAGAATACAGTCGTACAGTAATGCTCAAATATATCGTATAACTTCTCGTCTCGACTCGCGCGTGACTCTTTAGTGAGGGGTATGGAATATATTATTAGCGTTCAAATAAATCACTACACTCTTAAGTTAATTTAAACGAAGTCGCAACTTCCCAACGAGTCGAGAGGCCTTTGCAACCCTAAACGTACCCTTAACTTAAAATAAAACAAAACCTAAACAAAAATCACAATAACAAACCTCACTAAACATTGCCGAAATTAAAAATGTAAACTGATATAAATGTAATGTCAGTAGTTATATAAATAATTATAATCTATAATTAGTCATTCCTAAATAAACATAACATTGTTTAGAGTTGTAGGAGATATTGCACTTTACATTTAAGCAGTACCGTATGCAAAAAAAAAAAAAGCTCTCTCTGGAACATTGTTAACACAAATGACATGATAATAACAGTCGCCTTATTTGTACATAAACGCTCTGGAATAGTGTACGAAATATAAAAAACTTTAATTCAATAAATAACATGCATAGACACTCTGGAATACTGCACAAAATTGATTCAAACAATTAAAAAAACTCATACTCAGTCTGACAGTTTTCCTACTACAAATGTATATGATATGGATCTGTCAGATAATCTCCACAAAGCTGCTTTTCAGACAGTAACATATGCTAACAACCGATCTGACAATCATTGCAACCCACAGCAGGCCTTCACAATTCGTTTTCTGAAAGACATTACTTGCCGTAATACTAACTTATCCCTCTCTCCGAAGCCTTCATTTACTGGCAACTTTCCTTCATTAACTTTCAACTGCTTATTTTTTTTTGTTCCTCAACAGTTGTAGTCGCGGACCAATTTTTTATACTGCGATAACTAAATGCTGATATTAATTTCAACGATTTATCATCACATTTAAAAACTTTCAAAGGGACCGCAAGATGACACTTGTGTCCTTTCCAAATAACAATTTTCTAGTCATTTCTTAAGGGTGTACAAAAATATTCTTTCCATGGTGAAATAATAGTCTTAAAATGAACATCTGTACATATTCTTCTAGAAATACTGTACAAATGTTATTCAAAATGTAAGCTTCAAATAATCATAAAAAATATACCACTTATGAAATTTTCATGTTCCTATTCGCCATGTACTTTGTACATATCCACTCTGGAACAGTGTACAAAAATGATTGATTAAAAAAATTGACTTAAAACATGGATTCCATGCAGGTAACTAACATGTTCGCCTTGGAACAGTGTTTGAGAATTATGCTAGAAAATTTAGGGTTTTTACTAGCTAATTTTTAATTAAAGAATATGAACAATTCTTGAACTAAGTTCACTTCTCTTGTAATTGAACATTAACCATTGAGGGAAACATTTTGAGGGTGACTTTTCCATAAAATTAATTTAAGTCTACAATCTTATTTACATTTAATTTAACTCATGTCTTCACTGTGACAGTGCCCAAACTTATTCAAATTTCTCCCAAAATAATAACTGACATAAGGGTCCCACAATAAATTGTACATCTTCACAGGGACAGCTTACAATAATATTTTCACCATGGTTTGTTAATATTACCCCCACAATTCTGTAAATGTGCTATTTGGAACTATTGACTAATTTTAACGTTTTGGGCGTGGTAGCTTGATTGGATGTGAGATTCCACTATCCACACTAATTTTTGGGAAAAAGTATTAAGGGTAGAAAGAAAATTCATCCTTCTGTTTATGACACTCGTCTGCCATAATCTTGCGTACGATGAACTTGGTGTACATGATTGTGCAGGCCTACCTGCCAACTAAACATGACCCCAGTAATTATTTCAAAGAAATGGCATCCACTCTTTGGTACGTGATAATTGGATATGTGATCCACACGTTCTGATTCTTGACATTTCACTTCTAGCACCTGAAATTCCACTCTGGCGAAAACAAAGTTTTTAACGCCCTCTCTTTTGAGTTTGGATCATTCCCTGACTGGAAAATAAGCTGTCAACTTACAGCACTATTCTGTCATTTCCACCTGAGCTTTCTGTTCAGCCTTGTTTACACAGCACACTTATTGTGGAATTTCATTTCTTCTAAACTGTGTTTTCTGGGAGGTACACCATACATGAGCCTGTCATATAGAAAAAACGAGCAGAAAAAAGTGTAAGAGGTGTGAAACACCATAACTCTCTTGAGTAGCACCACCCCTCAGACAAATGCCCCCTAAGACAAAACTGGGCATCCCTTCTGTCTGGCCAAATGCCCCCATTAATCTCCTCCTGTTCTAAAAGACAAGTCATTTCTTGCCAAACTAAGTGTATTATCAACATTAATTGGATGAGTTTGAGCAATATACTTTAAATGATCAAAACCCAGGCCTGAATTATCGCACAGACACAAGGTTTGATAATTCATGACACCATGTGAAAACCAAATACAATAATCGTTTTAGCATATTTACATTTTTTTTAACAATCTGCAAAAGAAGACACTCTGAGAATGATGGGGCTCGGAAACTAGGCAGAGTTTGAACTTGACATGGTAAATGCAATATCTGCCATACATATGAGATTATCATCTCAACTTCACGCAATCCAAGATGGCGCTACGTGATAAAGGTGTACCAGATCTTTCACAGTAAATCCAACATATAATAATGGCAGTTACAAGATTGGCTCATTTCTAACATACTTTCTTCGTCGACAACAAATACCAGCTGCACCCCCAACAATACATTAGAATAAGCTTTGTGTAATCATAAACAATTGAGGCTGCTTGTATTTTCTTCTTGTGCAAATGCTTACTAAACAAAATATCAATCTCTAGCCACAGTTTGGGAAAAATGAGTTGCCTCCATCAGATAAGCACCCCATCACCCTGCAATTTTAACCAAAATTTGATATAGGTACCCAAGGTGCTTATTCAAGGATTTGCAGTTCACCAGGTTGATTCAACATTCAGTTGTGTAGTGAACACTGATCCTTAGGATAAACTCACTTGAATTCTTCATTGTACAAATTCTCATCCACCACAGCAGTAGTTAATGGGATGGAAGTGTCATGAGTACTTGGAAATTTGTCACAACTGAAGGTCAAAAAAATATCTAAAAGTTACTGTTTGTTTCAACCTAAGTTGAAACTGTAGAATAGAGTTAATCATGAACCTTTTCATTCTTGGAAATTGAACTTCTGCTAAACTTCTTAGAGTGGTAAATCACCAAATGGTTGATAAATCTGTGTGCAAGTGATGGACCCAGTGGAAAGGCCTAGCCTACCACAAGTCTCCTTGAGCTTAGTGGTAGAGCATACAAAGTACTAACTGGAAGGTGAAAGGTTCCGCTCCTGTTGGGAGCACTCAGAGTTCTTTTTCTCCAAGTGTGCCCATGTCATTCAATGAAAAACATCATCTTTCTGTTAAATCACTAAGCTTAATATTTTTCCATTTTCTTTTACATCATCAAGTGAAATATTATTGTTTGTGTAGTACTTCATCACAACCCTATCACATCTCTACAAACATTGTACACTGTAACTACTCAAACTACACTGCACAGGGAAGCATTTTACAATAGTCACAACCCCTTGAAATTTCTCACCTGCTCTGCTTGCGTTGGTAAAGAAATATGACAAAAATTGTCACAGGAACCATAAAAATAAATATAACTGCAGCTGTAACTGACACTGCAACAACCAAATGGCCCGATGGTTTCAGAGGCTTGGAATCCGAAGGGGAGCCCACATCTTGACGAGCCACTGCTGACACTTGAGATGGCAATACAGATCTGGGGACTCCAGCTGTTGGGGTAAAAGGTGTATTCTTCCCCTCCTCCTTACTGGTGGCCACATTGAGTGTTTTGGCTGAAAGACCAATTGGAGTAGGGGTCACTGTGTCAACAGGATCTATGAAAAGAAAGAGACATATTTGCTTATGTGTTGTTTTACATACTTACCATTGCATTAAATTTAGTTCCTGCTTAACTGATCCAATTTCACAATGCCTCCATCCACCCCAGGGAAATTGGTATGAACCAAGAAAGGTGTGGCTCATTTGTCTTCGATTGGGTGTAGTCTTCATCACCTCATTCTCCCAAAGTACCAGTACATTTAATTTTTTTTTTAATCACATACACTTCACAATGAACATAATAGCAGCTGTAGAATACCTATTTCTTTTGGGCGTGTTGTTTCTTTTCTAAGAGTAGTATTTTTGGCTATAGTGGTTTGATGTTCTGGTGCAGCTGTTGTGGGAGTTGTTACTGTCTGCGTAGGATCTTCTTGTGGCTGAGGAATACTCTCTGCAGAGCCTGTAAAGAAACAAAACAACTATTAATTATGATACACTAATTTTTGTTCAGTTTACCCTTGTAATTGATGTGTCTGAATTTTCTGTAAATACCCCTACACCCCACTCAGTATTCAGTAAATTCTGACCTTAAGCTCCAGGCTCTAAGCTTATATAGGCCCCCTCCTCCCTACTACCCTCATCGTTCACTCTAAAAAGTGGTTTCACCATGTCTGTTGTTGTTGTTTTTTTTCTGTGGACTTTGCTTGTTTTGGCACAAAATTCACATGTATTTGAAAGCCTCTCCTACCCTCTTCTTTATTAAACATCAAAGGTTTTCATGTACACAGTCCAGTAATATACTCATTAAATGTGGGTATATTTCTGAAGAAAAATATCAATTTCCCTTCCTAACCCATACATGCATCCTTATGAGCCTCCCCCTTCAAATAAATGCAACACCTCATAGGTACCAAATAAAATAACATCAATATTCACTTACAATTTTTCAGACCATATAGCTCCAAGCGCATACACACTCTAAGTCTGTATTTTACAGGATATACTCTAATATATCTTGCAGATATCTTAGGATTGAATGTGTTTGTAACAGCAGCCTCTGCATTTGTATTGCCTGCCAAAACCTGCAATGATTTACACACAGTGTATCACCATTACCAAATTTCCAGTATTAAACATTCCCCAAATAGATAACACAATCACGCTAGTAAAATCTTGAATCCTGCCACAAAAGTTAGAGGCATTCCCCAGACTGACAACAACTTTTATGCAACACGTCTGTCCCAATCAGCAAAATGTACTGAAGCAACAACTTGCAAATGTTTTAGACTGATTGGAGCAAAACTGGGTCAAGTCTACATGTATTTCAATTTTGCTTTTTGAGAGAAATGCATGCAGTTAGTCATTATGAACCCTTTTTTCCTTGTAAAATACTGTGTCATTCCCTTGCTCTATTCTTTGCAAGAGAAGGAACGAACTATGATAATGAAATATAATATTCCTTATACAGCTGTTAGCAGAAAGGTTGTTGAAAAAAACAATTAATAGTACATGCAACAGCTCTGAAAGGTATCTTGGGTAGTTTCAGGGAAAACAGCATTGTAGTAAGATGCACACCAGATTTGATGGAATTTTTGTTGTATGCAAAACTGACTTTTAATTCCAAACTTGATGAAAAATGAAAAAAAGAACAAAATCAGTGACCCTAATGAAGGGGAAAAAATGTAACCTCAACAAGAGTAAATTTAAAGTGACCTAAAGAAAAAATGTTCACAATGTGATGGTTTATTCTTCTGTTCCTCTTGTATTCACGTGCATGTTGGTACTTATCCCCTGTTCATTAGTCCTCTTGTCTACATTTATTTGTTTCACTTATCTAATGATAACTGGGAACCCAGATTGCCTTTCCAGACTTTTGCATGCACTTTGTCTTTTTTCTGACAACCTTTGAGCAAAAAGCTGTATAATTCAGGGTGTGAAATTAATTTTTTTTTCTGATAGCCACTTGGCTCCTAAATTCTTCAAAGTGTTAGCCAATTCAAAAAAAGTCGCCATTTTCATAGACAGTCAAAACCTTCTTTTCACACTGTCATCGTTCGAAATTAAGTTAGGGAAAAGATATTTAATGCGCTACAAAGAGGACACTAGAATGTATGATATGCAATGTTCAAGCCCACCTAAATCCAAGATGGCATCTAGTTCTCAATTGAGATGCATGTGCTGCGTTTTGGAAACAAACTTAACGAGGAAGTTTGCTGTGGATTTATCTTTGCAAATCTTTTTAATTCACTAGATCTCTAAGTAAGGTTATAATGAAACGTTCTAGTCGCCAATTTGGCGACTAATTTTCAGGATTTGGTCACCAAAGTGAAAAATTTAGTCGCATTGGCACCTGTAATAGGCACAATTTCACACCCTGTAATTATGAACTTCTTCAAAAGTCAATTTGGTGCAATAACTTTCCTAGGCCTTTAATGGCAAGAATATCCTAAAGAAATGGTTATGCAAGTAAGTGCTCCAGAAATTTTAAAATAAAGATTTAATTTATGGTTTACCTCTTTGTAGAGCTTCCAAGTATCTCTGTCATTGCTGTAGGAAACATTATACTGCGTCACATAATATGCGTTTACAGCTGCTCTAAATCCTTGAGTAGCAATTTCACTGATGTCCATGGACTGATTTAAGTCTATTTCAATGTATACTGGCATATCGGAGTACTTGTTGGCAGGAGAACACCATGCTAGCATATTGTTCAGACGAGCACACCCAGGATTCATATCAGCACTTTCACCACCTCCAACATACAAACGTTCATAGTGATTTGGGGAAGATAGCTGAGAGTTTGAAATTCTTCCATCCTGTAAACCCAGAGGTCTTTTGCAATCTGTTTGAAATAAAGGACAAAGTTAAAGTAAAGCATCTAATCAATGGCTTATTTCTTTCAACAGGCCCATGCCTGAAGGTTGGACCATGAAAGGGAAAAAGTCCTTTGTCTAAACAGAACACAAAAGGAAAAAACTGTGCCTCCTTGTCAAGTTTAAAGCAAGTATAATATATCATGTATGTGTGCCAGTGTAAGGGGAGATCAATTTGATAAGCAACAAATCAACAAAAATATTAATGGATAAATTAAAAATAATCATAAATATGACACCACAATTCACAAGGAACAGGCAAACGAACACTGTTTTCTCATCTAGCATGATGTAATGAGCCTGTCAATTAAGACACAACCATGATGCGGATAACTTGAAAGAGCCACAACATTAAAAGAACAATTGTGCTAAGGGTCAGATGTTATATTTTTAGCCACTGCATAGGTTCTTTTCCTCCTCTGATGAACGGTAAAGATATGATTGTCCATCGACTGACTGAATGTGCCAACAACAGGCTGCTCTAACAGCCAGTCTGTTATCAAATTCACAGCAAGCCAATTCATCTATATTTCCACAAAAGACACTGCCTGTACAATGCTTTCAATAACTAGAGTCATATGTTTAAATTCACTGATATCTCTAGAGAAACAAAGCTCAAAACAAATAAGCACGATTTTTAATTACACATCACTATCATGCAAATTGAGTGTTTACTTTTATCCAAAAAATAGACAAAGTCTAAATTCAAATAATATAAGGAAAGAAATGGAAACGAACATTGAAAAAAACGTTTTCAGATTTCAATTTCTTACATCCTATACAAGTAATAACTTAAACTTAGAGTATTTATCGATCTTTGTTGAGAGAAACACACAAGAGTACTTAACAGGAAATGTGCACCTTGCTTATTAGCCTCTTTTTTTTATACAAGTACAACATACCCCTCAAGATGCAAGCCATTCTTTGATGGTAAATTAAAAAATTTTTTTTAAACATAGTTCGAAATTGTACCCTTGATAACGAAAATTCCACATAAAGTGACTTGATTACACTGTGTTTCCCTTTACAGCCTGTGTACCGTGTACTTTGCATCACCTGTATTCTGCATATCCATAATACACAAGTAACCTCAAGCTATCTTTAGTAAGCATCTGGACATCTAGAATTTTAATAGATTAATCCCTGCCACAGTCTGGGGCACCACTTGATCATGGGATCTCAAAGTCTATTAAAAAAAATCTCCTCCCTGCTCTGTATTACATCTAAAATACACTTACACTTCCATGAAAAGAACTGTTTCTCCAGAACAGTTTCTCCAGAAAAGTTTCTCCAGAACAGTATAGAAGCCTATGATCAGAGAAAGGCTTCTCCCGAAGAGCCATGTCAACCGGAATATTTTTTTTTAATTTAGAGAAGATTCACACCTATTGGAACCTCCTGCTATTTCACAATCCACATATTGAATGTTGATTCTGTCATTAGAATTATGAAGGGGTTTTGTTACATTTCATTTCACTGTGTTCAGCTGGCAGTTCTCAAACAACTTCTAGATTAAAACAACAAAATGTAACCTCAGAACTGAACCAAGACTAGTAAATTGCTTCATCCGCGGTAACAAAGGCCGGAACGAGAATTCGAAAAATTAACCTAATATGCTTTAGAAAGGTGACTTATTATATAAGTGTCCCCTACTGATACAAAACCCGGTCAACATTGCAAAAGTATGTTATGCGAAATAAACTATCTTAGTTTGTGTTTTGTACGTGTTTTGAACAATAAACACTGACTACGGCAATAATTAAGAAAGCTAGTACGCATACGCCATTGAGAGAACAGAGGAAAGAAATGTAACAGGGTTATTGCAAATCAATAGAGTTGAAGAAAATTATAAGAATGTTGAAAAAACTTGTAAAACTAGGCACTAATATTAAGAAATTTTTGAGCTTCTATGGGTGATCAAAGTCGATCAATATCAAATAACCAATGCAGTAACAACCCCACGCAAGCCGCCAATACATTGATTTCAAAGTCGAAATCTTCAATCTTTCGTATTAAAAATGTAGAGGTTACTCCTGCTTACAGAAAAACCTACGAATTGAATTTTTCGATTGATTTAATTAGTAGGATGTAGTAAGGATCGTCCAATGCCATGTGGCCACGATAAAATGGAACTGAAAAAAAACCATAATACTAAAACAAAAGGCTTTCACAGAAAACTACGCAGTGGTTGCAAAATTTATGATATACTTTGTCACTTTAAAAACTTGTTGCCTGCTTTAGACAATGTGCTAGATTCTCTCATTCAGAGAAACTTTCTTTACTTATCTATGAAGCGAGGGCTATGAAGCGGGGGTTATGAAGCGAGTGATTTATTGACGGCGTCTCATATTTACTCCACAGTTCGACTTTTGTAGATTAGCGCATTTTTCCTTACATAATTTTCTAACCAATGAGTAGAACTCTGTCGCTAGGTTTTCTTCTCATTGTTCTGTGTTTATTTAAGAAGAAGAACAATCCTGCTTCTTCATGTAACGCCATGTCACTAGGCTGTGTAAGAAGGATATTTTCATTCAACAGACTCAATTTACCGTGCAACTTACCGTTCAAATTAGAACTAGATCCTACCCAAGTATGTGAAGATAAGCATAGAAGAAGAAGAGAGAGCGAAGCACAAGAAGGACAACACCTTGAAACCATGGTGTTCTCGTCCTGCAAGAAAAGACGTACTCTTGTGATGAGCAGTGCTCTCGGTCATACGCGGAGGGCAGCCGCTTGCTAACACATGTGCTAAGCGCGGTTACAAAGCGCTTACACGTGAGGGGTTAGCACGTCGGCAGAGAGTGAAATGCGGAACTTCGTTGGCTACTCACAACCACGCAGTTTAAAAGTACTGCATACATTTGTATCAGTGCTAACTGCGTCAACATAATTCCTCAAATTAGTAAACATAGATTTAGACCAATTATTAATAACTCCTTGATAAGAACTGCCGGAAAAAAATGGTATGATCATCACGAGGGAGACTGAAGTGGTTTTTAATGTACTTTACCATCACGTTGGGATTCAAAGAAACCGATTTAGGTGCCCCAGGCTACTTTTAGCTAGTTTTGCTATAATTTCTCTAAGAATACGCGTTTTAAACTGTGATGGGTGCTATTTGCATCTTCAGAGCAGTTCGCTATATAAAAACCTGAAACTTCAATGATATCATCGAACTTTAAAGGTAAAACTAAAATGGTCACATTACTTTTTAAGATCACGAGGAAAAAAAAGGGAAAACGGCACGTGAGAACTTGCGCATGTCTTACTGACAAAACCGAGCTGCTCGTTTCAAAAGAGTAACTGAGAAGTCTCACAAGGTCTAGTTTCTGGGTAAACAAGTTTAAGGTTACAAATGTAGAGAGCAATCAGATATTACTCTGGGGAACCCATATGACTGGTTATTTGGGAAAATCCGCCTCTATAAGCGTTTTCATACAGGGTAATACCTCCCTTGGGTGAGTTCTACTGTAGCTGAAAATTGCTGAGACAACAGTCAACATTCCAGCTGTCTTTTTCCAAGACAGATCAAACCTGTATTAATAGACATGCATGAAAAAGAATGCCATATTGGGAGAGAACAGCATACATGCATTGCAATCAAACTCAATCATCAAAATTTGCTGCCATAGACTATGGCCGATTATACACGAGTAACAAAGGTTAGTCAAATTTGGTGTAAGATTTTTGGGATTCTATAGTCCAAAGAGGAATGAAAACAAGAGAACAAATAAATTATAAAGTAAACCCAAAAAGCTAACAAAGAAATTACAAATTAAAACGAAAGTGACAGAATCTCTTTTCCTCCATGCCAGCTAAAGCTGTTCTTTCTCTAGGGAAAGACTTAAGAGCCGAAATATGAAAGAACTGTGACTCTAATCGCTCATTTGGGTGTCGACTTTTTTCAACCTTTCTGGAAGATAAATCCAATCGGATCAGGGCCTGGCATGAGCCAAAGAAAAATTTCTTACAACTTGGACAACCCACAACCATCAAAAGCCATCAGAAAATTTCAAGAACTCGCTTTTAAAGCTAAAAACGACTAACATAAAAAACAAACCTAAGCAAAGCATTTCAAGGGCAACACAAATAAGCTTTTTAACTAAGGCTTTCCAGCGGGTTCAGATCGCGTAAGTGATTCCTACAGAGCAGTGAACTGCCATGAGACGTCGCCTATATTTGTAGCTGTCTATTTCTTTAAAATTATCAAATCCCAATACCGACGTCAACGAAACCCGGCGATATATAGCGTTTTACGAAAACAAAAGTGACAAATTATAAAATTCGTGTTTTAAACTACCGTAAAGAACCATAAATAAAGAACAATACAGCGAAGGGATTAACAGATATTGGATTCGTTGAAATTTCATGAGTCAACCTTACGGTTAAATACCGACCAAAACGCGCGTGGTAACAGCTGATTGGTTTGTTTGTTACTTGTTGGTGATAATGGCGTAAAATAAATGATGCTCATGATCCTCTTCTGTCGTACAGGACGCGGGATAGGACACGGAAGGCCCTCGTTAATTGCCGTACAAATAATAGTAAATACACACAATATAAATAAAGGGGGTAAGTTTCTAAAAAGACTGAAGTGCTGCGTCAGTGAGGGGTATTGCAAGATTATTTTGTTTTAAAAACTGAGTTGATAACGTAAGTTGGCCACCGTAGGGAGTTTCTAAACCCATTTCAAGGAAAAGTAAAAAAATGTGTTTTTCTTTAAATTCATTTATTCTATTAAGTATTCTTACAGGTCTCGGATTTGTTATCATTAGCATGGAGTAGTGAGCCTAGCAGGAAAAGTTTCTAAAGTTTCTAAACCAAATCCTTAATTATAATGATGACCTACAAGACTTTTTTCACTCTCTGCAGCTGTTTAAAGGTTCACCACTGATTCAGATATCAACTTAGCGTTTTCGTGTTTCAATGCTTGCGGAACACACACCACAGTTTGTTTACAAAATAGACTAATCAAGGACGTATTCAAATATATTAGAATCCTTAATGACGCAAGTCTGAAGTTCCTTGTATCAACAGAAGGTTTCAACTGACGTAAGTAACTTTGAACGGGAAATGCCTAAAACCATAATTGCTTCCAATCTTTTCACCGGCAGAATTATTTTAAACTTTGTTTTGTTTTGTTTCTTAGTTTTTCCGGTTTTACACTGTCACGATTGATTGCCCCTTTTTGCTCCGGGGCTTAATGAGTTTAACGTCATCAAATATAAAATATTCGCGGTTGTATGAGAGGCGTAGACGTTGATAAGAAATAACCGCCTCTCACAAACCGTACTAATACCTGCACGTCTCAGATGTTAACCACAACATAAGAGTACACTTTCTTTGTTGAAATCCCGCTTTAATTTGAATTCTGTCAATATATATAGCAACGCTGCTTCGTGAAAAGTTGAATGATTAAGAACAATCAATAGGGTCGAAATTTTCTGGCTGACTTCATTTCAGCAATTCTTTTCTTGTCGTCGTCGAATTTCTTTCGTAAATGCGCAATGTCTGTCCAAAAATAAGAAAAGATTTCCACCAAGAAGTGGACGTAAGTTACTGTACTGAGGGGGAGGGGAAGGGAGAGAAAGAGAACGATACTGGGGGGAGAGGGGAAGGAAGAGGAAGAGAACGATTCTGGGGGAGGGGAAGGGGGAGGGAGAAAATGATACTTAAGACGGAAGGGAAGGGAGGGTCAGAGATTGTATTTGATAGGAGGAGAAAAAATCTTCCGCACAAAGCCTTTTCAGACATTGTTAGATAAAAAAATGGGTTAGGATGTTGAATTGTCCAAACATTTTACCATTTTTTTAAATAACAATTCCTCCTGCCCCACTAAATATCACACACAAAGTCATATACTAGAAGTCCCAGGTGGAAATCTTATTAAGATCTTGGAAGATCTTGTAAGATCTTGAAAGATCTTGTAAGAATCTTATAAGATGGCAATTAAGATGAAGATCTTATTAAGATCTTATTAAGAATTAATAATCTTACTAAGATCTTACCAAATTTCTTGAACAAATCTTAACCAAGTTTGAGCATTGTAAGATCTTAAAAGATCTTATTAACTATATTTAAGAATCTTGTAAGAATCTTAACAAAATTTTACAACACATGAGAGTTAAGATCTTTGAAGGATCTTAACAAGATCTTATCAAGTTTATATAAGAATCTTGTAAGGTTCCTAACAAGATCTTATTAAGTTCATGTAAGAATCTTGTAAGAATCCTAATCTGTAAGATTAGTAAGATCTTAACAAGATCTTGGTAAGTTTGTTTAAGAATCTTAATAATCAAAGATCAGTAAATGTAACTCCTGACATAAAGGTTCCAAAGAGGATCTTATCTAAAGTTTATCTAAAAGTTTTGTAAGAATCTTAATTTGTAAGATCAGTAAGAATTCAAAATGTTCTTGACAAGATTTTATCAAGTTTATTCCAGCACATTCCTGAGTGACTTGAAATGCGCATCCTATTCAGTACATAATAGAGCATGATGTATATGGCTTAAAACCTTGCACACATGATATCAAAAGTGATATCAATAAAGTCAAGTAAGCATCTATGGTTTACAAATTTCAGACCTGATAACACAAACACACCTGTTTTCTAAAGAGGTAATTGTTCCACTGGAATAATGGTATTTGTATTCAGTGTCAATTCCATGTTTCATTCAATCCGATCAACTATGCTCAGCACAATGTTCGAATACAAAACCATATGAGCGATATGTTTACCTTTAACTTTTAGATCTTGATTTGTTGTACAAATGTGATTTTTCACAAGTTTTAATTTAACTCTTAATTAGGTTATTAATTATAATAGGTTCTTTTTAAATTGTAACAATGTTTATAGAGATCCACATTAATTCATTAGGTTTTTTAACTATTAAGTGTCACCCTCTTTATATAAAGTTTGATTGATTGATTGATGAGGAATCCTTACAAAAAGGCTAGAGCCTTGTCCATGACCCTGAAAATTGCTACAATATCCATTGAAGACTTCATCCCAACAACATCATTAGGGATAGTGGAATCAACACTCCTGAAGCTTGGATACCCACGATCAAACAACACATCAGCTGATTTATGAGGATCCATGAGGGAACACCATCTAACAACCGGAATAATAATGAGGATCGAAATGCACCAATAACAGCATACCAACGTGCTACAAATAGCGACCCGTAAACATTCAACCTCATCAGTTAATGAAGACTTGCAATGTTGTGGTCGAATGCCACTCTGCCATAGCATTTCCTCCCATGTGCACAAAACTGAACAAGGTAACTGCACGAATTTCCTTTTCTAGGATACATCATGCTGTGGAAGGTGACATGATCTTTTGTCATCCTATAGGAAACCAAGTATTCTTGGTCAGGACCACTTCCAAATGCTGCAGAAAGGACATTTTGAAACTGTGTCAGCTTCTTGAAGTGCACAGGTTCATGCAGCAGGATTCCCCCTTCTGTATACCGAACACTGGGCCTTTCACCAAGCAGATGTTTTGCAAACCTAGCAGCACTGGGTGTTGATTTGCATTTCTGCAAAATGTGCACCTTGTAGGTCTGGCTTACCCCTAGTTTTTCCACCATCTGCTTTGGGAGTCCCCTTGTTCCAGAATACAGATTTTTAAGGTGAGCAATGAATGCTTCAAATACAAAAGCAGAAGTAAGTGCCAAGGAACCATGGTCAAGAACTTGGGAAGGGAAGTGGAGTAAAGCATGGGAGTTGTAAGTACACTCCTCAATACCATAAAGACTTGGTAAAAGTCTCACAAAGTTATCAAGCAAAACTTGTGCCTTCTCTACACAAGTTTTAGAAATAGGAGTTGAGTGCAGGAAACGAAGGGCAGTGGAAAGAAGTGCAAAGTGATAAAAGTGGTCTACACCAAATTCATCAGAAAGAACAGCATATCGAAGACATGGCAGTCCAGCAAAGAGGGCAAACAAACGAAATTCGGATGCTTTCCAGTGTTTTAACTCAGCAATGCTACGTGGCTTTCTAGTAAAGTCATGGGGCACTTTGATAGAGAGAAACATATTGCCTAGCTCATGACTAATTTCTAGTAAACTGTATGCATCTGTAGCATACTGAGGATCGAACCACCGTTTGAATAGCTGTCTTTTAAGGATGCCTTCACAAACACAATGCATCCAGTCAATAGGTACATTGTCTGGAATGTCAACTAATTGAGAAAACACATTTTCTCCTTTTATGCCGAATATAGTGGTGCCTCTTGCCTCTGCAATTCTTGCAAACATCCTGGTTTCTTGTGCTGTTCTGACAGCCACAGTACCAGAGGGCCTGTATTCATACAGCCTTGCACGTGTTTGCCGGTCATACCTCCCTGGATGTTTGCATACACTGCAGCCAAATTTACCATTATATTGCTTGATGTTAAAAAGCAAGGCTTTGGCAGGCAGGTCAGGCACAACAGATTGGATTCTGCACACTGATGGCACAAGTTCACCTGTTTCGTTGTTAAAATTGCTGCCATTTGCCAAATTGGATAATTCACCAGTAAAATTTTTCAAAAATAGTGGCACATTTGGTTTAGACTTCCCATACCACAGCCCAGTGAGTAGGATGTTTTCAAATTTGTATCTTTCTTGAGGAGGTAACTCCACAAGAAAACAAATGAGTGGCCAGATACTAAACTTCTTGGACTTAATCAATGGTGCCCCATCACTGCTAACTACAACTGAAAGTACTTTCCTTCCTCTGGTGCGAGGGTCATGCTGGATGAAATTTTGGTACACCCTACCATCCTGTATGTCTCTTATGCAGTCTTCAGCTGGCAATTGTGCCATAACCATTTGATAGTCTTCAATCAATTGCCAGTGTTCTGAAAATATATCAGGAGGGAACAGTTTTAACTCCTACCCTTTCCTTTGTAAGAGAATATATAATAAAAAAAAACCCAATTATTTTAACCACCAGGTATGATGATTGCTCACTCTTAGTAACTATATCTTCGGCCAATAATGCACTTTTTGGTGGATAAATTATTAACTCAAATATGAAATTAACCTTACAGCAAAAATACTTTTTCTGGGGTGCCAATTATGCCTAGGACCAATGTTACAGCAAAGATGACCAATAATTCACGTGTAGAATTTTCTTTTTTTCACTTCTCTTAATTAGATTGGTCAGTTAATTGCATAAGGGATCCCTTAATAGAAGTCACATAGAAAGGATTTCTGGCTTATAGGCCAAAAGGTGCCACAGGGTACATCTTTGCTCAATAATGTAATAATGTAATAATCATTCATTGACTTTTCTGCCTAAAGCATGTATATTTTTGAACAATTTTTGTGCTTTTCAGGTTATCAGCTCCTCTACCCTTTAACCCCTAATTTAAGAGTGATGTTGACTAGGCAAAGAATTTACATAACTTTGTGAATATTTGATGATTGTAAGGTTTCACGTGCATTTACTGGAGAATCAACTTTAAAGATAAAATGAGGCTCCAGATCAAACTAGTCAAAAACAAAGGTTAGGTGACATTCTATTTATTTTTTTTTTGGTTTTTAACTCAGTAGAGTATGTCTAACCATAGACTTTCTATTAAATGTAAATTTTACATTTTGTTCTTACCTTGAAGTAGTCTTTGAAGCTGTGGTTTTAGAGGTATTTCATAAAACCTGAGTACTTCAACTTTCATTCCCTCACCTCCACAATCACTATTTTTGCACAAATCTTTTTCCACTTTTTTGTGACATGTAGGGCAGAGTTCCATTAGCTTATAAGGAAGTAAGCACTCGTCATGTCTTTTGTTAAACTTGTAGGATGATGGTGCGACACTGTTGTTACCTGGCAAAGTAAGTTCTAATAGTTTCAACATGTCCTCCTTTGCAGCTTCAGACATGCGATGCTTCTTGAAAAGGGCTAACAACAATGCATCAAAATTGGCACTTGTTAATGTAGATCCATCATATAATGGAAGTTCACCTGACTCTCCAGAATTCATATCACCTTCACTCTCAGTGTCTTCATCTTCGGCTCCTTCCTCTTCAGAGCTGGGGTGCTCAATGCTTGAGGTGGATTCAGGAGCACTCTCTGGGTCTTCAGACAAGTTATCAGACCAGTCACTTTCAGACCCCCCACAACCTATTAAAGTTTCATGGAGTTCGCAATCCTCCTGATGGGGTGCATCTGGATTGCCAGGGCCATCACTGTCACAAAGTGGCTCGTCAATTGCAGAATGTTTCTTCTTTTGAGGTGATTTGATAAGAACACGAGTGTCTTCTTCTGAAGAGTGAACATCGCTTGAGTCATATAACTCATGTGCACTTGATTCCTCTCCTGAATCGTTATTCACTTGGCAAATTCTCCTTTTCCTGTTCTTTCTTGGAGTCCTCAGTATGTTTTCATTAGATAAATCATCAAAATCTGAGGATTTGTCCCGTTCAATATCTTCTCTGGTAACGCTCTGTTCGCTACCACTGTCTTCAATATCTTCTCTGGTAACGCTCTGTTCGCTGCCACTGTCTTCAATATCTTCTCTGGTAACGCTCTGTTCGCTGCCACTGTCTTCAATATCTTCTCTGGTAACGCTCTGTTCGCTGCCACTGTCTTCCTCGTGGGCGCTCGAACTTTCATCAAACAACATTTTTCGCCGTTGCTAAAGAAAAATCTTCGTTTTGGCAGCTTTTGGTCGTGTAGGTAATTTCCTTTTAAATATTTGACAAATTGATCGTAAGCAAGATCTGGTTCAGCAAAAGATATCGCAGAATGTGCAGACCGACCGTTCGGCAGAAATGAAAACATTTATTTTTAAAAATACAATATAAACCGTTGTTGCGACATATCTTTTTCGGGCAAAGTTCGACAGAAATTTTACTTAGGTCGAGTGTTATCTGCCTCGTTGTGAAATTTAACTGTGCCTTAACAGCCCTGAAGAAGAAAACCGATTTCTAGAATTAGATTTTACAAGCCATATTCTTTACAAAGAAACTGACAACTGAACATCGCAAATTTTCAGACCGGCCGGGTGGCCGAAATTAAAAACTGTATTTTAAAAAAAGTTGTAGTAACTCAGAAAATATTTTTCGCGAGAGTTGCGTGACATTTTGTACTTTTACGAGGGCTTTCCACAGTTTCCCGCCAGGACCACTGCGCATACGCAGAATTGCAAATTCGACCGTTGCCATCAACCGTTCTTGCGCCATTTCGTTTCGAGCAAAGTTCGACATAAATTTTACTTTGGTTGAGTGTTATCTGCCTCGTTGCGAAATTTAACTGTAACTACAGCCCAGAAGAAGAATAACGATTTCGAGAATTAGGACTTTACCATTCTTTACAAAATAGCAAATGTTATTGCCGCTTGAATATAGAAAATGAGACAGTCGGTAAGTAACAAGAGTTTATAGCAGGCCAGAGAAGGTAAGTCGCGTTTTGCTTTTATTATGAAAGAACGTTACGATTACACAATTAACGTTGCGATACCCTTGTTGAATTGTATCACGTGAAGTGGCTTCGCAATTCAGGTGAATAGTTTACATCTGTTAAGCATATAAAATGCACGCATGATTGTCCACGACACTTTATTTGAGCACTCGCTTTCAACCTCAAGGAACACATTGGTCTTGGTAGTTCGAGTGTCTTGTTAAAATGTCTAAAAAGCCAACTAGTGCACGACTGCAACTAAAGCAAATGAAGGAAAATCATCCCGAAGGTAAGTGGTACTGACTCTTGTGCATTATGGAATACCGCATTATGTTGATGTGATCAACTTTACACATCTGGAAGGCGATGCGATAGACTTAATCTCGCACTTTTTTCGATTCTTTCAACATGAACGGAAAAAATGACCATGAGTTGTTGTAATTACAAGGCCATGTTTTTTTTTAATGTAGGACAAATCATGAAATCGTTCTAGAGTTCTATTTTGTCTAAAAGCGTTTTTGTTTAGAATCGAGTAGAAACTGACACGAGATGTAACGCTATTGTCATCCAAACGACGTAACGGCGCGCTAACCTCGCTAAACTTGTAGCAGTTTTCTCAGGCAGTTTTAAAAGGGAGATTGTTCTGTATTTAAATGTTGTAGGCAGAAACATCGTAGCTTCCAGTCGTCTCGCACGAAATGGTTTGCAATAAACAAATATTTGTCTTGGGCTTTCGTTACTAATAACCTTGCCGCTAAAAGTAACTAAAAGGGTACAATAACACTAACGGGAAATCGATTATGTGATCCGTTTATTCCCTGAAATTTATTTATTAGCAATTTTGTTTTATTTCAGATTTTGAGGACAAAGATCACTGTGTCTTATTCTTTATGGAAGACCTTAAGTATAGTTTAGTTGAGCGGAAAACAATAGATCGGGAAGCTAAAGTAATGAGCACAGTGTCGGTGAAAATCAGTGGTAAGAAGTATTCTGCAACGCTTATGTTTATCGGTAAGTTGTAGGTATTGTTTATGTTCGCTTTGGCCAGGAGCAAATAGATGCGATCCAATATTTTGTTGTTGTTTTTCTTTTTTGTAATTAATTTTCTCCATAAATGTTTATTTGGGAGAGAGCAGTGACACCGTAAGCAATGGTAACATATAGTTTGGGTAACTCCCAGCCAAGCCTCCTCTTTCCCTCAATCACCCAGGAAAAACACCCTGATATTGGACTTTTTCTAACACGTTTCAAATTATATGGACCTGAACTCATTGGCAATTGTAAGGGTTGTTTATTTTATGGCAGAAGTCCCATTAACTAAGATAATAACCAATTTGAGAAAACATGGAGAAAGACTTACATTGCTGAACAGGTCAGTGATATCAGAAAGGTTTTATAAACAAAGAAACATACAAAACATTGAGCAAATGGTGATTGCTATTTTCAGCAAACCTGAGAAATACCCCAGGTAACTACTTTCCCCTTCTTTCAGTGAAGATTCAAATAGGGACATGACACATTTTATTGGCTGTTATTCTCTCCTTTTAAGGAAATAAGGAGGAATGCCAAAAGAGGATGGAGGCCCTGGAAGGTGCATTATCCCCAGAGCAAGCAAGAGTGTCCCAGTCACCAAAACAAAAAAAGGATGCAATAGGTTAGAAGATTTTTTCCTAGAATTGAGTTAATTTTCTGTTCTATACCTTAGTGGAATATACTGATCACAGTAGTCACCTGGGGTCTAAAGGTTATTGTTCTAAAGGTTATTGTTCTAAACGTTTTACTGATAACGTTCTGTTGAAAAAGCGAAATTATCAAACTTAAAATGGTTTGCTATTTTTTAAACCAAATGAAATGGAACCACAACACACACTGAATCTGTTGTTGAGGTAACTTGCTATAGAATTTTAATTTTTTTTTTTTTACTCTTAGATTGGGACATCAGCAACGAAATGAAGAAGTTGGAAAAATTGGGTTCATCTGTTTTTGAAAATCAGGAGGTAAGTGCTTTCCTCTATTACATGCTCACATTAATCACACTTTCTTTGAAGCAAGAAACTAACTGTAACATTTTAGAACAATCATTGCCATTTTAACACATTTTCTATACCAAGTAACAAATATGATGCCTGATGATAGATAATAGGCCATATTTTCATTGGTGCTTTAAATTGTGTAATAAATTATAACCTGTTAAATTGCAATATTCTACTTATAGGTTTCCAGTGATGATGATGGTGATGATGAAAGCCAAACTGGGTCTGATTATCATCACCATGTCCCCAGTGGTAGGAATTTTCCCAAAGCCAACAAAATTGCCAAAAGAGGGGGAAGTTCTTCTGATGATGTAAGTATTGTGACTTTAAATATTCAATGTTGGAGAATTAAAGTGCATTTGACCTCCCCATCTAAGAAAGAACCAGCAACTTAAATGGCTTAAGGTAAAATTTGGCTCTGTTATCCTGTTAATTCCACATAAACACATTTGACACCTGTATTAATTCCATGCAACATTTTTTGTGTTTTGTTTGGTTCTGTTTTGCAAATGTGTGTTTTTTTCTGGTTTTCATTTAGTGCTGAATTATGATTCCTTACTTTCCTTTCTCACAAATTTTTGGTTCTTTTTAAGGTTAATGACAATTTATTTAGTTGAAGGATTGCTTTACAAATGTAAACATTTTTTTCTATTTATATTCACAGGACAACTGGAGAGATATGATCACCAGAAAAATTGATTGTATCTTGAATAAAGTAGACTTCATTGAGTCCCATCTAAATGTCACAAGCACAGAATGGGATAGAAGGGTGGCAACTCCTCCTGATAGTAAAAAGGTAATTTTTCATTTATCAACTTTTTGTGGAAATTTTGAATAGTTGTTTCAATGGTGTAAAAGGTGAACAAAGTTTGTTTGTTCTTGAGTCTAAGTTCTTCACAATTTCGATCCTAGTACATGTATATCGTGGAAGCACACACAGCTGACAAAATAATTGTCCATGAAGTAAAAGATAATTCCAGGTACTTACGTTCTCTTCTTGTCTCGCGTTGTTGAAACTGGTAAAAATTTAACAATGCTTGCTGTAAACCAAAAGAAAAAAAAATGGATGCTAGTCACTCTTAGGAGTCAAAGGGTCAATATGCCTTAATTTGCAGGTGTTCCTTGCAATTGACAATAACTTTGCAGTTGATTAGTGTACACCAAAAATCAGTATTACCTTCTTTTTCCTCTTTTTTCTTTCTCGTAGTTCATTGACATCCAGTCTGGGTGCTGCTGGGTTCCTTCCACCTCTCCCAACGGTCACCCAGCCCTCATCATCGGCTTGGTTACGTGATTCAGCCTCTTCTCTTTCGGTCTGAGTAATAAATTAAAAAAATAATAATAATAAATTAAACAGCAGCATTATACCAACAAGGAAGATTTGACTATCTAATTGCTCACTGGCTAGAAATTGCATGTACATGTATCCTCCACACAAACCAAATAAAACATCAATTAAACATGGAAAATATAAGACAAAGAAGTTTCACCTTCTCTCTATCTTCATCAAACTTTGCCATAAATTCATCCACTTCAAGCTGTAACTTTTTTGTATCTGGGTATTGTAAGTGATATTCCTCAATCCATTCTGAAATGAATACAAAAAATTCAAAAACTCTCATTTTTAAACATAACCCAATATATTAAACCAATATATTAGAAATCTTTAGTATGATTCTCCAAAACAAGTGATTCATATTACAAATTTGTCAAAGCCTGCACTAGTCTCACTGAGACAGAAAGGCTATTCCTACTGATTTTGCAGAATTCTTGTGAGTTAAACTTAAAAAGCCACAATTACTAATAATCAGCAGCACATACTGCATGTATCAAGCAAGTGAAGACCTACATGTACACCAGGTTGTTGCAATAAAAGCTCTTCTAGGTCTGAACTAAGAGACAGATAGCGTTATATGCAAGAACAAGATGACCTCTGTTTACTGGCTGATATTGAGAGCTAAAACTTCTTCCCACATATCCATGCAGTCCCATTCACTGTACTTACTTTTCATTCCAGTCACTACTGGACTTTTCTCTGTTGAAAGCACTCTTACTGTAGACTTGTCTAGGTTTAATGCTGCACTCAAAGAAGAAGACTTTTTGAAGACAATATAACCAACCTTAAAACCCTATAGAAAGGAAGTAAAACATAAGGAGATCTATTTGCTAAATAAAATAGATATTTGACAGTTCAATGAAAAATATACTAGACATGTAGAAAACTAGAGTATGTTGGTAGGTAAAGCCTGTAATCAAAGTGGCCCATCTAGCCCAAGCTTATCCTTGTTTTTCCATCGCATGAAACAGCTAGGAGTATTACTTCTCCCCCCCCTCCCCCCGGTGAGTTGTCAGTCTATTTTAAGCCTACCCCTTGCAGAATTTCATCAGGTTTACCAAACAATTCAGTCCAATAGCCATTTATTCTCCTAAATTGTAGGTGAAGGGAGGCACTGTGAAAGTTGAGTGTTTTACCCAAGAACATGACACAGTGATCTGACCAGGTCTAGAACCCAGATCTCTTGACCTGGACTCCTGTGTAACAGGATTGGTAACAAACTAGAGTATGTTGGTAGGTAAAGCCTGTAATCAAAGTGGCCCATCTAGCCCAAGCTTATCCTTGTTTCCGTTGCATGAAGCGGCTAGGAGTATTACTTTCCCCCTGGGTGAGTTGTCAGTCCATTGCAAGCCTACACCTTACAGAATTTCATCAGGTTTACCAAACAATTCAGTCCAGTAGCCATTTATTCTGCTACATTGTGGGTGAAGGGAGGCACTAAAACCCAGACCTCTTGACCTGGACTCCTGTCTAATAGGATTGGTAACAATTAGGCTAATGTATCTTCCACAGAACACTTAAGTGAAAGTATGCTGAATTTCTTCCAAGATGACAACTTTAAAATTGCCTGGCTGACCCTTGATTCATTTCACTTAAGCACAACTCTTACATCTAAACCAGTCTACAATGAATGGATGAACTTGCCAGAACCTATGAGGTCAGTGCAATGCAATCAGAACTCAAACTCACATGGCTTCATAATTGCTTCTTAGTTTTACAACTTCCAAGTAAGGGTTCAAAGTGTGGGTTCAATCACTCACTCCGACTCTGGAATGCGCATACAGTACTGCTCGTGCATATATTAACTGCACAGACAAATTTCATATGCTCAGATGCAGGGTAGTCAGATACACATATAAATTTTTTTTGCATGAAAAGATGAGAAAAAATGTGCAACTCTTGTGCCCTTGTTATTCAATGCTATAAGTTTCCTTTGAATCACATTGTTGCAAAAAAAAAAAGAACTTTTAGGTTTACAAAAGCAGGGTCAACAAGGGAAAATTTACATAAAGAAAAAACCCATCATATTACACTCCTGCATGTTGCATCACTTCACAGTAGCCATAGATTTGCTTGATTTGAGTTGTTAATGAATCAGGAGAGAAGGAAAGTGTCATTTACACAAGGCATCAAAACATGTGTACTGCTAAGTGAGTAACAAAGCAAATATTTACTAAATAAATATGCTTCCCAATTTATTCATTGCAATCAGCACTCCCTTGAATATTTATGCACTAGAATGTAAAAAATTTAATAATTTGGTGTTTGCATTGCATGTGATGATTTCTTTGAAACTTCCAACTTACCTCAATCACCTTCCATGGAGAACAGAATGGATATATACTATTTAAGATTGTGATTGATGCTTTATTTTATTAATTGCAAATGGTGCTCACTTCAGTGTATACGTCCCAGAATGTTGAGTTTTTTTTTTGCATTGCACATATTAAACAAACTTGAACTACATGTATCCTGCATTTAATTTTTCCCTTGCCTTTTTCAAACAACTTTGTGAACATTAATTGATGATTTGATGAATAGTAAAACAAGAAGCAAATCTGGTTTTGCATAAAAATTTGCATATGAGTCAGAACATGACTTAGTTGTGACAAGTAACCAAACTGTAACACAACACTATTAAAATAAGCGGGTAGAACTTCTTGGCTTTTGTTTAAAAGGCAAGATAAATAAACCTGTTTTCAAGAACAGTATGTTCATTGATGATGAAAGCTATGAGTTGTTGCAATGGATTTTTTTATATGAAGTGAGAAATCGCTCTTTTGATTAATGAATTCTGTTGGAAAACGAGAAGCCCTTTTTATATTCCAATTACAAAGTGGCATTTGTGTATAACAGCATATTGAGAAGGTCAGTCCAAACAGTGCCTGAAACGAGCAAGTTTACTTGTCGTTGTTAGCTGTGAAGTATTTAAGTGCTATTACACTGTAGCCTATTTTTTAAAACAACAAACCGTCAACAATAGAAAAACAAAAGGTCTACCTCCCACACACTGATGAGGCAAATGTATCAAGCTTATGCATGCATATACAATTTTTTGACATGCACATTTTTTATTCGCACTTGCACGCGATTTTTGGCGTGTTTTATATGCATTTTTGGGTTAATGTATATGTGAGCGGTACTGTAAGCCGTTAAGAAAACAAACACCCAAACATGCATAGACCAAACTCTTCAGACTGGTATCCATGGAGGGGCAAAGATTTTCGAATAACCCCATACCACTTCACTATGCATATTACAGTTCTTGGATAAAACAAAACAAAACAAGGTGAAAGCAAGAGATTTACAGTGTACATTAAGACTATGGATTTACTTCAGAAGAGTGAGGGGTTATATGTAATTCTGTACCAAGAGAGTTATGGAATTTTGTACCCAGAGAGGCCATATCAATAGAAGCCATGAGTGACTACTATTACGTGAAACAATACCTTGACACTATCTGGCGGAATGACTAAGCTTGCTGCATCCCTCTCCGTTGACCCCGGTTGCTTGACAAGAAATACGTCTTTTATAGCGCCAAAACAATTGAACAGTCGCTTTAAGGAGCCCTAAAATTATTTTCAACCAAACAAAAGTAAGCTTTCGAAGATTATCAGTAACACTGCAAATGTTTGAAAGCCAAACAATAAAGAAAGAAAACGTGGTAAAAAACCAACAGATCTCACGGCACCTTTGTGCAATATGGGGGAATATTCACGACAAAAAGTGTCTTATTCGGTGGTTTTGTTGTATCTTCATCTCTTGTTGTGTGATTCTTGAAATACAGGTAGTGATAGGAACAATATTTTTCGCTAAACTTCACGCAAATCGTTTGAAACCCACCAACTTCGGACGCCATTTTGTCATAGACTAAGTAACCGCGCACACCACCGAGCATGCGTGGTGCTCAATTAAGAGGCCGTCATGGCGGAAACTCTGGAGGATTTGATTGGTACTACATAAACGCTTTTAAATTCATTTGCTTTTGTGTATTTGTAGAATTGAAATCCAAAATTAACTATTTCACAGATAAAGCCACGGATCCTTCTAAAACTAAGGACGGCGTGGACTACTCGACACCAGTATGCGACAGAATAAATGTGGACCTAGATGGGTGAGTTTATGAGTTATAATTCAATTTTAATTTGTGTTGTTACTTGGTTAGAACTTAAAACTTATTTTGATTCACAGTCTGAGCTTAACATTGTCACTGTTTCTTCGCTAGACCAACAATTGGGATCCGTTACATGGCGACAAAGGTCAAAAGCGCGAGGGAAGACGAGGCTCTTTTAGGACTAGACGTGAGTTTATTGCTTTATGTTTGCTGCTTTATGAACCGCCCTGACCAGCTCATGAAAGTAGAAAGTTTGGGTTCAAATAAAACGTTTCATATAAACCAGGTGGTAGATGTTTTGCCTAAAATTATTCGTATTCGTATAATTGAAGTATACTGCATTTGTAGTTCCTCTTTCTTCTACAGTGTTTTAAAGAACCTTTCTGTGGATAATTCCTTCACAATCTTGCGCTTTCTTCCGGCCATCATATCGAGTGATTTGTATTTAAGAGATTTAGCACTATAATTCCTCTTGTTGGGGTGATTTTGCAAAATATGTCCAGCGCTGTTCCAAGTCAAGTATGAACAGCAAAACTGAGTATGTGGAGGGGACTGGTAAGGGGTGACAGGTGGTGTTTAGGTGGAAAGTAAAGGGGAAGTTAAGATAATTACTAAGTTTCCTGTGTGTATCAGAACTTATCTTTTTGTAAATATTTATCACCAATCAATAAGTCAATCAATCAAGAAAAAAATATTTATATAGTCGACAAGCAACTGAGCAAGTAATTAACCCTTTTACTCCTGAAACTAATGAGCATTTAATTTCTTGTTACATTATCACCCCTGAATCATGCATTAAGGTTAAGAGAATAAAGGAAATGATCACCAAGTAGAGAAGCTCTTGATTGTTAAACAAATTCTCCTTATCAGCCCCTTAATTGTGACATTTATATAGAATAGTATGGAGAATATTCATGTTGATGTCAGGTTATAGTGGGTTAATCAATCATCAAAAGTAAGTATCTAAGCAGCTGCACCACTACCCCTACCCCTACCCCTCCCCTACAGTGTAACTCAACAGCCTAAATTGCTACCAGTCAACTTTTGTTGGGTTAGGGGAGGGGTAAGGTACATAGTTGTTCAGATACTGACATTGATCCAAATAAATAGCGAAATAAACACTTAAGACAATATTATATGACTTTTAATTATCACTCAAAATTCAAAATACTGGTGGAGAATACAAATAATGTTTTTCTTTTTCTTTCTTTTTCATTCAGCTAATTGAAACCTGTGTCAAAAACTGTGGTCAGAGATTCCACAGTGAAGTTGGAAAATATAGATTCTTGAATGAACTCATTAAATTGATATCTTCAAAGGTATCTATGAAATTTAATACATATATACATATACACATTATTAGATGCTTGGTTTCCTTTTTTAATTTGGTTAGTTTTTGATAGTTGTGTCAGGTACATTTGAAGGTACAGTTGTAAGATGCATTCCCTCAGCAGGTCAGCAAAAAGTGTTTATTAAGGAAAAGTTTCTTAAAAATAAGCAATCACAACTTTTGAAAACCAACCAATCACAACCTCAAGGGTATTCAACCAATCAGAGCAGAACATAATGGGTTATATTATGATGCATAACCAATCAACATTATCCTCTGAAGAAGACTGGAAGCTTCAAAGTAAAACATAGCAACCCACTTTGAAAGTGACCAAACTGTGAGAAAAAGAATGATACTTGGTTATGAATGTCAATTTTTTTTCTAATCATGGCTACTTCCCTCAAAAAATTTAAGAGCAATTTTTCTCTCAAAATGAAAATGTGAGAGCTACTCTCAAATTGTTAAGAGGGTTTGCACACCCTGTCTTCTGGTGACTGGAGACCACTGGACTGACCCAGTCTTGCTGTATACAGGTGTCTCAAGAAAGGTTGTTAGAAAAAAGTGTAAAAGTGCAGGCGACAGACTTCCAATAGGTATTATGGGCAGTTTTCTGGGCAGGGGTCCTCAACTTCAGGATTTCAGGGAAATCTGAGAAAACTTCACTGTAAGGACCAGGCGTCACAAGTTTTGATGAATTTATTGATCTAATTGTTTGACTTATCAAAATTCATTCATTACTGGATACCCAGATTACCTTTTGAGATTGTTGCATGCAATTTTGTCCTTTTTTCAACCTTTCTCAGAATGGCTGTTTAAGGTGAGCATGCCACTTAGTAGCTTATTTGTGAAAAGTTCCTTTCATGTGGTTAGATACATGTAATAGTCTGTGTATAATACATTTCATTAGATTGGCTTGGAACCACTTCATAGGGAAATTTTGTGACCTAAATCCACAGCTTGGGTACCCTGGGTCACAGGGAACCCAGTGGCAACATTACTTACAAATACACTATTTTGGGAATCAATTGTTTTTTTTTTTTCATTCATCAGTAATAATGGATAGATGTTGTTAATAAATATTCTTTTATTCAGTATGATGGTGACTGGACAGCTGAACCAGTGAAGAAACGCATTATTCAGTGTATGTATAGCTGGAGTGTAGGTTTAGCAAAGGAGACCAAAATTGCAGAGGCTTACAAGATGCTAAAAACACAAGGTACAGTGACAGAGTACACTTTATTTTAATGAACGTTAACTCTTAGAGGTTATTTCCCCCTTCAGTAGCTGTATTGGATGGGAAATGACGTCATGGCATGAGAATTCACTTCAGTTGGCCTTTCTTTCATCTTTTTTCTGTTAGTCATGTTTTGTGACGGGTCTCATGATTTTTCCAGCCAAGCTTGTATATGCTCTAATATAATCTCAACCATGAATTGAAAATCAATGTTATAGTTTAATCTAAAATTATTTTTCAATTAGGAATTGTTACCACAGACCCACAAGATCCTTATGCTCAAACTGCTGCTGAAGTAAGCAAAAAAGCTGATAGAGATGAAAATGGTCATATGATATTAACATAATTATTGTAACACCTACAATAATGGTAATAGGACTGAGCAGAGTCCAAGTGGAGTCCTACAGGTGATTCTCAAAAGCGAACCACTGTGACTACCTACAGACTTGGACAACATGAAATCTTACCACCAATTAATCAAAACTATGAAAAAGTTTGAGAAAAAACTAGCCACTGAGTAAATGTTTTCATTAAAAAAAGAATAGTCAACTTAGGAAATGTGGGGCAACAACATGTGCATGTGAAGCATACTGTCCAATTACACAGGCATGATGTGCACTCTATCCTGTTAGTGCTTATATAGGGCTGGTGATAACCAATCCGTTCAAGAATTTTGTTATAGTTTAATTTATAGTGATATTATTGTTATTAGGGTTTTTAAATTATGAATAGGTGACAGGGATTCTTTGAAACTTTACACTATACTCAGCAGAAAAAAAAAAACTTCCTGCTGTAGAGGAATGTACATATAGAATGAAAATGGTTTTAGCTTGTATCATGCCCTTTTGTCCTTTTGTCCCTTTGTTCTTTTGTTCTATAATATTTATGAATCAATGTAATTAATATTAATGTAAAAAAATGGTGTGATAGACATTAAAGAAGTAGTAACTTCTAATGAAATTGAATTTAAATATGGTTTTCTTTGACAGAATCCTCCTGACAAACCAAAAGATACAATATTTCAAGATGAAGAAAAATCAAAGGTTTGACTTTACTACCTGTTGAGTGAAATGTGTGAACATTGAAGTAGAAGATGAATTATGTTATTTGAAGTGTTAGGGGCTACTCCTTCTATCTTATCATTATTTGACCTACATATTTAGTTATATGTCAGCTTTTATTAGTGTTTATCAATTTTGAATTGATCTCTTTCTTTTGCTAGCTACTGGCTCGTCTTCTGAAGAGTACTCATCCCGAAGATTTACAAGCTGCCAACAGACTGATCAAGACCATGGTTAGACAGGTTGGTGCCTACACGGCGTAAGCTGCACACATGGTGTACACGTAGACATTAACGTGACAGCATATAGCCTAAATTTATTTTCAAGTGTTGATAATTATATTTCTCAATAGTGAACAAATCAAATATGGCAGAAATATTACCAACAAAAGAAATTAAATATGGATTTGCAAGTGGACATGTAATTATTTGTCTATTCTGTAGATTTTGATAGCAGATTGGAATCAAAGACAGCTTTTGAACACATTTTTAAGAGTACCAAATGAAGGAAAGAAGTTTGGATGTTGGATCAACATGTTTGATGATTTTTTTTTTCCATTCCAGGATGAAATGAAGATGGAGAGACTGGTGAAAAGAAATACAGAAATGGAAACTTGCTGTAATAATATCAAGCTTCTGACAGAGATGTTGAATCATTATGGTCCTTCTTCTCCAGCCCAGGATAAGGAACTCATGAAGGTACATTGCAGTCTTTTTTTTCTTTTTTCAAGTTATGTACCTCATTTGGTAGTGACAAATGTTTTCAAAAGATGCACAATGTGACTTGAAAATTGTCTTTTTTTTTTTTTCTTTTTTCAAGTTATGTACCTCATTTGGTAGTGACAAATGTTTTCAAAAGATGCACAATGTGACTTGAAAATTGTGGTAAAACAAGAACCTAAGAATAACTGTATTTAATAAAGGAAAAAAAATAACAGTGGGAAAAAACAGGAAGCCCACTCAGTAGAGGTGGTTTTAAGTGGGGGCCTGGAATTGAAAGAGTAAAAATGTAATAGAAAACTAAAGATACTCTCTAACTGAAAAACTAACCTCCCAAAGTTTTTGTTTGACAGTTGTGAGAGATTTACTGATAGATTTTTGTGCAAAATGTTTACAGGAACTGTATGACTCCTGTGATAAAATGAGACCACAATTGTTTAGACTGGCCAGTTCAGCCACAGAAGATGGCGATGAAGGACTAGGTGAGATAGATTTTAATTAAAGCATGTACAATTTTCAGTGGTAAGGAGTTCAAGGAAACAAAGGGCTAAATTTTGATCCAGAAGGACTTACATGTATGCCACCCATTACTAAAAGTGCGAGCCGCTGCTGATCAAGGAACTGATAATTTCTCATTTGCTGGTGAAGCTGCTGGGTATTAACTTAAACTGGTTTTAATTCCTTTGAAGATTGGAGTTGTTAAGAGTTGACTAATCAGGGTGTTTCAGAGATAGAAGAATTCTCCAGCTATGATGCAGAACTCACTACTTCAGTTCAGTGACTTGAGTTCTTTTTTGTTCACATGTGGAGATTATCCTCTTGCTTCTCTAGTCTTTTCTTCAGCAACTAAATTTTTTTTATGCAAACCTGACTAATATGCATTAACAATGTGCAAACTATTGCAGCTGAAATCCTAAGAGTGAATGATGACTTATCAAGAGTATTAGAGTATTATAAAAGGATATTTGGATTAGCTCCAGCAGCACCCACTACACCAAGTAGTCCTGGGCCACTTTCTACAACCCAGACGGCAAATTCTGAAGTCAGTTCTCCTACTGGTGCTTCCACTCTTATTGATCTGGGCTCTGGAGGCCAACAGGGAACGTCAATGGAAACTCCAGCATCCAGTGTTTTGGAAAATGAACTTAAAGCCTTAGGTCAGTCCTATTTGGTTGATTTTGATATCTATTAATTCATTAACCCTCTACACCTTAACATCTGATTATTATGAAAGTTCTCCATACTGTTCTCTATACATTCCCTATGGTACTTAGAAGGATAATTTTGTTTAACAATCAAGAGCTTGTTGAGTTTGTGATCATTTCCTATATACACCTCAACATCAGTATTATGAAAGTTCTCTGTACTGTTTCTCTAAGGATAAAGGATTTTTTTTTTAACAATCAAGAGCTTGTTGAGTTTGTGATCATTTCCTATATACACCTCAACATCAGTATTATTAAAGTTCTCTGTACTGTTCTCTATACATTCCCTATGTTACTTAGAAGGATAATTTTTTTTTTAACAATCACGAACTTGTTGAGTTTGTGATCATTTCCTATATTCACCTCAACATCAGTATTATGAAAGTTCTCTGTACTGTTCTCTATACATTCCCTATGTTACTTAGAAGGATAATTTTTTTTTTAACAATCAAGAGCTTGTTGAGTTTGTGATCATTTCCTATATACACCTCAACATCAGTATTATTAAAGTTCTCCATACTGTTCTCTATACATTCCCTATGGTACTTAGAAGGATAATTTTTTTATTAACAATCAAGAGCTTGTTGAGTTTGTGATCATTTCCTATATTCACCTCAACATCAGTATTATTAAAGTTCTCCATACTGTTCTCTATACATTCCCTATGTTACTTAGAAGGATAATTTTTTTTTTAACAATCAAGAGCTTGTTGAGTTTGTGATCATTTCCTATATTCTCATGAACACAATGTTTGATTTAAATGTGGTACCTTTGGGAGAAATTTTATGATTATCACTCTCAAGGGTTAAAGGTATCATAACTCATTCATGTAAGAAAATATTTTTGTGTTACATGTTCAATGTATGTTAGTGTGGTACTGAATAGTGAGCGTTACTTACAAATTTAGTTCTTAGGTAGGTAGTTATTCATAGTTTTGCAAGTAGTTTTGATCACTGACTCCCATGAAAATTATAACCATTATTTATTTGTCCATTTATTTGTTTACTTTTGTGATGTAGGTCTTCATGATCTAGATGGGCCTCCAGTAAATAGCAATTCTCAGATACCACTTCAGGTACTGACTTTTTTCCTTACAATAAACGTATTTATCTACAAGACAGTAAATAGTGCACATCTAATTTTAACCTGCAGTGTACATGCTCAAACCTCAAACCCCTATTATTGTTCCCAATGTTTTCAATTAATTTTCTTTCATTACAGTTTTCAGCAGCAATTGTATTATAAGAATTTTATGGGTGACAGTAAGAAGAATTACGATTGAGGTCTGGGAATGAAAGGGTTAACTACATGTACAGTTATGAGCTTGATATTTCTGTCACACAATGAAATCAAGAGTGAGCAAATAATCTGATTGTTTTGGCATTGATCTATAAGCTATTCAAAACTTAACCACTGACTGTAATTACAGAATAGTGTGTTCTTGTAAGAGAGTTCTAAATATTGCACATTTTAACCGTTTAACTCCCATGAGTGACCAAGATAGAATTTCTCCTTACAATATCAATACAATATCAACCAGATAAGTGATGAGAATAAAGAATAGTATCAATTTGGGGATAATTAGTTGATCCAATACTAAATTCTCTGAACTAACATTATAAGAATTGTATGGTTGACAGTAAGGAGAATTACAAATTTGATGTAGGAGTTAAAGGGTTAACAGAGGTGGGGTCTACAAACATGTTATGGAAATTCACAAAATGGGCAGAAATTTTTATTCTTTGATGTGGTTTCTCAGCAAGCCCCTCAGCAGCCTGGTGTTGTGGGACCGTGGGGTGCATCAGCCCAGAACTATGGTATTCTGCCACCACCTTCCACTACAGTAGGTGTGGTCAGACCCATGGGTCAGCCTCAGGTGGCTGGCATGATGCCCCCCATTTATATGGGTGCAGGGCAGATGAACCGAATGCCATTCCAAGCCATGTCTCCTGGCACAATGTCCATGGGGCCAAGGCCAGGACCACTGAGTATGGGTGTCAGTAGCTTTACCATGCCAACTGCTGGTTCATTACCTCGTGGGAATCTCCATGCAGCAGGAGGTAGGAAGGCAGAAGAGCAGGCAAGGGCGCCAAGTGCGTTGGACTTACTTGGTCAAGAGTTACTACAGACCCAGAAGCAGCAGCAGAAGCAGAAACAAACTGTCGCTCCTCTGCAAGAGAAACCTGCACCTGAGCAGCAGCAGGCAGCAGCCCCTACAGCTGACAGTCTGTTGACGTTAGGAATAGAGCCAAGCCCTTCAACCCTCCCTGTCAGTGTTGGTTCATCGTCATCTGCCGCTTTTCCTTCAGTACCTTCTCCACCAAAGCCAACCCCTCCGCCCTCTCTAGACAATGTCTTTGTTCCTTTAGATACCATTACACCAGGTAAGCAACACCAGTGAGGCAAGATCTTAGGATACTTGGCGTTTGTTTCTAATCCGAGAGCACGTGAATTGTTTTAACCCTCTATCAATATCCATCATCAGTAAGCATATTCTCCAGAATTCATTTTACAATCGAAGCTTCTTATGTTGACGATCGTTTCCGTTTTTCTCGTGATGTTAATGAATGATTCAGCAGTACTACTGGAAGAAGAACTTGCATGCTGGTCACTCTCAGAGTTCAGTGCGAGTTGCTTATTTGTTTTTTCTTTTCTATCTTTTTGCTCTGATTTTAACCTGATAAGTCTTCGTGGCGTAAGGAATTGTAATTTTCATCGGTTCATTTATTTGGCCACTAAAAGCATTTACTAATAACATTCACGTATTTCTTTTTTTTTTTTTTGTTTTCGTATTTTCTTAATCTAGGAAGCCATCCACCACTAACAGTTCTTGATAAAAACAGCATCAAATTAATTTTTCACTTTGCTAAGGTACGTAGAGAATATTCATGCTATATCGATTTTTAATTTCAAGACGAAGAAAGCTGTTGCTTTCAGTTTTGTGTTTGGAGACAAAGACTTGTGGCTTAGTTAAGCAAAAGTTTGAGCTCATCTGAATTAAACTAAAGTGATGGCAGTGGCGAAATCTCTCCACTCATTAGATTTGAACATCAGCGGTTCTTAGGCTAACTGTTTTTGTCCTTTAATTCACAGACGAGCGCAGAGTTGGCCAGGAAAGACTTACTGGTTGTTGTGATTTCCACTATGAGCTCACTATCATCTGCAGTTAAAAATTTTGTTTTCCAGGCAGCAGTACCAAAGGTAAATCCCTTCTAAGTGTTCTGTCTTTTTTGTCATTTTGGCATACGATGTTTTTTGGTGTAGCCACCCTTTTCTCGCTAAACGCTCGGGTTCGAGAGCTGGTGAGATACTTCATGTTATTTCCTAGGGTCTCGCTCGCGTTAGTGAAGCTGCTTCTCAGTAACACAGCGGTTAGACGTAAGGCGTACGCGAGGGGAGCAATTTTGGCCGCCCACGCGCCATTTTCCCGCGCAAATTTCAAAGGAAAACACAAGAAACAACCGCTGTCTGGCATAAAAAAAAAAACGCGAAATAAATTTGGAACGTTCATAGAAATCTGTAAACAAAAGTAGGGGAGAGGAAAATTCGAGACTCTGCAAAAACAAAGCTCAATAAAGTATGGGTATCCTATTGAATTACCCTTCTTCAACAAAGGGTTATACGTTTTTTACACAATAACTTAGTGGCTTGTGTGGTGTTTGTAACTCGCATGAGACAACTTGGTTCTGACACCCTAAAAGCATAACACAAGTCATTACAACGTTTGCACATGCGTAGGCCTTTTTTTAATTCCTTTTTTTTTTTTAATCCGCAAGTAAGTATTCAAAATTACTCTTTTTCTCGCTTCTACGTTTCGGCAGCTTGAACAGTTGAAGCATTCAGCAGTCGCAAAAAAATGTTGTGTTTTTCAGACAATGAAGGTGAAGCTCCAACCTCCATCTGGCAGCGAGTTGCCAGCATATAATCCTATCCTTCCTCCGTCAGCCATTACACAAGTTATGTTGATTGCCAATCCAGCAAAGGTACGTCAACTTAGGTTTTAGACACTGCATAGATTCAAGCTTTTATTTCATTTTTTTTTTTTTTAATCACACATGTTTTCACTTCACTATTTGTTTAGGCCGTGGGAATTTGTTAATTCTCTGTGGCCGATGCGCAAGACAATATGCTTTTGATATGACGGATGAGCCCTTACACCTTAACCTCAGTATACATATTCTCCTTACCCCTCCTTATACGTTTCTTGAGATGCTGACAAGGAGAATTTGTTTATCAATCAACAGCTTCTTAGAGGTCAAACGTTTAACCATGTGGCCGATGCAAAAAGCAGAATATGATGGAAAAATGTTTTGAAAAGTTGATTATTTCAGCTTCGGGGAAAGAAAATATCTTTTTTCATTTGGGGTAATAAGTTCATATTAACTGAGCGTGAGGGCCATTCTGGGTAATATTAGCCGAGGTCGTTCAAAAACGACTGAGGACCAGTATTCCCCAGTCAGCTCAAGCAAGCGGGGTCAGTAAGTAGTTTATTATTAGGCACTTACTCCTGGCTTGTTTATTGTGGAACTTGCCGGCTTTAGCAAACAGAATGACACGGTTTATGATCATTTTTAGTGGAAACGGTCCATCTAGCAAAATATGAACCAATTAAGAGCCAATCAGAAGGCTCGGATTTCCCTCAGGACTACCTTGCCACACATTGAATAAACATATTTCATTATTATTTATGCTTTTATTGACAGGAAAAGATCAGATTAAAGTACAAAGTAAGTTATCAAGTTGATGGCACTCCCATGACGGAAACTGGCGAGGTGGACAGCTTCCCTATTGATGTTCAAGGATAAATCGAATGATGATTTCAAGCCTCTGCTTGCGATGAGTATTGATAATAGGACGGGATGGCGTCCAGTTCTGTCTATAATTATTAGAGTAACTTGCGGGAGTCCGATTTGTCCAAAACGAGTATGATTACAGACAGAATTGGACTAAAAGTAGTCCTGTTACCAATGAATCAAAACTATGACAAAATTTGAGAAACACACCAGCTATCGGTGACACGTTTTATTCAGAAAAACAGCAGTTAACTCTGCGAAATGAACGGCAACAGCGCTCGCGTGCATGAAGGGTACTGTCCAATTAAACAGGCATGACGCGTACACTGTTCAAGCACACCGTGCGCTGCCCAATTTGTGTTCAAATCGGGCGGATGGCAGCCAATCACGTTCGAGAATTTTGTTGCAGTTTTGATCCAGACAGTAGTTAAATTCAATGAGGAAGACTTGTTCGTGACTGTTAAAAATTTAAACCCAAGCTTCTAAAGTAAAATTATATCACAAACGGTATGTAACACTCACTTAGAGGTTTTCAAAATTAAAATTAGTCATAAAAAGTTCCACTAGGCTCAAGGGGGAGGGGGGGTGTTGGGGAGGTCGTGGTCGATGACCTCGAAAAAAAGAAAAGAAAAACAAGGATCGTCATTTATAATCCATGTCAATCTCCTCCCTTCTTAGCCACCCTCTTTTTTTCAGTTTCTTATGACTTCTTTGATAGTTGTTTACGTTTACAAAAGATCTATTTCAGAATGGTGAATTAGTCTTTGTTATACTTTATATCAAAATCGAAGGTAGTTTTACTACAACTTCAATCATACCACAGATGAGGGAGAATCCTTGAGTACGGACGGTCGTAGAGTATTTATTTCTTCTGAAAAGTCAATCAATGCATGCAAGCGATTTCCATATCAAGTTGGCCTGAATTCTGTGGGTGGAATGCAACCGAGAGTTGTTTGTCAGTTCCTATAAAGGCTTTTGGGAAGCTAGAGAATTAACTTGCTTAAAATACTGGAAAACAACTGAGTTGATACTAGTGACTGTTGCCGGCTATCTTTTAAATAATAGAACACAGCTTTAAATGATTGTTATAAGAAGCCATCTTAAAACTGAACTTAGAGTTACAAAAAAATGGTAATTATTCATATTAAAGTATTTGATTTTAAGAAACTTTAAATGAAGACTGCAATTCCCTTAAAGACTGATAGCGCACGTGCAAGCCTCGACGTCAGAAATTCGTCATTGTAAGTCTCGTTTAATGCCCAATTCTTATCAAACTTAGCTCTTCGTGATTTTTTGTTTGCTTATTTTCGATCAACCCTTTACACCCTAAGATCAGTCTGCATATTCTCCATACCGTTTTCTATACATTTCCTAAGGTGCTGACGTGGAGATTTTGCTTAACAATCTAGAGCTCCTGTGCTTGTTGATCATTTCCGTTATTCTCATGACCTTAATGTTTGATTTAGGGTTGATACTGTAAGGAGAAATTAGATGCTAGTCACTCTCAGAGGCTAAAGGGTTAACAACCTTTGCTAACTAAGCATTCAGTTTCAAAGAAGATTTGCAGGACACAAGGACACTTTCTTTTAAAGCGTTGACCAAAAAGGACTTTCTCCTCTCAATATCTCACTACGTTAACGAGTAGATATTGAAAAGAAAAACGAAAGATATTAATCTAGGGGGCGTGTATTTGATTTAGTACCGAATTCTTAGAGCCAAATGTATGAGAAACGTGTACCGGACAACATTTACCCTTTTACACCTAAACTTCAGTATGCATATTCTCCCTACTGTTCTCTATACATTTCCTAATGAGCTGGCTAGGAGAATTTGTTTAACAATTTAGAGGTTTTTCAGTTGATTAACCTTTCCCATATTCTCATGACCTTAATGTTTGATTCCTTGCTGATATTGAATGGAGAAATTAGATGATTTGGGATGAAAGGGTTAAGGATTGCGAGGAAACATGGCAAGATCAAATACTACAAATTATGGCGAAGTAATCGTGAATCACGTTTGGGATATTTATTGTTGAGTTGATATTTTTCCTCAATCCCACGTTATTTCCGATAAAACCCACAATTCTGCACTTTGCTGTCGAAGATAAAGACATGACTGACTCGCCCGTACTTGTTCCTCTATGAATGACGCCGATTTCCGGGCTCGATTGACAGAGAAGAGGCTTAGTTCAAAACTCTTCTCTTACTGTGACAAATTTTCGATTATTTTACTTGCCAAGGGAAACAAATCGTACTGATTCAGACATGAGTAAATTTCTAACCCAACGATAAGACAGTTACACTGTGTTGCGGTTAGTCAGAAGGTGACTAAAAGAGAAGTGCAGATAAATATCTTGTGTATACTTGCCCCTCGAAAGACAGATAATCCCTTGCAACTTCCCTTTCCCTCCAGTGCTTTCTTCTCTAATATTTTAATCCGTGCATGTTCTTTGACCGATTAGAAGGTCTTTGTTAAGTCCACTTAAGGTAAACAACTCTCGGACAAAACGGGAAAAACCCCTTACACCAACCCCTAACATCAACATTTTTATCCAAAAATATATTTTGCTGAACAATGAGCGTTGTTGCTAATTATTGAATTTCAGCACTAACAAAGTTAGATCCTTGCACAGTGCCACTGTGAGGCTGTCAGTCAGGAGGTGTCTGAAAGATAAGTGCGGATAAAATATCATATGGACTTCCTTTTCTAACGAAAAATAATCCCTATAATCCCTTGCCCTCCAGTGCACACCTCCGCAACTTTTTCAGCATGTAAGTTCTTTGTAAGTCTTGGTCAAGTCCAAGTAAGGTAAAAACCTTAGAGAACTGGGAAAAGCCCCTCACGCCTTGTCAACATAATACCTAAGAATATCTTAAACTGAAGACAAGTATTGTTGCGAAAGATTGTAAGGGAAAGCACCTTGCTTGACACGGTTTACCTTTTTGAGCTGTCCTCTCTCAACTGTCACAAAAGCAGAGCCGTAAGAATAATCTTTACAATAAAAAAAAATAATTATCAACACTTGCATCTGTAGGTTGTACGTTTCATATTTTTTACTTTTTGAGAAAAATATCATCTTGAAGTCTGATGACCCTAACTTTCCTGATCAGGAAGCAGAAATAAATATGACATCATGATACTCAGTGTTCACCGGCTGTCTTGTGAATTTTGATTTTCGGTTTCCCTTGAATCGATATAAATAGATATATGCCTGTGTAAAACATTGTGTACTGTTCGAGTGTGTTCTCTGAACATTTTGAATGACATGATTCTCGAAAGAAATGCGGAATACGTCATGAATGTTGTCAATAAGATTAAACTGATTGCTCGACAGAGGCTATGCTTCAGATCGAATCAGTAAGATTTGGATAAAACGGAAGTTATTAAAAAAAAGATACTCAAAAAAAAAGAAAAGCAGCGTTTCAGCTCCACGAGGAAAATCTTTAAGCCGTCCAAGATTTACGTCACACTCATCCTTCCGTGAAGTATTGGAGTCCTTGTTTACCAAGGAGACGTCATCTATATACCGGGACTAAATATATTCGTTTGTTGAAGCGTAGAAGATCAGTAAGAGCGTTTAAAGCTGAGCGCTAGTTAGAAGAAACGGCAATGTTGTGTACATCGGAGGCACAGAAAGATTGGCAAACTTTCAGACCAACTATCAAAGAGAGATGTGCGTTTGTCTTCAACAACGAGTTCTTGAGCGATGTGAATTTTAAAGCGAGATCGTCGATTTGCGGCGAGTGTAAGGTGATACCAGCTCACAAGTTCGTTCTTTCCATCAGCAGCCCTGTGTTTCAAGCCATGTTTCGCGGGAACATGGCTGAGTCTGTTTCAAACCTGATAGAACTACCGGACTGTGATTATGAGAGCTTGTTGGAGTTCTTTCGTTATCTCTATAGCGATGAGGCGTATCTTAGTGGAACTAACGTCCTTCAAGTGTTATATCTAGCAAACAAGTACATAGTGCCCTCTCTCGTCGATAAATGCACCGAATATTTGCAGAAAAGTCTGAACGCAAACAATGTGTTGCGTATTCTTCCACACGCTCAGGCGTTCGACAAAAATGAACTTTTAGAGCGATGTTGGGAATTGATTGATAAGAATGCGGACAGTGTCGTGAAATCAGAGGAATTTTTTAATCTTGAGAGGTGTCGAGTGGAGACTATTGTCAACAGAGAATCGTTAAACATTACAGAATTCGAATTATTCAAAGCTGTTGACCGCTGGGTGTCTAAAGAAAGCGAAAGACAAGGCCTTCTTGAAAGCCTCAGTAATTGTGAATCAAAGCGACGGATACTCGGGGACGGAATAGTGCAGGGGATACGGTTCCCACTGATGTCACAAAAAGAATTCATGTCGGCCGTACCCGACAGTAACATTCTAACGATAAGTGAAGTCATAAACCTGATGAAATACTTCAGTGGTTTACCGACACCGCTTCTGCCGTTCATACAAACTCCAAGGAAAGGAACACTGAAGGACACGCCACAAATGCGCCGTCGATTGGGAACTTATATTCCTCCGGCAGCTTGGTGGGGACATTCATTTCAGAATTGCCAATTAGCGTGTGGTTCGCCTCTTAGTTAAAGGAAATATGTAGCAATATTTGTAATCATTTTTAGTGTCGTTAAGAATCGGCTTTAATAACGGGCGCTGCTACGCTTTCGAGGAAAAAAGGACGCGCAGAAAATGGCCTGTAAGCGGGCGCACAGTGGAAGCGGTTGTCACGGGAACGGCTGTCATTTTTCGCGCGCTCGTTTAGTCCCCGTCCCTACAGACGGGGAGCCAGAGCAGGTTATAAGATTTGACTACGAATGTCAAACTCTATGATAATCATCAGATGAAGACGACAAAAACGAAGAGGAAAAAGGGAAGTGGCTTAAAAGCAAGAATACTGATAACGAAGGCGAAGGTAGAGAGACATTTCCTATTTTATTTTACAAATCATGCCGTCTGTTATGAAGTGAGAAAATTAAAACGCAATAATTAAGTGTACATCATCTGTAACTGTATTTAAATCTCTACGAAATCTAACAAACAACGAGTATCATCGTGTTAAAGATTAAGAAAGTCAACACCTCTGACATCTTTGATAACTGAACTTAACTGAGAGTTTTTCGAGATTTAGCCTGGGTGTATACATTCTGGTTTTCGTTTGACATACAAGGTACCGGGTCATTGAGATATTTATAAGATATTTCAATGACAGTATAACTTTAGGCCGTCATTTAGCACTTTAGCTACTTATAATATAATGCAGTGATATTTAACTGAGGAGTCTAGTGTCACTGTGTGAACCTTGTCAATTTATTTTTTTTTATTATTATTATTTTGTATGCATATGATTAAGACCGTGACTACATCACGTGTCCTTCAAATTTAACCCCAGGCCTATCTCTGACAGGCGAAGCAGTACCCAAACCTTGTTTGTATTAATATTTGATTAACAAGGAATCTTCGGAAAAAACCCCTACTAACATCAGCAGCTTAGGAAAGATTGCAACTATGCCTTCTCTTGAAGATCTTTGGCACTCACACGGGCAAACAAAGAAGGAAAAAATTGCATTTCTCTTCAACAGTAAGGAAATGAGCGATGTGAGTTTTGTTGTTCAAGCCTCCACCGAAGAAAGTGAAACTAGAAAGGTCATCCCAGCTCACAAATTTGTGCTCGCAATCAGTAGTCGTGTGTTCCATTCTATGTTCTATGGTCCACTGCCGGAGACTAAAGACTCTATCGAACTGAGTGACTGCGAGTACGAGAGTTTGTTAGAATTATTTCGCTACATCTACTGCGACCAAGCGAACTTGACCGGAAGTAACGTACTTCAATTGTGGTATTTGGCGAAGAAGTACATGACGCCTGAACTCGCCTTGAGCTGCAAACAATTTGTGCAACATGCATTCCAAGTGAAGGTATCAAACGTTTTTTGCACTTTGTCGTGCGCTCGTATGTTTGAAGATACAGATTTGGAAAATCGATGTTGGAAAGTGATTGAGAAGCAGACAGAAAGTGCTGTGACATCAGACGAATTTGCTACAGTTGAGAGATCTGTTGTTGAATCTATTGTGAAGAAAGAAGTGTTGAATGTTAAAGAAGTAGAACTGTTCAAAGCTGTTGATCGCTGGGGCGTAAAAGAATGTGAGAGGCAAGGAATAACGCCTGGTGGAAAGGAAAGAAGAACTATTTTAGGGGAAGAAATAGTGAAAGCGATACGATTTCCTCTGATGTCGTACGAAGAGTTTAGATCTGTGACGATATCCAGGGAAACGGAAAACATTCTGAAACACGAGGAAATATCTCACATGTTGAGTTTTTATCTGGATGAACTGAAGACTCCGTTACAGTTTTCACCGGCTCAAAGAGTCGATTTTCATCTATGCCTTAGATTTGATAATTTCCATCCTCCGCGTGGAGATGAAAAGTGGAACTATGGAGATAAGATGGGAGAGCTTGCTTTCTCTGTCGATAAGACCATCGACCTGCTAGGCATTCAACTTTTCGGCAGCTTCGAGCGATACAATGTCACAGTTGAAGTGAAGAGACATCATGGCGATTGGATAACATTTACAAAACATTCAGGCACGCATTTATCCAGAAAGGTTGCTCTTACAAATAGTTATTATTACGGATTTGACGTGTTTTTCGATGATCCAATATTATTGGAGACGAATAGACCATATAAAATTGTGTGGCGCATCCGAGGTCCATCCTCATGGTACGGTGGAGGATACAAAGAGTTCATCGAATGTCACGGTGTGGTTTTTACCTTCATTAGACATGTGCCTTCTTTGAGAGGCACCGTGCATTATTTGAACGACTTAGCGTGTCCTGCTCTGTTATTCCGGGAAACATCTCCGCTTGATCAGGGCCTGAACTTCCTACGCGTGCGTGGTTACGAGCCGATTTAAGACTGTATCAAATTTTGCGATAAGTAATCGTATATTCGGTCTGTAGCTCTTGTACATTTTATATTAAATCCGAATGGTTACCGAAGAAGAATCTTTTTTGCAAAATCGCAAACTCTGAGATCTAGGAGTAGTAGATTTTCTGTAACGGAAAGGAAAGAAAAAATTATCAGAATTAAGTGACGGTTTGACTCTTGATCTCATCATTATCGTCTGTTACTGGAATCTGTATTTGATTAATAAGTCATAAAGACGCGAACTTCGGGAAAAGAAGTTCAAGTTGACAGCTTGTTCGTTTTCCTTTTCATCTAGATCTAACATGAGACAATGATTTTAATAACCAAGAAACCGCTAGCGTATCCAGTATTGCATATCAATAAACTTAATGCCACGGAATTCTCACAAAGGGATCGATCTTTGTAACTCGCCGGGGAAGGGGGTGGGGGTCGGAGGATTTGATCGTGTTTGAATCAAACTACTCCAATCCCCCATAAGATTCTGTATTCCCCCCTCCCCCCCCCCCGCATGGTTTTAATGTGCAAATACCAACAGAATTTGAAGTATAAAAGTTTGACGTTGAGCAGAACAGTGAAGAGGAGAGGGGGAAGGGAGGGGGATGGCCTTAGATATTACCCCCCTCCGCACCCTTATACTCTTCCATTGACGACTGATCCCTTATCCGTTCCTCCCTGTAAACTTTGCGAGTAGAAGCGATTCGGCAGTTGAAATTGCATGATGAGAATGGAAGACAAATCTCCTCAAACCTTGATCCCTGGGTTGATCTTCTTCCTGTACTCTGGAGACGAGCGACCCCGGAACCGAGGTTAAAATCACTTAAGATGCTCAGTCATTGAGAAATGTTTTTAGGGTTCTGTTCTGGCGAAATATTCTCATTGATCACGACCAGGAGTCTTCAAAGGTTTCCAGTTGCGTGACAGTGTGACTGATCCTTTCTAGCATATAGGTTTCCTTGCTTTCGCGTAAGTTTTATACGGTTGATATAGCAACGAATTTTTTGTCACTATAGTGGGAATTGAGGCGAAAAGAAACCAGCTAAAATCGGCCAGTCTTCGAGATTGCAAAATTCGCTTTAATAGGATAGAAAAGAGCGAAACCGATCGAGATAAGGAAAATCACCAATGTACAAAAAGAACGACACCTCGAAACCAAAGAGCTTTTATACTCGCTTTAGAGACCTTGATTTCCTCTCAGTTTACTCTAACATGCTAGTGTTACAAAGCGTAAAATCAAGATGCAAAACAGATAATTCCGTTTTTTGGTCACAGACCTTTGTCAGGCTTTCGCCATGTTGGATTAAAACCCGGCGAGCTTGCTAAGCCAGCCATGCATTATTTCTAAGATGGCGCAACATCATTTCCATTTGCTATGGTCAGTAAAATAATGCCAATTAACCGATGGAGATAATGTGACTTCAGATAATATAAAATGTAGTATTGTCACAGCAGTCGTGAATTCATTACCGTGCATTAATAAGAGTGTTATTGCATGACTGTGTTACTCAAATTAAACAAAGTCCCGATTTCCGACTACGTAAGTAAACCGGACAAAATGTGGGGCATTGTACTTCTTAATTGCCCTGTACAGCTTGGAGTTAATTTCGCGGGCCAGACGGAGTAATAAACTTTGAAAATATGTTTAGACGGTTCAGAGACACGTAAACTTCTTGTTACTGAAGGTGAATGATGTTTTTTAACTTTTTATGATAGAGATGAATCTTGAGATGTTAATTGTAAGTCGATGATATCTGCTATATTAGATGCTTTTGTAATGGTTGTTTATTAGCCACCAGTAAAATATTTTCACGACTGCTTAAGCCTCGGGGTAAAATTCTAATGTGCCGATTGGCTTCAATTAATTTCAATTTTCGCCGTTTTTCGTTTGGCACTTTGTCGGCAAGTGTCCCCATTTGTGGCATTTAGTGCAATAACCCATTTTATTAGAGTGTGCATAGCGACATTTGGACGATCCATATTTGCAGTTACTCTTGAAGTTACATTCTTTGTCCTTATCAGGATTTCTAAAGAACTTCTTTTCATCTTCGCTGTGATAGTACTTGCAATTAAGCCCTCTCTTGCAGTTTGAACGGTCTACGCATGGCGCAGAGTATTGTTGGTTTCGTCGCCTTCGCGTCTTTCTTTGAACAAGTTGGAAGTCATCTTCTTCGCCACTTCCACTCAGGTCATCCATGTCATTGTGAGATGGATCGTCACTTCTCACACTCAGCTGGTCGTCTATATTCATTAGTGCTTCATATTTGTTTGCGATGCAAATTTCAGCACTTCGATCATACTCATTACGGTAGGAGGGATAATTGACAATTTTCCAAGGATATTCCTGTTGAAGTTTCTCGAAGATCTTGTCAAAATGGTGTTCAATGCCCTTTCCATCAACAGATTTCACCTTACCAAAGATCAGAATCACATCCACGTAATCTGTCGGATCCAAATCGTCTGGTCCAATCATACAGAACTGAAATGGCCAGCCTAGCTTCTCACAGAGACCATTTTGCCATTTCTCATCAGGTGCAAAGTCGATACCTTTAATGATCGCAGACCGCGACTTTGGAATGTCTTTTTCTCTGAATTTGAAATTAGTAAACGTGACTTCTTCTAGGCTCGAGTCCAGTGTATTTATTTGGACAAACCCAGGCTTCTCGTCCGCCAGTTTTTTGAGTGCGCTTGAAATACAACCTTCCCACATCCAAATTTCAGTGGACCATTTCATTTTTATACTCTCGTTAATTGCTGGTATCATGTCAGCATCTCCACTCACAATTACTATCTTCCCCTTGGTAACACTCCTATCAGAGACCAGCGCTGTGATATCCGCTACCATCTGATGATCCACTTGCTTTTCCCTATTTGTGATGGCGCTTCTCTCAGTGGTGATCACCTTCCACCCACGCTCCCTTATTTTCTGCCAGACAGAGTCTATTGGCGGAGGTTCCGATCCATACAAGGTTCCCCAAGCAACATTTCTCCCATTTGCAACGACATCTGTTACTTTTCCAATGTCTAAACGGAGTCGAGGATCTTCAATACATTTTAGCTTTAACTTTAAGGCAGCACGCTTCTTTGCTTCGATCCACATGTTTGAATCATCGACATGAATAAAGACGTGTTCGTCTCCTTCATTTTGAGGCCTGACTGGCTGTAAACTCTCTGAGCAGCAACTGCATTCTGTACCATCGCAATCGTACATTTGGTCGGCAAAACAGTTAAAACAAGTCATGTGGTTTGATTTACACTGCCAGAACTTATGATATCTCGTGAGATATTTGTCGCATTTGCAACAATTTCCCCTTCCAAGGAGATCTAGTAGAATGGGAAAGAAATGCAAATGCATCACTCAACATAAACATTACCGGGGTTTTCCCCTGTCATATTAACTCTGACATCGAACACGCGATCTCACATCTAGGATTAAATTTGGAAAATCAAGTGATCGGAAACGTTTGGGTGAAATAAGCTGCATGTCCGGCCCAAAATTGACGACAACGTTAAAAGAGAAACAGAGGTAAAGGGAAACCAGTCTCCCAAGCTTATTCGCTTGGTTGAGACGAGGTCAAAGAAGATTATAACTAATATTTTTCTATCGAAGTAAAAGTAATCGTAACTATTCCCAGATGCAGTCTTAAAAAAATTCGTCTATTTCTATGGTAAACCTACTTTGTTTTATATGTTATGGGAAAAAAGACTTGTGAGATTTATATGACTAAGTATGCGCACCGAAGAGTGCGAACAAAATGGCGGCAGATCCTTTGTGTAAATGATCGTCTTGCATGATCACAATAATTAGCTCTGTGTGTCAAATATTAAGGTTCATAAACTTTCTCTAGTATGAAACTTAAGTCATATCGACGACACAGGGCAATATATTAAGAATTGAACCGTGAAGGAAACAGCCCATGACAGCCTTTTCATTCTCATAATTAGCATCCATTTCAATGATATCGTTTATATTGCACTGATTTTACATAGTTTTCCACATTAGCGGTTACAATTCAATCTCAGGTTTCCTTCTGACATGCATCACTTCGAAGTAGCATTTTTTGAGTAGTCCGGATAGAGAGCTAAAGAGGATTGGTTTTTGGACCGGCATGGCATTGCAATGATGGCATCAGAAAGTTAGAGATACATTGAAGGAGAAGCGTCTCCCACTTTTATCTAATGTCGTAACAAATTAAAAGAGTATTCTAGAAATTACCATAACTCGTATAAGTTCCATCCTCCATAGCTTGATTCTAACCAAGGAATCCTCTAAATAACCAATATTATCCGTAAAGATACTAACGCAAATACGTTTATGGAACGTTTTCACCTCAGACAATATCAAGGTTTCACCTGTTTGTCAAGTTTAACTAGTTTTGATAACACTTTCGATTTGCAATTGACGTCGACATATTTCTTAGAAAAACAGGAAATGATCCCAGAATAGAACATGACGTGTTTTAAAAGTCAACATTGTTCATCATAATCACTGGTTACTGCATAAGCAACGATGCAGAAATTCTAACTCTTAGACATTAATAACATCTCTATAATTATCGGAAGGAAGCGAATCGCTGCTAATCATTTATTACCAAATCACGCGAGTATATGTGTGAGTATATAAACGCGTCGAATTTCTCTCTAAAATATCAATACAAATTCAAGCAAATAAGTCATGAGAATAAAGTAAAAATATCAATTCGGTATGAATTGATATGTTTTTGCTCGGCAAATTTTCAAAAAAATCAAATCATAGTGAAATTTAACTACAGCATATGATGACTAGTGTGACAAGTTTGACAAGTCACAACTTCCCATATCCGACACGATGGAACTTCTTGGCGTAACAGTTGAAGACGAATTAAATTTCGAAAAGCACATAGCTAAAATATTTACAAAATTCGGTTAATAGATTGCTGTACAGTCGAACCTCGATTATCCGGACATCGATTAACCGGACTTTTCGATTATCCGGACTTTTTCTCTGGTCCCGTTTTTTTCATGAATATTAATGACCTTAGATGTTAAAAACTTCAGGAGGTAAAAAAATTCAGAAATTATGTTGAAAGTCAGGAAAATTGCGTTTAAAACAGCGCATTACACGCTCCGCTTTCGAAAGATCGAGCGCTTGGAGACAAAAAGAGACAAGAAGTATTCTAATGCGTTCAGCTGAATTTTGATTTGTTCAGTGTTGTTGCTAAGCTGAGCGTGGGTTATGTAAACACACGAGACGATCATAACTCAAAACGACAACATGTCTACGAAGCGAAAGCGATCTGTTGAAGCAAACTTTTAGAATTAAAAATGTGTTATCTTTATTTCTTTTGTTTACATTGTCTCATTATTATTCATATTTTCGATTATCCGGACTCTCGATTAGCCGGACTATTTACCCTAGTCCCACCGAGTCCGGATAATCGAGGTTCGACTGTATTAAAAAGGATGCAGAAACTGTTGCCTTTTGAGACAAGAAAAGATCTTTATAAAGCTATCATTCAACCACAGTTTAATTACTGTTCTGAAACGTGGCACTTCCGTAATAAGAAGTCAGCTGGCAAGTTAGAGGTGGTGAACAAACGAGCGCTTCGTTTTGTTTTCAGGGATAAGTCCTCGCCATACGAAGAACTTTGCAAGCGTATTCATCTCTCAAGTCTTCGTGGAAAACGATTAACGAAATGTTGTCCACTGTTTTCAAGATATCAGCCAGCGATGCAGGACTTGCAAGCTTACGTGATCTTTCAACTTTCGGCTTAAGATCATGGAGATACGCCGTACTGGAATTGTAGGACGTTAGACCAGATTAGTCTCAGAAGATTCAAACAAACACTGCTTTTTAAAAACAACTTAAAAACATTAAATCTCACAGGACTCTGAGTGCGATGTGGGTCTATTCTTAATCAGTTTTTACCGTTTTTATAAATAAATTTTCATATTCTTTTTTTTTTTTTTTTAACTTAGTTTGAAAAAACATTGTTGAATTTTTATATTATAATACTGGTTAAATTTTAATTTTAACTTATCTTAAATTTATACACCTTCAAAAGGCTTCTTTTTTTTCCATTTTTTCTATTTCTTTTTTTTTTCGTGGCGTACCTGTAAACTAGCCTATTAGCAGAGCGTATCGACCACGTTAAATGCATTGATTGATTGATTGATTGATTGATCGTGCGCTGCGATATATCTCCGAGTATGGCTTCCATTTTCATAGCAACGTTTTCCTTTTAACCCTTAAACCCCCAAGAGTGACGAAAACAGAATTTCTCTCGAGAATATCAGCGCAAAATCAAGCGGACAAGTGATGAGAATACACTAAAAATATCAATTCGGGATTATCTGCTGATCCCATACCAAATTCTCCAAGCCAACGACATAAGAATTGTATGGCAAGTAGAAAGAAGAATCACTCATGAGATCTTGGGAGCAAAAGGGTTAACCACATATTAGTACCAAGGATATTTTATTTGTATCACTACCAACAGCTTTTTCTTGAGTAGTATTTAGATGCTGTTATGACACTCAATAAATACTTAAAATCCATGCTGATTTTGTATCACTTTTCCCCTACAATTTGTCGCTATTCGGGGTATCAAAATGAATTAATATTATTAATATTATGTATGTAGAATACCATATTTGGGTTCTGTTTTTTCCTTTAGATACGCTAAGTTTTAAAACACATATTAAGTGTACATCATCTGTCATTGTGTTTAGGAAATCTAGAAAACAACGAGTATGATCATGTTAAGGATTGAGAGAGTCAACACCTGTGACATCTTTGATAACTAAACTTAACTGAGAGTTTTTGGAGATTTAGCCTAAGTGTATGCATTCTGGTGTTCGTTTGACCGGGTCATTGAGATGTTTATAAAATATTTCAATGACGTTATAACTTTAGGCCATCATTTAGCACTTTAGCTACTTATTTATAATGCACTGATATGTAACTGAGGAGTCTGGTGCCACTGTGTGAACTTTGTCAATTTTTTTAAATTTTATTTTGTATGCATATGATTAAGATCGTGACTCAGGTAAATTTCAGCGTAACACAACCAAAATCGTCTGCCCTTCCCCCCCGGCAATGAAAATTACCGGTCCCTAATACAAAAAAATAATAATGTGTTCTATCCCCATCTTAACCCTACGAGGAAATAAAAGTTTGAAATCTCACTTGCTAAGATGGTTTGGAGGTTGGCTTAGAGTAAAATTAAGAATTCGGAGAGTACGACCTCCTAACAGGATGCAACCAGTGATTTTTATCACAATTTGTAAATTATAATGAAAAGCCATCTATTGGCGATAAAATGTTGTTAAAACATTGACACGGAAAAAAAAATACTTCCTACCCTCTTTTATCCAAAAGGGTTTTAGTAGGGTTTGCACGTTCTTAATTCAATGTCAAGGAAAGACAATTTAATCCTGTCGTGTGTTTAAACTGATAGAAACTGTCAAAGAGAAAAAAAAATAAGACACATTGACAAAAAGTTTCCGTTTTTCTACTGAGTACTTACAAAATTGCTATTTCCATTACTTTTGCATTATCCGCTGAATGCATGGCACATGCATGTTCGTTATAGGTGAGTTCCAGTTGGTTTTGAACGTCTTTCAGCATGTTTTTAGTCGTTTCCACACTTTTATGATTCAATTTTCTTCCAATTTATGCATGAAAAATAGACATGAAATCAGTTGACTCAAGTTTGTTACCGATGATAAATGCTTCTGTTGTATAATTCATGGGCGAGGCTGGCGTATTCCTTTTTTTGATTTGTTTTTTTGATATCGTTCTTGTTTTGTTCTTGTCTGGAATTCTACTTAACAAATAGATTCCAAGTTGCCGTGCGTCTGTTCAGTAATAGATCACAGATGACGTCAAAATGTGGTATATATATATATATATATATATATGTAGAGTGTGGCAACTTGGAATCTATTTGTTTTATATAATAAAGAATTTAAAAAAGTTGTAATGATGACGTCATCTATACGTCTGTCCTCCAATAGATCATAAGTGAGAACCAATCCAAACGCGTGCATAACTGAGCTTATTATATAAAAATTCTTGGTTATTAAAACAGCGAAAAGAAAATTTGATCAATGAACAAACGTATCGCAGAGTCAGTGTTAGACCATTTATGGTGTTGGGCAGTTTTTTTCTAAGTGCCCCCAACTGTGACAAGTGCAACAAAAACTGTCTTCATCCGAATGAGCGTAAAAACATTTGGAAGGTCCATATCTGCACGCACCCTTATAGGTACATTCCATATTTTTACTGAATTTTTTAAGAACTTCTTTTCATCGTCAGTGTGGTGATATTGGCACTTGAGGCCCCTTTTACATTTTGAGCGCCATTTGCACAGTATGGAATATTTCTGCGTTTTTTTCTGTTGTTTCCTTCTGACAACCTGAAATTGCTCTTTTTCGTCGTCTTCATCTATCTCTTTGATTGCTCCATAGCTGCTGGGGACATCGTCACCTGAAAAGCTTTCCTCACTCAATTGCTCGTCTAAACTTAGCAATGCCTCAAATCTGTTAGCGAGGCAAATATCCTCCTGTCGGTCAAACTGCCTTCGATATGCGGGATAATTTAAAATCTTTCCGGGGTATTCTCGATCTAGATCTCCAAAGATTTTTCAAAATGATGTTTCTCGAAGTCTTTCTCGTCTCTTGCTTTCGCATTCGAAAAAATAAGGATTACGTCCTTAAAATCTCACAGGGTTTTGGAACTTTTCTTGCCCTTTCCAGATCTGGAAAGGCCAACCTAGTTTTTCGCTTAGCTTTTTTTGCCAAGTTTCATCGGGAATAAAATCTATATCTTTAATGATAACAGTTCTCGTGTCTGGGATCTTTTTTCGGTCAAATGTAAAATTAGTAAACGTGACTTCTTCTAGGCGCGAGTCAAGTATATTTATGCTCATAGATCCTGAGTTTTTCTCTGCTAGTTTTCTCAGTGAATTCGAAACACTATTCTTCCACATCCAGATCTCAGTGGACCATTCCATCTCCAAACTTTTCTTGATAGCTGGTATCATGTCAGCATCCCCACTCACCATCACTATCTTTCCTTTAACGATGCAACCGGAAACCAGCGCTGTTATATCGGCGACCATCTGGTGGTCAACCTGCTTTTCCTTCCCGGTAAAAGAACTTCTTTGAGTGATGATCACTTTCCAACCACGCTCCCTGATTTTCTGCCACACGGAGTCTATTGGCGGAGGCTCTGATCCATACAGGATTCCCCAGGCAACTTTTCTGTTATTAGCAACAACATCCGTTACTTTTCCAATGTCCAAACGAAGCCTAGGATCCTCCACGCATTTAAAATTCAACTTGTTGGCAGCCAGCTTCTTCGCTTCGATCCACATATTGGAATCATCCACGTAAATAAAAACGTGGTCATTGTCTTCACACGGAGGTTTAATTGGCTCTAGACTCTCTGAGCAGGATGAGCATCTCATTTTGTTATCGTAGAACATCTTGTCGGCAAAACATTGGCAACAGGTCATGTGCTTTTTTTCACACAGCCAAATCTTGTGAAATCTTGTAAGATCTTTGTTGCATTTACAGCAACTCCCTACACTAAGGCAATCTAATGAAGAGAGAGAAACATTATTTTAATGAATTTTGCACATAATTTTGAAACGTTACTTTCAATGAAGATGCGATACCACCTTTTCTTCAAAACTCAGGCATGGTTAGGTTTTTGAAGAATACGTAATATTTTACATGATGACAATAACAATCAGGGGCATACACATACATGTGAAAGATGTAGAAATCGAACGGCAACACACTTAACGGGCGCTTTTCCCAAGCTGGCTATTTCATGCGTTGAATTTGTAATGACCATTTGTGTTCGTTTTCACTAAAGGCCATTTCTTGTTTATCTCTCGTTACAACTTAATCAACATACATTTCGCTTCATATCAAGCCTATGACTAGCCTGCAGAGCAGGCGTAATTTTGGAGAGCGAGTGCTCGGTATTTCCTTGATGAAAATTATGGCCGCCATCTTTGATTTTAATGGCAGCGAAGGGCTGGGGAGAGAAAGAAATTTGTACCTAGGGCGGTCGACGATCAAATATAAGGAGAAGGGCAGGGGTGGGGAAGTGAAGATTATGCCTGCCCGAAGTCATTGTTATTTTGGAAAACTCCGTTCGCCCACGAATGGAGTTCCTGATTGGCATCTTCGATTCTGACATTTCGCTCTCGACGAACCCTGATTGTGAAGTTATTGGTTTAATGTCGTTCTATACTAGTTTCTTGAAAAGATTTCCTAACGGTCATGGATTATCCGCTTCAAACATTTTTTATTAATGATCAAATAGAATAGGCATCTTCGATCGGATCAACGTTAGCCTACGGTCATGGATTATAATTTGGAGGACATAGAGTGTGGTAGATATCAACTCGTATTTGCATCAGCAGAGAACGTTTTGGTGAACCCATTTCTTTCGTCAATCGTAAACGATACTGCTTCCCAGTATCGTTTACGATCAAATGGAAGAAAAATTGTCACATAGATTAACGGCAGCTGTACTCATGGATTTTCGTTAGGAAAATATAGAGTGCAGCAAATATCAGCTCAAAGCTCCCGCGGAGGAGGTTTGTCGAAGCCATTTCTTTCCCGGCTGAGAAATAAAAGTGCCTCATTGTTTCACTCAACGGATCTACGTGCGTTTGTTTTGTAGGAAGACAGTGCTTCCGGTTTTTTATTTAACTTATTTTGATTGGTTACCTGCTCATTCCGGAAATGCAGCGACGCGCAACTAATCAGTGGGTGTTTTGTTTTTCAACAGCCTCTTCGGGCACAGGCGTCTTCTCGTCCTTCCCCCGCCCCCTACCTCCACCGTCCACTGGCTCTAACTCCAAATCAAACATGGCCGGTCGGATAAACGAACACGAGCTTATAACTTTAGCCCGCACTGATAAGACGCCTGCACTGCAGGCTAGCCTATGACAGTTTTATAAACAGCTCGTGTTACAGCTTTGCACTTGTGTTGCATACGAATACACTTGTTTTCAGCCAATCAGAAGCGCGTAATTTTTTCATGTAAATTAGACCTTAGAAGAAGCTTTGAGATTTCTGTCGAGGAAGCTAAGTAAGGCGATTTAAACAGTTTCAGTCAGTACAAATCGCGCATTAGGCCATGGAAGATATCACAACAACGTCTGAGGGTGATTATCTTTAGTCTAATGTGACGTCAATGTTTCCCTATCATGTGACAAATTCAAGAGGGCAGCCTAGCCATGGAAAGATAGGTCGACATTAGGTTACATAGGGTGAAGTAGCATTTTCCGATCATCGTAATGACGTCATCTCCCGACCGCACTGTAAACTCTTCGGAAATAAACATGGCGGCGTAGCGCGAAACTAGTAGTTCGTGTTTCGGGCGATTGCAGGCTGTAAGCTCAGACTAGCCCACGCATCTTTTTGGTTTACGGAGTTGCAGACCAATGGGTAGTTCACTGGACAAGCAGAAGGATGTTTCCGGACCTACTTACTTAAACGAACGACTCTATGCTACCTCACTCGATGTTACTTCTCAGTACCACAGGACAATTTATAAGTACATAACATGGGGTGAAGATTATTCGTAATGATGTCTGAAGCAATACGATAAAACCAAGCTATACTTTTTTTACGTTAAAAAAGGATGCTAGTAATGAAGTATTTGAAAATAATATATTAAAAGGAAGCAACTTTGAGCGACTTCACATTTATTTAATATGTGCTTGAGCTATGTATTTTAAAATCAACTACCATCCTTACTATCCCATCGAAAGAAGAATCTTCTTTGTCCGTGGAAATTTCCGAAACGTTCGGCTACGTTCAGTCTTTGGATCATGCCGAAAAGATGATTTAAAAATTTGAAACGAAGAACGCCGTAAAATTTTCCTGTTACAAGGCTGACAAGGACTTTGGAAATCAAGGTATATACTACTGAAGTTACTTATAGACTAAATTAAGATGATTTCCCTCGTTTTGCACTACGCAACCTTTTTTGCGTATAACATTAATTGCGACATCTAAGATGGCAGCCGTTCTTCCGCTAGCGTGAAAAGAACAGACAAGGGCCGCTTTTGCAGAGCGAAAGCTTTTTATTCGTAATAAGAATGCCGCAAATCGGCGGACAGCTTCCTCGTCTGGTCTCAAAAAACAAGAAAAACAAAAAAATGTGCGTCATCCGGAAGTCTGCAGTGGATTTCCACTTCGCGGCCGTCGAGTTGTAGAATTAAATGTCCTCGCTGAAGCTTTGGACAGGGGCTGTGAAGCCTGTGGGGCAGCTCTACGGCTCTCCACGGAACTGCCCGAAAAGTGCAAAATCCCCACAACCAGGCAATCAGAAACAGGTAACATGAAGCAATTTTATTTTAATAAAAGAAGCTTTAATTTCAAAATAAAATTTTGTGTCTTTCAAGTTACCAAGGCTAAATGCTGTGTGAAGGTGATTCGAATTTTTAACGCGCAACCAGTAAAAATACCCCATTTTAAGAGCCTGCTGACGCGTAAACAAGCACGGTGACCCCATTTTTTTATTGCATTTTTTTAATGTTTGTATCATGAATGTGAATTATACCAAGTTTCAAAAAAAGTTTGATAGTAGAACAATTTCAAGGGAATTACCCTAACTTTACTCAAACAGGAGCATAGTTTTTTCATGCAGAAATATAAACTTCCATCTTCATTTAGGAATTTTATTTCTTAATTTCCAACATTTTCTGCTACTTTTGGTCATCCACTCAGTAAGATAGCTTCAGCTATTTGAACATATTCAACTCTTTAATTATCATTATTTCTCCTTTCATTTCTCATTTGGTTTTGTTACCAGCTGTATTTCTTTATCTCCTTTTGTAAATAAGTATGCGTGCATTCAAAATAAAACTAATCATCTCTCTCAACAATATATTGCCGCATGTAAGAATGTGAGTGACCTACAGATCTTTCAATGTTATTGTTGCTGGCTGTCTATAGATTACAGGAAAGGGAACCACTGACTTTACTGGGAGGAGCCCAAAGAGGTCACTGGTAAGAAAATAGAGTTTACAGGAGTACCCTTTTATATTATGGGCTGCAAGCTCTTTGACTGCCAACATGGGAAAGATAGAAATGCTGCCCTAAAAAGAAAACATCAGCGGCAACGTGACGAGTTTAGTAAATATATCAGTAACCCTGGGGTTATGATACCTCCAAATAAGTAAATTATTATATTTCATATTTTGATCCAAACTACTATGGGGTTATGCAAATCAAACTCGGATATGTTGTTTTGTCTGTTTGCTTTTCAGGATGGCGATTTACAGGCCCCATGGTTATTCCTGCCATATCAGAGTTCATCCAAATTGTCAACATTGGGGCACACTGGGTGCGCATAAGTACCCTTGGGTGTCAGGCTGGCATTGTTAGAATATTTGACAGCTTGTACAGTAAGCCGAGTTCAGTTGCAATAGACCACGCTTGTCGCATGCTGCACCATCCTCAAAATACAGTCACTTTTCTTGATAAGAGGGTGCAAAAGCAGGTTGGCAGCAGTGACTGTGCCATATTTGCTTTAGCATTTGCCACTGACTTGTGCTATGGTCTATATCCAACATCACAGAGGCACAGCCAGAAGGAGATACAGCAACACTATGTTACCTGTCTAAAGTCTGGGGCGATAGTCCCTTTTCTAAAAACTGATAAACGAGCACCATTTCATCTGGGCTGCAACAGCATCTCAGTACCAATCTTTTGCCTTTGCAGGCTCCCAAAAGATAGGAAAGAGTATGTGGAATGTTTTTCGTGCCATGGCTTGTACCATCCTGACTGTGTCTCAATACCAGAATGGGCCATCAAGTCACGGCTACAATGGAACTGTCAAAAATGCAGAAATACCATGGCAAAGATGGGATCAAAGAACATTTTAGCAGGATTTAGGGCATTTAGCAGGATTTAGGGCATTTAGCAGGATTTAGGGCATTCAAAGCTGATCACAGTGGGGATGATGAAAGGTAGATATCTCAAATTTATTTAATTTAACTTTTCCAATGCCAACAGTTTTGAGAGTTTCAACTACAGTACTTGTGAGTTCCAATGAAGCATGCAACAGTATATTTGCTGACAATTTTTTACCAAAACCTACACAACAAATGAATTATCTGACTAGTGAAAAACTTATTTTGGCTAGGAAAATCTGACATATCACTAGTCAGTAGGCTAGGGCAGAGTAAATTGTAAATATTGAGATGACTTTAAAGTTTTGATGAACCACCCGAACCATGTTATTTATACAACAGTATGCAATGTCATATACAATGTACATGTATGACATATTCTGTAATTAATGTGCTTTCCAAACAAGAATTTCCAAGTTTACTCAAAGATGAAACTGGATTATATTCCTGTGGAAGAATGTTATTATGTTGTAACATGAATTTTCTCTTGAGCAATTTATTTGGCATAAATTAAACGTTTGTTCTAGTCTGCATGCAGACATTTCGTATTTTCTTTGCTTCACGTTTTTCCGCGTGAAGACGTCTGCATGCAGGCTAGATTTGTTAAAGAGTGTTTACTTGATCCCTTGGTTTGGAATCACAGTCACAACAACAAATGGCATACATGATGTACTTGTCATCTAGCTTCTTCGCACCATTTTGTCCATAAGGCCTCGTGCATGGGGTAAGTTGATTTTAAAAGTATCTCACACCAGGTTTCAGTTCTTATTATATGACTGAGAAAATTACTTCATAATGATTGACTGATAGCAGGCAAATTTATCATTAATTTTTTAATTTGCACTGCAGTGCTAATTGATGCAAGCACATTTGTAATTTTCTCAGTCATATAATAAATGAGTAATCATATCGGAAAACTCTAGCAATTAAGGATTTACACCTCTTGCAATATTTGAAAATTCTTTCAAATTGCACTCGCTTAAAGGCTCATGCAATTTTGAGAGAATTTTCAAATATCACCTGTTGTGTAAATCATTAATTGTACTCACAGTCATATGATTATCAATACAAAATCTATACCCCAGGGATACATGTACTCCACAGACATAACAATCAGTCAGATGAAGGGTTGCCCAGTGGGCATACAATGAAGGTGAAGAGGCAACGATTTGATTGGTACATTACTTGCTCTGAATTTGTTGTTCTTAACCAATTCTTCAAGTAATTTTTTTTCAAGTAATTATTATTATTAAGATACATGTAAGCTTATAAATTTGACTGAAGTTTTGACACAGAAAAATAACACTAATATTGAATAAAGTTCCATCACTTAAACAAAGAAGGCCAAAAAAACAGACTGTATAAGGTAGACACTGAACTGCATAGCTTAGATTTCTCGAAATAATAATAATAATCCTCACCCTATGTTACATAATGTCCTGTGCAAAGTCCAAAGAACATCGGGTGAGGTAGATCGAGAATAGGCCAGCTCGTGAGTTCCTCCGGGAACATCCATCTGCTTGTCCCGCGAACTGCTGAACTGCTTATTAGTCTGCAACTCCGTAAACCAAATAGATGCGATGCCTAATCTGAGCTTACAGCCTGCAATCGCTCGCAACACGAACTACTGGTTTCACGCTTACGCCGCTATGTTAATTTCCGAAGAGTTTACAGTGCAGTCGGGAGATGACGTCACTACGATGATCGGAAAATGTTAATCATTCGGGTCTACTTCACCCCATGTTACCTAATGTCGACCTGGAAAATGACGACTTCTCAAACTACCTTGCGATGCTCTCTCTTCGACGAAAAACGATAATTTTACAAATGGATGCCCTTGTCACAATAGCATCGAGATGGACTTTCATCAAAAGTATTTTTTTGGCTTTGTTTCTCCTGAATTCAGATTTTGAAGGAGAATGCTAGAAGCGTTAGCGAAGACGAAGGGCTAACGCTCGAAACGTCAGCTTTGAACTTTTTACGGTGGCTAATTTACGTTATCAACTCAGTTGATAAAACTGAATTACCCTGCTCTATGACATTTTCAGTTCTGGCGACGTTCGATTTCAACCACAAAATCTTCAGCGCGTTATTATCTAAACACTCGATCATGCCTGCTACTTGTCTATCTATGTCGAGTTTAAAGCGATCTCTCGAGGAAACTTAGTTGAAGTAGAGAGGTCAGTCAAATACGTAGGAGTTATAAGTGACAGACGCAACTCTTATGGTCGACGTCCTCTTTCATTCCATTTAGTGCCCCTTAGCAATTCGATATATCTTAAACTCTAAGTAGGACAATAATTTGACATTCAAAGTACAGAAAAATCCTCACATACACCCCAATATTAAACGCAAGCTACATACCAAAAGTATGGATTTCTTACCTTGATAACTCGTTGCCATTTTATATTGCTGGTGACAATAAAAATAGGTAATGCTAGCTATTCAGGTCTTACAAAATGCTGCCTGTGTGTCAGCGAAGAGTAGCTTCTCTTTCGATTATTCATGAAGTCAAACCTATTTCTCAGAAAAACAGGAAGTCAATCAGGGAGATCACGTGGAGTTTACGTAACTGACGCTCAAATATTAAAAAAATGTGAACTTTCTATTGTGATAGCTTGTTTGACCAAACTTAATTTGCTTCATAGGATGTAAGTTATTGGTTTTTGACAATAGTATGACACCCCTCCTTTTTAGGGTCATCTAAGTTAAAAGCTTTCTAATTCAGTTTTAGAAAGAAACGGAGTTCAGTAGAGATTAGGAATTATAAGATAAATGAGAGGCGAAAGGTCTGGAAATGTTAAAAAAATGTGAACTTTCTATTGTGATAGATTATTCATTGGTTTTAACAATAATATGAAGGGTCAAACCTAAAAGCGTTTCTTCAGTTTTAGAAAGAAACAGTTCAAAAAGGTAAATGAAAACAAAGGTCTGGAAAACAAGCCAGTTGCACTGCAGGTACTACTCTGCAGGTGATGGTTTACCGATTGAGAACGCAGTCTTTAAAAAGGTCCACTTCATTCCAGTTTGAGCAATTGATTACCTGTAAAATTTGCCCAGAACCAGATCTATCTTGGTCCAGAAGGTAATGAAACTGGGTTTTCTTTTGTATTCCTCGCAAGATAATGTTTTCAGAGACTAAAATTGTTTCAACCCCAGGACCCATTTTTGGTGGTCGGGATGACTGACGTACTTCCAAAATGCATTGCTTGATTCTAACAAAGGAATCCTCAGAGTAATGTACGAAATATACTATAGGTGTCTCTACTTATGACTCTTCCAAGTTATGTAGTGTAGTTACAAATTAACGAGAAATTAAATTACCATAACTCCCATAAGTTCCAGTCTCCATAACTTGATTCTTAGCACGGAATACTCGCAATAACGTAACCGCATAGTCCGTAATAATATACGAGGGTATTTGAAACGCTTCACCTCAGACAATGACCACTAGATTATTCACTTTTTCTTTCTGTTTAATAAGACGTTTGATTTGCATACAACGTCAACTTAATCCGTTTCTGAGAAATACAGCCGGAAACGATTCCCAGAGTAGAGCATAAAGCGTTTTGACCGTCAACATCACTATGACTACCGGTGATTGATGAAACAGCGATACAGAAATTTTTTACTGTTGGACAATTTGTTGTTTCAATGAACATCTGTAGAATTATCTGACGGAAATGAATCGCCGCTAATCATTTGTTATCTAATCATGTGAGTATATGAATGCGATGGACGCTTCAACAACGAGAGATTAATTATTTGAAATACGTACAGTCTACAACAAAGGAGATCAGCAAACACCGAAGGGTGATTTCATCAAAAATGAAAACATTCTAGGGCGCTCAAGGTCACCATTTGGATTAATAATCTACTTTCCAAGGTCAAGAACGACGCCAGTGATGGTATTTTAATGAGTGCTGTGTAGCTGCTCTGAATCTGGCTCTCCAGAATTTAATTTTTGTCTACATTTTTAAAATTATCTCAGTCAGAACGGGCATAATTTAAAGAATGTCGATGGCAAAAAAAACATGAAACAGAAACTACATAAGCACAGTCGAACCTGTATGAAGCCGCACCGTAAACTTATTAAGCGGTTACCCTCAATTAAATGGATGATTCTTTTTCCCATAATCACAATCTCTACAATTTCCTCAAATGTGATTGGTGCACCAACCGCTTTTTTTTTCACTAATTATTTTTAAGAGCTGTAATCGAAGAGCGTGAGTGGACGGCTGGCTGTCATTGGACAAAGTAGCCAATCGTTGTGAGTCCACTCAGCTAAATCCACCAATCACAGAATTGATCATAATAACCATAGCGGAAACCACTTATCCTGAGGAAACTCGGGAATTTCCAAAGTGAAGGGATTTTTAAATCAAGAAATTGTCTCCACTGAGATATTTGTTCTAGATGTATTTTTTATGGAAATTGTAGTGGTTATGATTAATTAGTAACAGGACTTCGTGTCGTCCAATTCTGTCTGTAATCATACTCGTGATTGACAAATCGGACTCTTGCTTCGCGGTTATGTCTTGAACGAGCACATTGAACTTTATCCTTTATTAAATAATTTTGGTGTACAAATTTCCCCTTTGAATTGGGGAAATTAAAAACAAAATTCATCAAAGGGAAAAAGAGATATAACTAAAAGCGTGCTCGAAGCTGTTATTTGATGATGCAAACTATGACCTTGAAAGTAACGACTCGAGGAACGTTTTGAGCCGATTTCTTTTAAAATTGTGTGATTGTTGTTTCTTTAAAATCTATCGCTTCCACCTCCCGAAAAATGTACCGTGAACCAATGAAATGAGGCGCGTGATAAGTGCCAGTACAGGCATAAATAGGGTGAGATTGGACCATCATATCTCTTGCAAGCATGATGACCGTGAGATCCCCTTAAAGTCCTCCACTAAGTGACGTCACGGCGATAAATGATTGACTGGTCTCTTAAAAAGCATCACAAATGTCCATGCCTCATGAATCATCACCTGCTTCCAGAACATAAATCAATTCTTAAAAACATTTAAAAATGTTTTCACGAATTCACCCTCCATCAATATCTGTGATATCATTTGGGACATGACACAACAATACAAAAATGGACAACACCATCCCTCCCGGAAGAAGATTTTGTTTTTCCACGCCTTGCGTATTATCTTCATTGCTTTCACCCATGGCATGCGAGTGAAAATATTTTAAAAACTGCTCCAGTATGTTACTACCATAATTATTTTAAGACTGGAGATTACCTTGTCAGGTTATTCCTAGACAAGAAAACAATACTTACCGAGCTAAAATTGACTTTTCTTGCCTAAACGTGTTACTTGCACTATCTATCATCACAGTTATTATCTAAGTCGGTTCCCAGGTGTTATAGGGATGCTGCGAAACGCTCAAGCCATCATCAGCTGCTTTAAGTGTGTTGAAAACTGGACCGAGAGTGTCACGTGGATTTTTATATGTTTCTTACCTCCCACGAATTGAACTTTGAACTCTTGATGAAAACTCAAAAAAGGAAAATGAAAAGGAATGCGTGAAAGCTGTCTTGTATATTGTTATTCTGGAATACAGTCTTTATTCGAAGTTGTCCTGTTGTATACGTTTTATACAAAGTGATGTAGCGACCGACACACACTTTATTGTACCCCAAATATTATCCAAGTAATTGAGAAATCCCACCTCCCTTAAATGATTATCACGCTCAAAATGAATAAGATAAAGGTAAATGTAATGTTTGTAGCGGTGGTAAAATGCGATTTTAATCCTGTAATCTATTGAACAGAAGAACGTCAACAGAAAATCTATTTGTCAAATAGAACATCGCCGAGAAAAAGATACCAGTGGTGGTTCTAGAGCATAGCTTAGCGTACATATATTTTCCAGAAATCGCCAGAAGATAGCCAGGGTATTTCAAATCCGTTATCATCGCATAACAGCAGCCCTTCGATCAGGCTGATGTGCCAGTAAGAGGTATTCCCAATAAATGCCACGAAACTGTTCAACCTTCCATCATCGACGTCAGTGGTGGTTGGGTAGTGTCCCCATGTCCCTACTTGTCGCTGTGTATTGTCATCTCCCCAGTCATTGCAGTGACTTGTTAAAATAGAATTATCGTCCCTCATTACTTCGAATGAGTTACATGACAGGGGAAGTTCGTTGGTCTGGCCACAGAAGTATTCGACAACAGCCCAGCCAGTTTTGCTAATGGCCGACGTCACGTGGAAGGTACGTTTCATTTGTTTTCTGCAGTGGAACCTGAGCTGGGTTACTTGAAGGACCTTGCACAGCTCATACATGGCGCTATTCGTTAAAACCATAAGGTTGTTTTTGTAGTTCCCTATTCCTCGGTACGAATTGTGGGAGGTGAAACTCAAATTGAAGGTCGTAGTGGGGATCTCAATGTTTGAGATCAAAACCCAGCCTCCTGAAATATAGCAAATCTAATTGGTCACCCTCTCGAACTTAAGCAAACATATCTGCGCTCCATGCATATAATTAAAGAGACCAGGATTCCTCAAATCAATTAATGATGGAAATAACTCTTAAACGTGACTACTTTGTCATTACAATCCTCTTTAGACATTTTTCGCGCCCTGAATAACGTCCAGCCATATTACACGATTTTTTAGTACACTATACTCAGAGGATAATAATTGAAACTGATATTATTTTGATCACTGGAAATATATGAAAATCCTTTATGTGTACTGCGGCGAAGAAATGAGATATAAACGATCCTCGAAGCTATGAACACTACTGAACTAGTTGTTGAAATGAGACCTGAAAAGAAATTCGTACGGGATTTGAACCCATGACCTCTGCGATACCGGTGCAGCGCTATACCAACTGAGCTAACAAGCCAACTGGGAGCTGGTCATAATGTTGGATTCAAATAAACCTTCCGAGTGGTGAATGATGACTGGAAATAGATGAAAATTATATGTGTGCACTGCGGTGAAGAAATGAGATATAAGCGATCCTCGCAACTATGAACACTACTGAACTAGTAGCTGAAATGAGACCTGGTATATCTCTTATTTTTCTTCCTCAGAACGTCCCATATTTTATTATATTATTTTATATTTTTCTGCAGCGAATGTTTTTGAAAAGAAAATAAAATCGCTTGATGGCCAGCTTCAAAATTAATTTTTAGTATTAGTATCGTTAAGGGTAACTAACAAGTATGACTGACTCGTAAGATTGCCCGCACTCTAATGGTGTTATCACCCGTCAAGAAAAAATAAACCAGCAGTAAATAACTAAAAGAAATATTAAAATTTAATCACCTCCAGCAGTTGTCATATCACAATAAGCCCTGATAGGGGCACCGCTTTTCTCAGGGTCGATCCAATACACTCCGTCACCTTCAGATGACCCACTGTCCAGTATATCTCTACAAGAAAGTCCGGGTTTCGATTTATCTTGACCAATTATCTCTAAATTCAAATGAAAACAGGAAAAACGTTTATGTTGTGTACGTAGCTATAGAGTCATCGGATTCCAAGACTACAACGAGGAAAAGTCTGAAAGTTACATCTGAGACTGACTGGCATAGCTCCAAGGGTGTACTTCTTCTCTTTCATTGAAACACGAAGTGATCACATACATTACTATTCTTACAAGCTAATTCATTGCACAATACCCAGAGTATTCCGCCAACACAGAGATACGAAATAAACCAAGGCTTAGTTCTACTGGTTGGACCTTTTGATCTGGCATCTTTCGTTTTAATCACAAATCAAATGTATTTTGACTTGCGTTGCTCAGTTATCTTGGAGATAACCTGAGGTCTTGTTCTCAATTGAGTTTTAGTACCATTTTGCCCATATCCCTTCTTACAAACCCTTTCAATAAGCATCAACTGACTCATTTGATTTCCTGTCACCGATCGGCCTGCACAATTGCATTTCAGATGATTAATTCATTTCGTACCGCTCGATAAAATGGGCTAGTTCACTCCTCAAAATATTTAAGGTGGCCATCAATCAGATAGCTATGTTATCATTTATTTTTCTTTACCAATTGAACAGTTTTCTCCTTTAAACTCCGCAGAACATATACATCGGTACCCTTTATCTGTGAATCCCGTTTGACAGCGTTCATTTGAGGAACAAGGACTGCTGGCGCAAAAGTTCTGTAGATGATGAACATATTTTCACAACAACATGCGGATAGATAAAAAATACAATAAAAGAAAGGACAGAAAGGATAAAAACGCATAGAGAGTAAGACGATTTGACAAAGCTGAATAAAATACAAAAGAAGATTAAAGGAAAGGCACTAAAAGAAGGGAAGAATAGAGAAGATAAATAGAACTGGAGAATGAAACGAAACTGTTTACTCATGAGAAAACGTTTAGAGGATGCATTTAGAAGCTAAAGAAATGACAATAAGTAATGATGACGGGACAATCAAAATGTAATGAATTGCTGGGTGATTGGTTGAATTAAACTACAACTTTAAATGTGATTGACTTTTTGAATTGTACTATAACAACTTGGTAAGTAAATTAGAAGAAAGTATGATGTTAAAATCACAATTGAAAACTATAATTTTTTTGATTAAGAGGTTTATATCAAACATGATAACCGAGTTTATATATATATATATATATATATATATATATATATATATATATATATATATTTATATATATCGTGTTCAGAGCTTGAACACGAAGTCAAGAATTATATTTTTCTTTTAGCACCCATAAGCTACTTTTACTTCAGGTTTCAGTCGACTGAAATTCCGATATCAGCAACGTCATGTGCCCCTTAGAAGCAAAAACCTACTCCGGTCCACCGTTATGTAAGGGCTCTTTTCATACCGCATGCAGTTTACACTTAGGAGGCTAAAATAATCGCCATTCCGTACAGAGGGAGTTTCTCCTGTCATATCGGAGGTCTGTGTCAGAAAGTCAATTGAACTCACACGAGCGACAATCTCGCTAAGAGGTTGAGACTGGCCATTGCTTGTTTAAAGACAAGTAGCATCTATGTCTCTCAGTGATGCAATGCCGATGCCTCGCGAGCAGATTCGCTCGATTGTTCATGACAAAATACTGTAAACTGTCGAGAGAGGATTGTTTTTCCATTTTTTCAGTTTTTAACTTAATCCTTACAGGCCTTCGAAAACGAAAGAGTTCTAAAAATAATCTGAATGCATCCCCATACGGAATAAGATTGAAAGAAAATTCGGTCCGTCAGTTGATTCGAAAATTCTCACCTTTACTGATCTGTAAATAACGCCTATCCGATTTTCGAGATCTCGAGGATGTAAAACATGGTCTGAGTCACTCAATTCACAGTAGTATGTTCCATCCCCCATTGGTCCAGTGTTGATCGACATACAATCATCCTCTAAATAACACTTTAATTCACAATCCCCTGGCGATTCTGTTACATGCACGCTGATTACGTGATCGACAGACAAGGCGCTTCCTTCGACTGAGAATTCAAACAGTAACGTGCGACATTCATCTAGTGATAATAAATGCATAGGTAACAAAATTAAGATGGTAAGCCTTTGATGCCTAATTATTTTAATGATGTTACTTTTAAGAGTGTTACTTTAAAGATTTTATGGTAAATGAAACATTTCTTGGTCGACATTCATCATTCTCATCACCTGTCCTGTGCTTACAAACCTGAGTTTCGTTAAATGATATCCTTAATCTCCGATATATAATTTAAAAACCCGAGGATTACGCTGAATTTTATGCTTTAGAATCTTTGAATTTAAGATCTCTTGTCTTATTCAATCCCTTAGCACGGACAACTGAGGTCTACCTAATTAACTGAAAGCTGCGAATAAAGGAGACGACAGTATAAAGAGAATACAGAAACTTTGAGAAATTCTTAAAGCCAAACTCAAGCTTTCACGAAGGGCTTTCAAACTATAGTCAGTACAGATCACTTTTTCGTTGCTATTAAGAACATATGTTTTTAGAGTGGTCGGAGTTTTGATATCTGTGATTACGGTAGTTTACGCTAACTTTTTCATTTACAGAACCACGCAACAATGAACTGATTCCTAATATGTCAGATTTTTCTACAACATGAAAGCTAATTCAACTAACTTATAGTCTGGTCTACAGTGTCCGAAAACTAATCTCAGTAACATCATTCCTCCTTTAAGATTTTAGTTTTTAGAGGGATTCATGAGAGAACCATGTTCTCCTTTAAACGAGAGAACCAAGGGGGAATTATATTCTTCATCCTCTTCTAAGGAAACCTAAGTGAAAAATGTTAAATGAATAACTCACCACTTCCTTTAGAGACTTCGAACAAGCTAAGCGCTATGGAAAAGAAAAGGACGGTCGGGAATATTCGTTCTGACATGCAAAAATCTCGTAAAGCCATCGTGGAAAGTCATGAAACTTGCCGCAGCACTAAGAATGACATTGTGGCAAGCTCTAAAGCTATGCTTATTATAAACAGACCGCATTACAGAGCTTGAGGTTTTAACGGATCAAACTAATTAACGCACAGTCGTAAGTGCGGATCAAGTTGTGCAACCTTTAATTTATTATAATCCTTATTTCTAAAGGAGGAAAACAAGCGGCGTATAACATTAAGAATTATAAATTCAGCGTTGTTACTCAGCGAAGAAAATAGGAATTTTTAAACAGAGCCATGGAAGTATTTAGAAGTATAAATATAGCACAAATATTTCGATTATCAGTTGTACCTTTTTCCTTACTGTACCCTGCTCGTGTTATTCTTATATATTAGATTTACAACATTACTGGAGTATTTTTAACATATTAATTAGGCTTGGTATTTCATTCACAAGAACAAACACAAAGGCATGCGCAGTAGCTGTAGAAGGACCTTTGATGCTCTTAAAAAGCACCACAGATCCTCTAGCGGAATACTATGCTTGTATGATTTCGCACAGTTTCACTTATGTTCAAAACTCGTACATGTTGCTGAACTCGTCCACTGATAATCTGATAATCTAAAGTTCCTACAGTAATATTAACAATATACAGACGACTAGTTTTTCCATTCAGTTGACCAAAATCACTATCATTTGCATTTTCGGACAAATGCAGGCCAAGTAAACCGATGAAGGAGATGCTATGGCGCGTTTATTCGATTTTGAAAATTTTAAGATTAAGGTAATTCTAACAAAAAATTTAAAAGCTGTCGTTTCGAGGGAGACTTTCAAACAAAGTTCCTCGTGCTCTCAAATACTTGAGCGATTTGACTTTGAAACGAATGAAATAACGAATTATCAGGTTTAAAAAAAACCTTGCCCTAATATTTACATCTATTCATGAGGAAATCAGTGTATATACATATTCCGTGACCAAACAAAAGGGAAAGTCTTACTCTTCGAATCTTAATCGTTCTTGGAAATAAGTAAAGCTACATAAACTTCTACATAGAAAACCGTGGTTATCTCATTGACTCCTTTAGAATGCGGTGCGGTGCATGTAAAACTATAACTACATGATAAAAATAGTGGAGCACTATTGGTAACTCTATACTACAAGGAAGAGGCAAGTGTCGGACATAAGACCTAATTGGATGTTTGTGCGCTAAAAAAGGTCTTTACAACCCACAGCTGGTGAGGGTAACGGTGCATTTCTTGTGTTCGTCTTTGTTTTGATTTATTCGTTTGTTAAAATTATTTGCAGAGTCAAGGGTTGCTTGGTGTACAGACAGCTCTAAGTTACGCAACTAACGAACAAAGACTCTCCAGAAATCGCCGATTGAGTTAACACTCTGAGAGGCTATATCATCGCAATCAATGTCGTTGTCGCTATTTAAGTAGACCCTAAGGTGATACTTATACTGTCCAAAGGCGGGGTACAAGTATACCCTGTTTTGACCTTCACCATGTCCCCACTTTCCAACATAGTACGCTCCACTTGCTAGTCGACCCCAATCTCTGCAAATGCCAGCTAACTTGGAATTGTCATCCCACGTTAATCTTATAAACGAACCACAGGCTTCCGGTTGCTCATCTGTCTGACCGCTGAAGTACTGGACCACAGCTTCACCAGAGCTATTGGAAGCTGTGACTACGTGGAATGTGCGTCCCTGTTTCTTGCGGCAGTGGAATCTCAACTGAGTGAAGGATAAGTGTCTCCTGAGCTCTTTCATGGCACTTTTCTGCAAAACCATGTGTGACTTACCTATTCCACGGTATGATGTCTCAACTGACACCTTAGGAGAGAAGCTTCCGAACTCAACATTTGACACCAGAAGCCAACCTCCTAAAATAAAATAAACCTAAATGATTTGGCGACATTCATGTTACTAAAATTTTTGACATATTAATAATGGTAACAGGACCGAGTGGAGTCCAATTCAGTCTGTAATCATGCGAGTGATTAACAAAATCGTACGACTGCAAAGCAGGAGTCTGATTTGTTAATCACGAGTATGATTACAAACAGAATTGGACGACACGAAGTCCTGTTACCAATTAATCAAACCTATGACAAAATTTGAGAAAGAAACTGGACATCGGTTATACGTTTTCATAAAAAACAAAATACAACAGTGAACTCATCGAAATTCGAGACAACAGCGCGCGCACTGACGCGTTCCGTCCACTCACACAGGCATGACCTGTTAGCTGTCCCTTTAACTGTCCTATTACACTGTCCAATTACAAGCATGACGCGTATACTGCCCTATTAGTTCTCAAATCGGCCGGCTGGTGATAACCAATCAAGTTCGAGAATTTTGTTATAGTTTCGATTAAAAAAACATAATAAGGATCTTTGTAGAGAAAGCACGAATAGCCAAGACCAGAATGTTCCAATAGCAAAGTCATAGTCAAATATACTCCGGTTAAAGTCCTCGTGTCTTAGTCACTCACCACCATATCTTGACATGTCACAATAGACCTTCAAAGGGTTTCCACTCTTCTCAGGGTCGATCCAATACTCCCCGTCTCCTTTAGAGTGTCCAGAGTGTAGAATTTCCTTACAGGAGAAGGCCGGGTAAGCAGGATCCCAACCTCGTTTATCTGGATCGGAAGAGAGAAGAATGATCATTTGGAACGAGGAGAGGATTAAACTTGGAACTTGGAAAAAAACAAATCACGTAGCTTTTTGTCCTTTCGCGCAATCATTAAATAGCTCTTGATTTTGGAAATCTTTGTAGGATCCATAGCATCTTAGTTTAAAGGTGGGACCAAAGAAGATTAACTGCCAATGATGAAGATCGATAGAACGATCTGGAATTAATCTTATGGAGGGATTTGGTAAATTATATTGTGACAACCAAAATACTCCAACCCTTTCCCCCCCCTCCCCTTCCCCTTCACCCAGGTGATAAAAATGTTACTTGTCCTTGAGGTTAAGCACCTTACTCAACAATACCTCTTCCATAATAAGTAGAACGTGGGTTACGCCTCAAGTTTTCCGGACTTGATTTTTTGGTTTGATTACTCAGTTGACATTCCTTCTTTGCATCATTAGCATCGGACTTGCTGTTGTAAGATTGGCATTTTTCATCTTGAAGGCATCTCAACCCACAGCTTATTTCGTCAGCGTATAATGTCTTGGTGATGTGACCAGTTAGCTCAAATCCTGGAAAAACAACATAATCGTGTTTCATATTATCATCAGAATAAAAGTTTATTTTGGATACTTAAATAATACAGTTTGTGTGTAGTTGTTCACCCTGTTTTAAGAGGTTATCTTGATTCTTGATATCGTACAAAGGTGAATATGAAGAAGCCCTAAGAGTTACGAGAGTTGAGCGTAGAAAGTTTCAGTTGTTTTTATCCGACCCCAAGGCCCAACAGAGTATAAAGCGGGAAGAATGGAAATTGAATGCCAGTGAGGGGGATTCTAAGAATGTTACAGAGCCTTATGGGGAGGGGGGGAAGGGAACATGTCAAACAGCCAAAATCTGTGTCATCCGACTTTTCGCCCATGGCACTTGAAACATTTACATCCCGTCGGAAAATAAACCATTGTGTTGGGAGGTATAAAACATTCACGTGTTACCTTCAACTCTCTCGAAAACCTCGTCCCTGCTCAAGTCAGTGTGCAAAGACGAACTGAAAGCCACAAGAAATACAGCAACACCACTCAACAGAACGGGACAGAAATGGAAACCAACTAGAAGCCCTCTCATCCTGTAATTTGAGAAAGAAAGAAAAACAGATGACCAAAGTAGTTGCCCTTCTCCCTTCTTAGATGCAACAAATAGTTTTATAATATTAGGGTTTTGTTAATTATACTTTGTCTGACTTTTAGCGAAAGAAGACGAGCACCTTTTAAACTATCAAGTCATATAAAGGAATCTTCCCTGCGAAGGATTAAAACTTGTCCTCTGACTTGCACACTTACCTTCCGTTTCCTACTTTTCTTCGACTTTTCTTCTCACGTTTATGCGGTAGTCAAGGTCTTTTGTATATATACTTCTCACTCAAACGTGTTTATCGAAGCGGCTGATTATTCAAGATTAATGTTGTTATCAAAGTTAGACAGGAATCTTCTTTTAAAGTTTAAATTAACCAGTTTTCTCCAAATCTAATGACTTGGTTACTCCTTGAAACCAGTATATTCTTACCCTTAGTTTCTTTCCAATCCTCTCGTATTTTTCTATTAAAAAAATCTCTTATCTACTTTTCATACATTTTTAATGAAACTTGAGACAGTGCTTAAAAGAAATGAATAGAAACAGCTTGAGAACTCCTTACGTAAATCAAGCATTTGAGTTAGTTCTGCACGAAGTACTGATCACGAATCGAGTTAGCGTTTCTTTACATCCGAATAAAGCGTGGGGGCATTTAACTTTAATAAAAACAAACCTCGATTATTTGGATTTTTCTTTATTGTCCGGATTTCTTTTCCCTTGCACCCGGTTTTTTATGAGTATCAATTAGTCGCATTCGGGATACATAACAACTTTTTCCCACCAAACAAAGCTAACTTTGCCTAATGAAAAAGAGCTGCAGGATTTAATTTCAACAGAGAGAGATGAAAACTGATAGAATTTCCTCTCACGTTCTAACTCGTACATTAATGAGTCACAATTTGTAGGTATATCTGCTGTACCATACATGTATTTCTATGTTCCTATTTTGGACTCGTGCAAGTTAAATCTGATAACCGAAGGCAATATGCTAAGAAACATTTATTTCTTTTGATGCTCTAATTATTTTCTCATCTTTTGTACTCTAGCTACACTACAAATTTTGTTTACTTTCGCCTCTAGAAAATTCTGATGGAGACACCTGGCAAAGTTGATAAAATAAGTAGCTAATGACCGACTTCAAGGGAAACAATGAGTTTTGTTGCCCTTGCCGGGCAAGACAAGGCAATCCTCACTGTTTCCCGTGGGGCCAGTCACTTTAATTTTAACTTTTTGAATTGTTTTCTCATACACCCCAACTCGAAAATGACTGCAAAAAAATTATTTTTTATAGGCAGGCTGGCACACACATTTGCTGCGGTTTCACGGTGAACGACCTTATCGCGTGAGAGTCGAAAGTCAAGTCGTTGTTTCCCTAGGGGCTTACTGAATTTTGTTTACCCTAGAAAGTTAATGCATTTTGATTCGCGGCTAGCGACATGTACAGCGCTCCAATCAAAAAATCTATTTGAGTCAAGCATTTGATATATATCGCGTTTAGGAGCTTTAGACGAGTCAAGAATTATACTATGCTTTTAGCACCAATAAACTACCTTTCCTTCGAGATCTCGAGAAGGTAAAACATGGTCTGAGTCACTCAATTCATAGTTATATGTTCCATCACCCATTGGTTCGATGTTGATCGACATATAATCATCCTCTAAATAACACTTTAATTCACAATCCTCTGACGATTCTGACACATGTACGCTGATTACGTGATCGACAACCAAGGCGCTTCCTTCGACTGAGAATTCAAACAGTAGCGTGTGACATTCATCTGGTGATAATAAATGTATAGGAAGCAAAATTGAAAATGGTACGCCTTTGATGCCTAATTGTTTTAATGATGTTATTTTTAGAGTGTTACTTTAAAGATTTTATGGTAAATGAAACATTTCTTTGTCGACATTCGTCGTTCTCATCACCTGTCCTGTGCTTACAAACCTGAGTTTCGTTGAATGATATCCCCAATCTCTGATTTATGATAAAAATACCCGAGGATTACCCTGAATTATTTTATACTTCGGAATCTTTGACCTTAACATCCCTCGTCTCATTCGATCCCTTAACACAAACAATTGAGCTTTATCTCATGAGCTGAAAACGGCGAAAAAAGGAGACGACAGTACAAAGAGAATACAGAAACTTTGAGAAATTCTTAAAGCCAAACTCAAGCTTTCACGAAGGGCTTTCAAACTATAGTCAGTACAGATCACTTTTTCGTTGCTATCAAGAACACAGGTTGTTATAGAAGTTGGAGTTTTGATATTTGTGACTATAGTCAGTTTACGCTAACTTTTTCATTTACAGAACCACGAAACACTAAACTGATTCATAAAATGTCAGATTTGTCTAACACATGAAAGCCTAAACTGACATAAAGTGTGATCTACAGTGTCGGAAAACTAATCTAATGCAGTAACATTATAACTCATTCGAGGTTTTAGGTTATAGAAGGATTCATGAGAGGATCATGTTCTGTAAATGAGAGAACCAAGAGGGGATCCGGATGATGTTCTTCATTCTCTCTCTTGAGGGAATATAGGTGAAAAATGTTAAACGAATAGCTTACCACTTCCTTGAGAGACTTCGAACACGCCAAGCGCTTTGGAAAGGAAAAGGACGATCGGGAATATTCGTTCTAACATGCAAAAAATTTTGTAAAGCCGTCGGGAAAAAAAGTAATAAAACTTGCCGCAGCACTTAAACCCTTTAGCCCCTAAGAGTGACTAGCATCTAATTTCTCCTTACAATATCACCGTTGAATCACACATTAATGTCATGAGAATAAAGGAAATGATCACCAACTAAAGTCGGAAACTCTTGATTGTTAGACAAATTATCTATGTCAGCACCTTAGTAAATGTTCAGAGAACATTATGGAGAATATGCATACTGATCTTAGGGTGCAAAAGGTAAAAGAAGATTGTCGCGAGCTCTAAGGTGATAATTATAACGAACAGACCGCATTACTTGGCTTGGAGTTTTAACAGATCAAACTAATTAAGAACAGTCGCAAGTACCGATCAAGTTGTGCAACCTTTAATTTGTTATAATCCTCATTTCTTAAGAAGGAAGCGGCGTATAACAGAAATGTATTTTCATTAAGAATTCTGCGTTGTTACTCAGCGAAAAAAATAGGAATTTATAAATAAAGCAATGGAAGTATCCATAAGTATAAATATAGCACAAATATTTCTATTATCAGTTGCACCTTTTTTCCTAATGTATGTATCCTGCTCGTGTAATTTTTATATCAGTTAACACAATAGCCAAGAATCCTTCAGTTGTGCTTGATATTAGATTTACAACATTACTGGAGTATTTTTAACATATTAATTAGGGCTGGGTATTTTATTCACGAGTACAAACACGAAGCCATGCGCAGTAGCTGTAAACGGAACTTTGTTGCTCATAACAAGTGCCACACATCCTCTAACGGAATACTATGCTTGTATATTTTCGCCTGAGTTTCACCTGAACTATGTTCAGAACTCGTACATGTTGCTTAACTTGTCCACTGGTAATCTAAACGTCCTTACAGTAACATTAATAATTTACAGACAAGTAGTTTTTCCACTTACTTGACCAGAATCACTATCATTTGCTTTTTCGGACAAATACAGGCCTAGTAAACCGATGAAGGAGATGCTATGGCGCGTTTATTCGAGTTGGAAAACTCTAATTTTAACACATTTCAAACAAAGAGTTTAAAAGCTGGCGTTTCGAGCGTTAGCCCTTCGTCTTCCGCTGTGACATAATTCTAATACTCGAAACGTCTGCGTTTAAGCTCTTTGTGGTAGCCAATTCACATGATCGATTCAGTTGATAAAGCCAAATTATTTTGTCATACTCCCCCCCCGACACAGCACCACTGTTTCTCTAAAAACTTACCCCCTTTATACTTCAGACAAAGTTCCTCGTGCTCTCAAAAACTTGAACGATTTGACTTTGAAATGAATGAAATAACAAATTATCAGACTTAAAAAAAAACACCTTGCCCTAATATTTATTTATATTCACGCGGAAATCGGTATATTTACATATTCCGTGACCAAACAAAAGGGAAAGTCTGACTCTTTGAACCTAAATTGTTCTCGGAAACAAATAAAGCAACATAAACTACTACATAGAAAACCGTGTTTATCTCATTGACTCCTTTAGGATCCGGTGTATGTAAAACTAGAACTACATGATCAAAACAGTGGAGCACTGTCAGTAAGCCTACCACAAGGAAGAAGCGAGCGTCAGACATGTGACCTAATTAGATATTTGTGCGCTAAAACGTCTTTACAATCTACAGCTGGTGAGGGGTAACGGTGCATTTCTTGTGTTCGTCTTTGTTTTTATTTGTTCGTTTGTTAAAGTTATTTGCATAGTCAAGGGTTGCTTGGTGTACAGACAGCTCTGGGTTAAACGCAACTAACGAACAAAGACTCTCCAGAAATCGCCGATTGAGGTAACACTCTCAGAGGCCATATCATCGCAATCCATCTCGTTCAGGTCACCAACGTTATTCAATTGGACCCGAAGGTGATACTTAAATTGTCTGAAGGCAGGGAACCGGTATAATCTGTTTTGATCTTCACTATGTCCCCACTTTCCAACATGGTAATCTCCATTTGCTAGTCCCCAATCTTTGCAAATGCTAGCCAACGTGGAATTGTCATCCCACGTCAATCTCACGTACGAACCACAGGCATCCGGTTGCTCATCTGTCTGACCGCTGAAGTACTGGACCACAGCTTCACCTGAGCTGTTGGAAGTTGTGACAACGTGGAATGTGCGTCCCTGTTTCTTGCGGCAGTGGAATCTCAACTGAGTGAAGGACAAGTGTCTTCTGAGCTCTTTCATGGCACTTTTCTGCAGAACCATGTGTGACTTACCTATTCCACGGTATGATGTCTCAACTGACACCTTAGGAGAGGGGCTTCCGAACTCAACATTAGACACCAGAAGCCAACCTCCTAAAATAAAACAAACCTAGATGATCTGGTGACATCTATGTGAATAGAATTTTGGGCATATTAATAATGGTAACAAGACCGAGTGGAGTCCAGTTCGGTCTGAAATCATACGAGTGATTAACAAAATAGTACGACCGCGAAGCGGGAGTCCGATTTGTAAGTCATGAGTATCATTACAGACAGAATTGGACGATAAGTCCTGTTACCAATTCATCAAAACTATGACAGAATTTGAAAAAGAAACTAGACATCGGTTTTCATAAAACAAGACATATGTTTTCATAAAAAACAAAAAACAACAGTTAACTCGGCGAAATGTGAGATAAAAGCGCGCAAATGACGCGTTCTGTCCACTCCCATAAGCATAACGTGTTAACTGTCCCTTAATCTGTCCTATTACACCGTCCAATTATAAGCATGACGCGTACACTATCAAATCGGCCGGCTTGTGATAACCAATCACGTTCGTGAATTTTGTCATAGTTTTGATTAAAAACATAATACGAATAGCCAAGACCAGAACATTCCAATAACAACTGCTTCAAGTCAAATACACTCCGGTTAAAGTCCTCGTGTCTCTAAAAAAAAACTAATTCTCTTACCACCAGATCTTGACATGTCACAATAGACCTTCAAAGGGTTTCCACTCTTCTCAGGGTCGATCCAATACTCCCCGTCGCCTTTGGAGTGTCCAGTGTCCAGAATTTCCTTACAGGAGAAGGCCGGATGATTAGAATCCCGACCTCGTTTATCTGCATCGGAAAAGGGAAGATTAATCATTTGGATCGAGGAGAGGATCAAACTAAGGAACAAAACACCCCACAGAGGTCTTATTCCATAAGTAATTCCTTTCGCGTAATTATTAGATAGCTTTTGATTTTGGAAATTTTGTAGGATCCATAGCATCTTTCAATTCAAACTAAGAACATGAAAATGGGAAACCTATCATTAAAAGGAAAAGCAAGAGATTTTAAACTTGATATTATCTCGGGAAAGGTTATAGATGCTATGTTATACATACGCTGACCAGAAGTAAGAAATATGTCATGTTCGACTTTATTTGGAATCACAAACCCGCCAAAATAAAAAAAGACTACACTTATTAAGCAAAAAACAGCTGATGACTTGGACATGAAGGATTTTTCTCACTTCGACAAAGCGCTTAAGTTAAACGGTTATGCTCTAACTCGGATGCTCCATGGCAGTACATACCAAAATCGCTCCTAGCCAATGTTGGCGGTACAGAACTGTTTAAATGTAATTATGATTATAATCTCCTTGACAACCATCTTCCTGCTTTCTACAAAAACAAATGATTTTTTACTGGCAGGACATCGCAACAGCCACACCTAAAGATAAAAGTGAGGTTCTCTCACAGCCAATCTGGAATAACCGATTTTTAATTGTGAATAAGAAAATGGTATTCCTTCTTCATTGGTATCAAGCAGGAATAAAACAAATCTCGGACCTTTTTGACTCCTGTGAGGGCCATTTCCTTCCATTTAATTCTTTTTGCAATAAATTCAATGTAAAATGTAACTTTTTACAATATTATAGCGTCAGGCGTCGAGAAAAGTGACTCGACTAAGATCTACCTCCTACCATTCAAAGCTACGAGAGAAATTAAATTGACGATGTTCCAATACAAAATAATTCACCGAATTTTACCAACGAATAGCTTGTTACGCAAAATGAAAAAAGTTGCCTCGCCCTCCTGTCCCTTTTGTCCTTCTGAGTGTCAGACCCTGTAGCATTTGTTTATAAACTGCATGCACGCATGTTCTTTTTGGATTAGATTCCAGGGGTGGTACTCAATCTCTAGTAATACGAAACTGCTGCTGTCAGAACTAGAGGTTATGTTCGGAATTATTCGCTGTCACACCTACTGTTTAGCCCTCTACTATCTCATTATTTTGGGTAAATATTTCTTATATGTTACAGCTTTAAATACCACAACGTACCAATTCGATGATTGTCTCACTTGTGCGCGAAAAAAATTAATCTGGAAAAATATATTGCAGTCACTCGTAATAAAGAGAAGGAATTCAGGAACAAATGGAAATTTTTTGTCTTTGTAAAATTGTTTTGTGTCCTTTTTAACTCGTGAATTGCGCGCATGCGCAAGAGCGAGTTATAGATACGATGTGAGGAATGGCATACGCTCGCTCGATTGGTCGATTCCCGTAAACTTTTCTTAGATTCTAGGCTTTTGAGTGCATTTTATAGTTTTTGGCGAGCAATAAACAGACGAAATGGCGACCTTTGTTGCTAAAAATAGTGGTGGGGTGAAAAAGAAGCCAATGATAATCTTAAAAGAGTTTTTTTTTTCGTTTTAGTTTCAAAAAGCGGCGCCAGCGACTGGCAGGCATGCAAGGATTCACACTGAAATAACAGAACAACCTTCGTTTTTCATAAAATTGTAATTTTCAATCCTTGAACTTGAAAACAATCCGAAGATTCATTGAAAATATCACTTACTGCGAAGCGCTCGGAGTTTACAGATGTTCAAAAGCTTTTTCTGTTTTAGCGTGAGATTAAGGACAAAATTGATCATTACGTTTCGTCGCGTGTGTTTTTCCTGTGTGAAGCAACAAAAGATGCCGGCGACTGACGAAATAACAAGTTAACACGAAAATCAAATAACACCTAAACAAACAATTTTAGCTACCGATTTTCAGCGAATTTTTAAAGAACAATTTTCTTTTAAGTTTCAAGACAATTTGAAGATTCAACATACATACAACGTACTAAAATGCGAAAGTTACACACCACAAAATTGATAAATAGGCCTGAAATGAAATTCTATCTTGTTATTGATTATACGTTGCCTAGCACGTGACTTAAATCTACCCAGGCGGAGATCCAAAGTGACGGTGGCAGGCTTGGCTTAGTTATATCACTCAGAACTCGTTCCCGTTTGTCTCATTTGATAAAGAGGGAATCGTTAATGTTTTCATTAACACAGTATTGCCTTGATTTTCTAATATTTACAACGAAAGACAGTAAATTTCAATTTTCACCCACATTTACTTCCAACCTTTTCTTTTGAACCGGAAACAAAAATGATAGACGTTTAAAACACATGACATCATCCACCTTGTCAAATGTAATAGCATGATCATTTCAATTGTAATGCCTTCTTATCCCAACGTTACTTTGTTTCTTTGCTACATTAGCGAACACTGAACTACTGCTCGTACTCTGGATATGACAATCAACCACAAAATTCCCTAACCAGATAACATTAAACATAATCTAAAAAATCATGTGTCAATTCACGAGTTTGCTCACAGAGCACTTTGATTCTTCTCAACTTTTGTTTATTGATTTGTTTCTTTTCGCTACCTATTCATTTAATAATCTATTAAATTCTAGAAAATTAATACCCTATGTAGTGTAATTAACAAACAAAATTCCTATTAGTGACTCGAACAATTAACACGCAAACAATAACGTAGACAGATCAACTGTAATTCAATTTGACCAGTGTAAATGTATTGTAATATATGTATTGTAAGTAGTGCAAGTTAATGTAGTGTAAGCATCGTGTAAGAAGTAAGTATAGTGTAAGTACATATGTAAGTATAATATATAGAATAAAATTTAAAAAAAAGTAAGAATTAAGTCACCATTTTTCGCTTGGAAAGAGGGGGTGGGAGGGGGAGAGAGTCTTGGGGGGGGGGGGAGGAGGGGTATCTCATGGTTATCAAAGGGAAAGGAGAGGGGATCAGTCGTCGCTAACAGAGTTTAAAGGTGGGACTAAAGAAAATTGGCGGCCAATGAGGAAGATCGATAGAATAATTCGGAACGTTATGGAAGGATCAGGAAAATTTTATGGTGACAACCAAAATACTCCGACCCTTAATACCCCCCACCCACCTCCACTAACTTTTCCATAATGTTAAGCACCTTACTCAACAGTACCTCTTCCATAATAAGTAGAACATGGGTTACGCCTCAGGTTTTCCGGACTTGATTTTTTGGTTTGATTACTCAGTTGACATTCCTTCTTTTCATCACCAGTATCGGATTTACTGTTGTAAGATTGGCATTTTTCATCTTGAAGGCATCTCAATCCACAGCTTATTTCGTCAACATATAATGTCTTGGTGATATGACCAATTAGCTCAAATCCTGGAAAAACAACACAATCGTGTTTCATATTATCATCATACAGTTTACTTTGGATACTTTCATAATACAGTTTGTGTGTAGTTGTTTACCCTGTCTTAAGAGGTTATCTTGATTCTTGATATCGTACAAAGGTGAACATGAATAACCTCTAAGAGTTATGCGAGTTGAGCGTAGAAAGTTTCCGTTGTTTTTACCCGATTTTGGGGAATTTTATATTTTTTTTCACGGATTCTATTGTGGCCAACAGAGTACAATGGGGGAAGTATAGAGGTTTACCACCAATGAGGGGGATTGTAAGAATGTTACAGAGCCTTGTTAGGGGGGGGGGGATGGGATTATGTGAAGTTTAGCGTGAAACGACCAAAATCTGTGTCATCCGATCCGAGTTTTCGCCCATGGTACTTGACACCTTCACATCCCGTCGGAAATTAAATATCACTGTGTTGGAAGGCGTATATGTATATAAAGTTTATCGTGACAGCCAAAATCTGTCATCCGATCCGACTTTTTGCCCATGGCACCTGACACATTCACATCCCGTCGGAAAAAATATCACAATTTTGGAAGGAATGACACATTCACGTGTTACCTTCAACTCTCTCGAAAATCTCGTCCCTGCTCAAGTCAGTGTGTAAAGACGAACTGAAAGCCACAAGAAACAAAGCAACACCACTCAACAGAACGGGACAGAAATGGAAACCAACTAGATGTCCTCTCATTCTGTAATTTAAGAAAGAAATAAAAACAGATAACGGATTTCGTCCTTTCTTCTTAGACGCAACAAATAGTTTTATGAATTAAGGGTTCTGTTCAAAACTCTTTGTCTGACTCGGCGAAAGGATGCGAGGGCTTTTTAAATTACTATGTCATATAAAGGAATCCTTCCTGCTAAGGATTAAAACTTGTCTGCTGGCTTGCACAAGTTACCCGCCCGATATTAAGTAAATACATCGAGTTTCTCATTGACTAGGCGAAAGAATACGAGCGCCTTTCAAACTATCAAGTCATATAAAGGAGTCTTCCCTGCGAAGGATTAAAACTTGTCCGCTGGCTTGCACGCTTACCTTCCGTTTTTTTCTTTTCCTCGACTTTTCTTCTCACGTTTATTCGCTAGTAAAGGTCTTTTGTATATATACTTCTCAATCAAACGTATTCATTATTTATAATGTTGTCAAAGTTAGAGAGCAATTTTCTTTTGAAGTTTAAATTGACCAATTTTCTCCAAATCTAATGAATTGGATGGATACTCCTTTAAACTAGTATATTCCTCTCGTATTTTTCTATTGAAAAACTCTTTTATCAACTTTTCACACAATTTTAATGAAACTTGAGACAATAATTAAAAAAATAAATAGAAACAGCTCGAGAACCCATACATAAATTATGCATCAGTCAGCTTTGCACGAAGTACTTTACATTTGAGTAAAGCATGGGGGCATTTAACTTTAATAGAAACAAACCTAAATTACTCGAATTTTTTTTATTATCCGGATTTCTTTTCTTCTCTACCCGGTTTTTTTATGAGTATCAATTAGTCGCATTCAGGATACAAAACAACTTTTTCCCACCAAACAAAGCTAAATTCGCCCAATGAAAAAGAGCTACAGGATGTAATTTCAAGATTAAAAGCTTTCTTCAGTGATGAAACTGACAGAATTCCTTCTCACATTCTAACTTGTATGTTTATGAGTCACAGTGTGTTGGTATATCTGTTGTACTATACATGTTTTTGTGTGTTCCTGTTTTTCACCCGTGTTAGTTAAATCTAATAACCGAAGCCAATATGCTAAGAAATATAAATTTCTTTCGATGCTCTAATTATTTTCTCATCTTTTGCACTCTAGCTACCCTACTAATGGTGTTTACTTTCGCTTACTGACAATTTTAATGCAGACACCTGGCAATGTCGATAAATTAAGCGGCTAACTAACTCCAAGGCAAACAATAAGTTTTGTTTCTACTGCGGGTCAAAGGAAAGCAATTCTCACTGTTTCCAGTGGGGCTATTCACTTTGATTTTAATTTTCAAAAGTGTTTTATCATACCTCCCAACTCGAAAATGACTGCTAAATTTTTTTTTTACGCAGGCTGCCATTCACATTCGCTGCAGTTTCACGGTGCACGAACTTATGACGTGAGAGTCGAAAGTTCGAGTTGTTGTTTCCCTAAGGGCTTAGTGAATTTTGTTCACCCCAGAAAGTTGGTGTAGTTTGTATTTTTTCACGGCTCGCGACATGTTCTCCTTCAATCAGAAAACTTATTTGAATTGAGAGGTACAAAACTATTAAATTTTCATAACTGCTTTCTTCTAAATATAAGGTTGATCTAATGCTAAGGAACTCAGGTTAATTAAGCCCTGGGTCAAAAATGATTTTCGCCTCCAGTGCCCCCCCAGCAAGGTTCGCGGAATTCGCGTGGACTGCGCGAGTAACCATAGTTACTTGGAATCAAGATCGCGTAGTTCGTGAACGGCATCCGCCATTTTGAAGTGTCGGCTTTGCATTGGTTTTTCCCATCTTCGCTGGTGAATCCGACAATTTAGAGGAAGACATCAAAAGAAGGTAATAACATTTTCTTTGCTATCTTCATTTCCTCAAAAAATGGCATGATATCGCTATCTTAAAGCCAAAGAGAACCATTTTGAACCCTACGAAGACTTCTAAACACCGCTCTTAACATGTTCATTGACTTCACTACAAATACAATGCAACATGATAATATATAATATATAATATAGCGCTCATTTCTAGAGCTCAATAGCGTTTTACAATGTTTGTAACTTATGCATAGAAAAAATTACTATTTTTGGTAACAATTGCATAGAAAAAAGTTTCATTGTGGATATACCATTCAATTTTGAAATTAAATTTAGCTTGATAAATCCTCTATTATATCATGATGTGTATACTTATTGTGTCTATCAAAATTTAGGCTTTTGAATGCTTTGGAAACAATTTCTCCAAGAAGCAGATGAATTTACTCACAAAAGTAATACCCCAAAGCAGTTGTTAGGTAAGTTTAATTGCTCCTGAACACTCGCGTGTCAAAATGGCGGACACTAAGTTGAATACGTGACTGCGAGTTTTCAAAATTCCCACCTCCAAATAAATAGGAACCTGTAGGATTACTTTCATTGACAGCGGTTGGAACCAGGTAAAGGCTAAGATGTTTTCGGGCGAAAACCATGATAGAGGAAGCAGCTTCCCAGAGACAAAACTTGATTTAATCTGCCTAACACATCTCTCTTTTTTTTTGGCAGCCATTCCAAGTGGGAAAACAATGAAAAACGTCTCAAATATTCATAGCAATAACTGCATTTTGATTTGCCTTGTGTTTAGTGGTGGGAATCAAGAAAGCAACCGACGAATTTGGCGCCTAAATTAACTGTTTTTGGCTGTTGAGAGTATCATATTACGCTGCCACAATTCAGTCCGAGAGAGATGGTAGTGATACACATTTCTGCCAAGTATGAGAAAAATTTATTCTAAAGTTATTCTCAATTTTGTGAAAAAATATGGGTTAAAGGCAGGGTGACCCAAGCCTTAATTAACCTGAGAAATTGGCTAGTTGGTCGAGTCACGTGCGACGCGCGTGAATACAAACATTCCAGGGGAAGAAGAAAAGAACACTTTGCAGTTCGAAAAAAATTCACGAAAAGTCAAGAAAATTTCAACGCCCTATTTGACGTGGCGGAAAGCTATTGAGAAAAACCATGCCTAGTACAAAAGGTCGAAGCTAGCTGGGAAACCTGGGCGGAAAAAAAGTAATCACACAGACATTGACCTTTCAGGCTTGTTTTTACAAGGTGCCTTACAGCAAGTAAAATCCTTTTCTTCCAAGCATTTGATTCAAGACAAGTGAACAGTGAGCAAAAAAGTCAAAAAACTTGGTGTGCCTTGGATTAATTTTCCAGAAAGTTTACTGAAGAGCCGTCATTTAGAGCGTCACTTAGTATTCCTGGCTCAAGTCTTAATTAACACATCGAACTGACCAGAACTTAAATCTATACTCGCCCCAGTCCCAATGTATACCCCACGGTATCCGTTCAACAGATAAGCGAACGAACGAAAAATGACTATGATTTTAATTTATTTATTTTATTCTTTCTATCAATTTCGCCAATTAAGTTTTTTTTTTTAGTAAAAATTCATGCTAAGTGTTTTCATTGCCCTTGACAAAATTTTACATAAGCTTTCACTATTCTTTCACCTGCCTTAACATTCCCACACAACAATCCAAAGTTCTCGCAGGCTACGACTTTCCGAAAAGAAACAGATACTAATTGTCCGTGAATTCGGCTTTTCGTTTCTCTACAAAAGCTGTCATCCCTTCGGATCGTCCTGCGAAATGAAAGAAAAGGAGAAAATTTTCCTTAGGGAAAGTTTCATCGCAAGTCTTTACAAATTCACCATGGTAACAATCGAATTGATGGGTAAGTTTCAAGAGAAACTGTGGTGCTCCGGCGGGTGGGGTATCACAAATATCATTTTTATCGAAAGCGTTGATAACGCAAAGTGGCCAGCACAAAGAGTTTCTAAAGCTGACGTTCCTAGCGTTAGCCCTTCGTCAGAGCGAATAGAGGAATTGTGGGTGGTGTGTAGTTTACATGCAGAAAGATGGAGCTACGCTTTTGGTGGGAACATAGGAACATTTTCATGTTTTAAATTGAACTTACTTCGGTTGCGCAGAAGACGTGAAGCATTTAGTGGATTGCTCCAAATCAGAGAGAGTAGGTAATGTGTTTTTGGGAAATGGTTGAGTGGGTTTACCACTTCGTATTGCAATTGCCGTCTTCTTTCAAGTGTAAACGCCGATCAATATTAACTTATAATATATAATAACTGTTGAAAATGTTGAGTGACACATTCTTTTCTCAAAATGCAGTCCTTCTGCCAGTGAAATCTCATAGCCTAATAGATAAAAGAGGCAAAAAAAGATTTCAGACGCCTAAACAAAAATAAATTTGGGAAATTCAACAGTCTAAGGAACTCTCAAAAGGAATGCCACGACAGTAGATTGTTCTTACATGCATTTCTTGTAAACTGTTGAACTTTTGGACTCAAGCAGGTCAGTCATGATCATTTATTGATTTGTTTACCTTTAGCAAAAATCTACCTCATTTTCTCAGTTTGTTTCAGTTAAAATGATGGCTTAGAAACAATCAGTTTGACTCTTGTGAATGGAAGTACGTCATGACGTTTTGAGCTATTTCGGTCATTGGAAAAAAAATGGTCTCACAATAAAACAGTCAAATAGAAAAGATAACTGTTTTGAGATTAACTACTAAACCAACAAGAAACGACTAGCGATGGACAAGATTAACGCCGATTGCAGTAGACATAAAATCCTTCAAATAATCGAAGTATAACTCATGGCAGGAAACAGCCAATGGGACGGTTACAACTGCCAGGGCAATACCTGTGTTGACAGCTTCTTTGGCGATCTGTACAGCGATCTTCGACAAGGATGATATTTGAGCAGCTGTCTTGATAGCTTCATCTACGAGCTCTTCTGCGGGGAAGACTTTACTAACCAGGCCTAATAAAAAATAGGAAAACTGTTTAATTCTGTAATTTGAATTTGAATCTGGGTAAAGAAACATCTCAAGAATGAGCGTGCACCAGTTTTATCACAGGAGGCGTGCCCCAAGTTCACAGTTTAATCCTTTAAGCTAACTGAACAATTTGAGGTAACGCGGCCTCAACTGCGACTTTTTGAAAAAAGTATATAGAGCAAATGTACTTGAATCAAAACGAAGAGAAAGGTTGGCGCAAATAACTTTTGCCGAGAGCTTTTGATAAGAGAGGAGAGTACTGAAGACATACAAGTTTACGTAAACTCTAAAAAACGTCTCCGGAAATGTGCGGACATCTTCGGAAGTGAACGGTTCCTTCGCAGAAATGCTAACAAACAGAGGGGAAAAATCTACGCCTTTAACTCAAATTTTGCAGGCTTACACAAGTGTTTAGCATAAAACAGTGTGTCTCCGTTGTAGTCCTTGATGATGTGGAAGTACTGTACACATTTCTCAATAATTTGTGTGAGAATTTCCTTGTGCCACCGGGAAGACTTAAGATGCTAAGTACCTTCCTCCTTGACCCTTTAACCTCCAAGATCTGATTGTTAATTCCCTCCTCTAGCTGCTACACATTTCCTTTTTACAGGAGTTTGATGTTAGATCAAAATTACAACTTTGAACTGATAAGTTTTAATATTCTCACTACCCGTTTGCTGGTTGATGTATGAATATTACAGGGAGAAGTTGCATGTTGATCAATTTTGTAAGGTAAAGAGGTAATGATGAACAACTGGTCAAAATTAGGAGCTAAGTTGAAAGGAGCATGGACCTGATTTCTGTGCATCTTCTGCTGAAATCGGATCTCCTGTTAGTACCATTTCCATAGCCAGGGACTTCCCAACAGCTCTTGGAAGTCGCTGTGTACCATCAGCACCTAAAAAAATGAAAGCAATCTTCGAGTTTGTTGCAGCCTTTTAGCACAAACTTAACTCCCAGATCAAGTTTGTAATTCTACTGATTGTCAACCATACAATTCTTATAACATTAGTTTAAAGAATTTATCGTTGGATCAACTAATTATCCCCAAATTGAAATTTTTCTTTATTCTCACCACTTATCTGGTTAATATTGTATTGATAGTGTAAAGAGAAATTCTGCCTTGGTCACTTGTGGGAGTTAAAGGGTTAAAGAACATAAGCAGCAATATAAGAGAGTCTAGAATAAAAAAATATCCATTTCATAAAAAAGCCATCTTACTCCTATTATCTTTCCTGATTAAGAGTCTTTACTTCACTAAATCATAGCACTTTTTTTTAAGTTAAAGCAAATTTTAACTCTTTGACCCCAAAGAGTGATTAGCATCTAGTTTCTCCTTACAATATCACCCCTTAATCACACATTAAGGTCATGAGAATAAAGGAAATGATCATCAATCACACAAGCTCTTGATTGTTAAACAAATTCTCCTTGTCAGCACATTAGGAAACGTATGAAGAAATGTATGGAGAACTTGCAGACTGATGTTTGGGTGTAAAGGGCTAATGACTAATACTCTTAAGAAGTATAAAATAAAATCTTGGAAAGGAGAAGACATCATTTTCATTTTCTTCATCTGCCATCCTGTAGTTTACTTCTGGTCTCTAATATTTTAACCAAGGTCAGTGGAATATATTTTCTTATTGTGCAAGCTGATAAAGTTGTTTCTATGGGTGATTTATACGTGTTCCACACCTGGAATAGTTCCAAGCAAAATCTCTGGTTGACCAAACTTAGCTTTGTTCCCAGCATAAATGATATCACACATGATGGCTAACTCAAATCCACCTCCAACCTGTGAAGAAAGTATGGTACAACATACTTCAATTAAGCAACAACAAAAAAGACAAACTCTGTTTGCCACCCTTAACAACACAATGACAGCAACAAAAAATCTCTTGATTCTTGGACAGTCTGGGCACTGAGCTGGTGATTTCACCAATAACTGAGACTACTGGCATTTCATCATCGGAAGAGGGAAGAAAAATCATTTGGAACGAGGAGAGGATCAAACTTAGAAAAAAAACACCCCACATAGGTCTTATTCCAAAAGTAGTTCCTTTCGCGTGATCGTTAGATAGCTTTTGATTTTGGAAATCTTTGTAGGATTCAGAACTGGAAACCAACTAGATGTCCTCTCATTCTGTAATTTGAGAGAAAGAAAAACAGATGACAAATGTCGCGCTTTCCCTTTTTTGATGCAACAAATAGTTTTGACCGCGAATTTAGGGTTTTAATTACACTTTGTCTGACTCGGCGAAAGAATACGGAGGGCTTTTTAAACAACCAGCTCATATAAAGGAACCTTCCCTGCTAAGGATTAAAACTTGTCCGCTGACTTGCACAAGTTACTCAACTCAGTGTCGAACTGCCAAACGGTTCAGCTAGCTGTACTTTGGTTTAGTGACTTGACACAACCGAGAGTAGTGTGAAATAGCTAAAGCAATCGGCAAATGGTTGATAGTAGGCCGCAATGGCTTTGTATCGCATCAATCTACTCACCGTAAAGTGAAATGCTTTAATGTGACGACAAAAGGTTTAGTACAAACCAAATTGGTTTAGTGTTACAGCAGTTGGTTTACGCCGTAACCGCCAAAAGTACAAAAGTGAAATGAACAAGTCAAGCTTGAAATGGAACAGTCTAAGTGGGGTCTTACGTCACAACCCTATAGGTTTTATAGTTTTTAGGCGCCCTTTAGTTGTAGTTTCGTCGTCTTAAAACAATGAATCGCTTTATTACGTTTCCTAGCTCTGATTCTGACTTTCTAGACTTTAAATGTGCTGTTGAGCAAAATGATGCATTTTATCTGTAATTTTGTCATTCCTTTTGTTTTAGATTCTTATTTTATCTTGAGGGAGTAAAATGGAGAATTCTTACCGTGGTTACACGTAACCACGGTAAGAATTCTTTATTTAAAGCACAGCAGTTTTCACTGTAAACTATTCGTAACTATGCAATTTTTAACTATAAAATTTTTTTGAAGTTTTTAGGCACCCTTTAGTTGTAGTTTCGTCGTCTTAAAGCAATGAATCACTTTATCACGTTTCCTAGCAATAGTTCTGACTGTCTAGACTGTTTGCTGTCGCGTAAAATAATGCATTTTATCTGTATTTTTTATCATTCCTTTTATTTCAGATTCTTATTTTATCTTGAGGCAGTCAAATGGAGAATTCTTACCGTGGTTAAGCGTAAGGCCGGTAAGGATTAAATTAAAAACTAGAAAAATGAATGGACAATCCTCTCTCGACAATTAGCTTGATACAACAAACATGAGTCATCGCTATTATTCGTTTACGGTATTTTATCATGAACAATCGAGCAAATCTGCACGCGAGTCATCAACATTGTATCACTGAGAGAACATAAATACCACTGGTCTTTAAACATGCAATGTCCAGTCTCAACCTCTTAGAGAGATTGTTGCGCGTAAGAGTTCAGTGGACGTCCTGACATAGAGACCTTCGATATGGTAGGACAACCTCCTCTGTATGGAATGACGATTATTTTAGTCTCCTAAAAGTAAACTGCATGCGGTATGAAAAGAGCCCTTACATAACCTACCCTGGTCCGCCAGAACGGCAACGGTTTTCTTCCAAGGGGCACATGACGTTGCTGATATCGAGTTTTGAGTTGACTGAAAACCCGAAGGAAAAGGAGCTTATGGGTGCTAAAAGCACAATATAGTTCTTGACTTGTGTGAAGCTCTGAACACTGAACACAATTAAAAAAAAAAAAGTTGTAGTTTGTGTATATATATATATATATATATATATATATATATGGAATGCCCGGTTATTATGTTTGATGTAAACCTCTCAATCATATGAAATTAAAATCTCTTCGGTTGTTGTTTACAGTATAAAAACTCGTGTCATGTCTAAAAAGTGGAAAAAACCCTTCCCCAATCCCCGAGGAGTTGAAGGTCAAAGTCTGTATGATTACTTTTTTATTGTCCGGGAGATTTCCCAGCTAGCCGCGACCTCTTGTGCTTAGCACGGTTTTTCTCAATGGCTTCCCGCCATGTCAAACAGGTTGTTGAAATTTTCTTGTGCCAGTAGTGAATTTTTTTTCGAACCGCAAAGTGTTCTTTCCTTTTGCTCTGGAATTTTTAGTATTCACGTGCGACAATCGCGATCCGATTAACTAGCCAATCATATTTAGAGTCCTTGAGCTTAACATTGAGGTTGACGTGGTCACTATTTTAACCTTTTATTTAGAAGGAAGCAGTTGTGAAAATTTAATTGTTATGTACCTCTCAACTCAAATACGGTTTCTGATTGGATGGTTGAATATGTCACGTGCCGTAAGGTTGTTCACCGTGAAACCGCGGCAAATGTGTGTGTCAGCCTACGTACAAAAAGTGATTTTTGGCAGTCATATTCAGTTTGGGATGTATGAGAAAATAATTTCAAAAATAAAAATTAAAAATGACTGGCCCCACGAAATGGAAACAAAAAAATTCTTATAACCTGATGAGTGTAACGGTGCATTTGTCTTTATTTTGCTTTATTCGTTTGTAACTGTTATTCGCACAGTCAAGGGCTGCTTGGTGTACATATAGACGCAAATAACGAACAAAGACTCTCCAGAAATCGCCGTTTGTGACAACATTGTGACCGGAGCCATCATCACATTCCATTTCGTCAAGGTCACCAACTTTATTCAAGAAGACCCTAAGGTGATTCTTTGATTTTCTTAAGACGGGATACCAGTACAGCCTTTTTTGATTCTCACCATGTCCCCTCTTTCCAACCAAGGACTCTCCACTTACTAGTTGACCCCAATCTTTGCAAATGCCAGCTAAATCGGAATTGTCATCCCGCGTCAATCTCACAAACGAACCACAGGCGTCCGGTTGCTCATGTCTGACCGCTGAAGTACTGGACCACAGCTTCACCTGAGCTGTTGATAGAAGTGGAATGTGCGTCCCTGTTTCTTGCGGCAGAGGAATCTCAGCTGAGTGAAGGAAAAGTGTCCTCTGAGCTCTTTCATGGCACTTTTCTTCAGAACCATGTGTAACTTACCTATTCCACGGTATGATGTCTCAACTGACACCTTAGGAGAGAGGCTTCCGAGCTCAACATTTGACACCAAAAGCCAACCTCCTAAAATAAAACAAACCTAAATGATCTGGTGACATCCATGTTACTAGCATTTTGGACATATTAAATGGTAACAGGACCGAGTGGAGTGCAATTCGGTCTGTAATCATACGAGTGACTTACAGAATCGTACGACCGCAAAGTGGAAGTCCGATTTGTTAATCACTCGTATCATTATAGACAGAATTGGGCGACAAGAAGGCCTGTTACAAATTAATCTAAACTATGACAAAATTTGAGAAAGAAACTGGACATCGGTCATACTTTTTCACAAAAACCAAAAAACAACAGTTTACTCGGCGAAATGTGCGACAAAAGCGCGCACATGACGCGTTCTGTTCACTCACACAGGCATGACGCCTTTAACGGTCCTATTACACTGTCCAATTACAAGTATAACGCGTACACTGCCCTATTAGTGCTGAGATCGGCCGGCTGATGATAACCAATCACTTTCAAGAATTCTGCCATAGTTTTGATTCAAACCATAATAAGGATCTTTGTAGAGAACGCACGAATAGCCAAGACCAGAACGTTCCAATAACAACTGCCCCAAGTCAAATATACTCCTGTTGAAGTCCTCGTGTCTCAAAAAAAAATCCATTCTCTTACCACCATATGTTGACATGTCACAATAGACCTTCAAAGGGTTTCCACTCTTCTCTGGGTCGATCCAATAATCCCTGTCTCCTTTGGAGTGTCCAGAGTCCAGAATTTCTTTACAGGAGAAGGCCGGATGAGCAGAATCCCAACCTCGATTATCTGCATAGGAAAAGGGAAGAATAATTATTTGGAACGAGGAGAGGATCAAACTAAGAAACAAAACACGCCACAGAGGTCATATTCCATATGTAGTTCCTCTCGCGTAATTATTAAATAGCTCTTGATTTTATAAATCTTTGTAGGATCCAGAGCATCTTTCAATTCAAACTAAGAAAATGGAAAACCCATCATTATAAGAAAAAGCAAGAGATTCTAAACTTCATATTCTCACAGGAAAGGTTATACATGGATGTACACGTGACATGAGAGAGCTCTGAAAAGCGCTAATCAGACGTAAGAAATAGGTCACCATTTTTGACTTGTAAAGAGGGGTTTGGAGGGGTAGCAGATTCTTGGGAAGGCGGTATATCATTGTTTTCAAAGGGAATGGAGAGGGGATCAGTGGTCGCTAACAGAGTTTAAAGGTGGGACTAAAGAAAATTGGCGGCCAATGAGGAAGATCGATAGAATCATTCGGAACGTTATGGAAGGATCAGGAAAACTTTATTGTGACAACCAAAGTACTCCGACTCTTCATACCTACCCCCCCCCCTTCCCCCACACACACACACACACTCCACTAACTTTTTCATAATGTTAAGTACCTTACTCAACAGTACCTCTTCCATAATAAGTAGAACGTGGGTTACGCCTCAGGTTTTCTGGACTTGATTTTTTGGTTTCATTACTCAGTTGACATACCTTTTTTGCATCACTAGCATCGCATTTACTGTTGTAAGATTGGCATTTTTCATCTTGAAGGCATCTCAATCCACAGCTTATTTCATCAGCATATAATGTCTTGGTGATACGACCAATTAGCTCAAATCCTTGAAAAAGAACACAATCGTGTTTCATGTTCTCATCACTTCGTTTATTTTGGATACTTTAATAATACAGTTTGTATGTAGTTAATTACCCTGTCGTAAGAGGTCATCTTGACTCTTGATATCGTTCAAATGTGAATATGAAGAAGCCCTAAGAGTTATGAGAGTTGCACGTAGAAAGCTCCTGTTGTTTTTACCCAATTTTGGGGAGATCTCATATTTTTTTTAGGGCGAACTGCTGTGGCAACAGAGTGTAAAAGGGGAAGAATGGAAATTTACTACTAATGAGGGGGATTGTAAGAATGTCACAGAGCCTTGTTTGGAGGGTGGAGGGATCATGTAAAGTTTATCGTGACACAGCCAAAATCTGTGTCATCCGATCCGGGTTTTCGCCCATGACACTTGAAACATTCACATCTCGTCAGAAAAAAATATCACTGTGTTGGGAGGTATAACACATTCACGTGTTACTTCAACGCTCTCTGCTCAAGTCAGTGTGTAAAGACGAACTGAAAGCCACACGAAACAAAGCAACACCACTCAACAGAACGGGACAGAAATGGAAACCAACTAGAAGCCCTCTCATCCTTTAATTTGAGAAAGAAAGAAAAATAGATGACAAATGTTGCCCTTCTCCCTTCTTAGATACAACAAATAGTTTTGATTGTGAATTTAGGGGTTTTTTTAAATTACACTTTATCTGACTCAGCGAAAGAATACGAGCGCTTCTTAAACTAGCAAGTCATATAAAGGAATCTTCCCTGCTAAGGATTAATTCTGTTCGCTGGCTTGCACAAGTTACTCACCCGATAGTAAGTAAATACATCGAGTTTCTCACTCACACTCACCTTCCTTTTCTTACTTTTCCTCGACTTTTTTTCTCACGTTTATGCGGTAGGTAAGGTCTCTTGTATATATACTCCTCACTCAAACGTATTTATCGAAGTGGCTGACCATTTAAGGCTTATGTTGCTATCAAAGTTAGAGAGTAATCTTCTTATGAAGTTTAAATTAACCAATTTTCTCTAAATTGAATGACTTGGTTACTCCTTGAAACCAGTATATTCAGACCTTCAGTTTCGTTCCACTCCTCTCGTGTGAAAAATCAACTTTTCATACAATTTTAATGAAACTTGAGACAATAAATAAAAGAAATGAAAAGAAACAGCTTGAGAACCCCTTTCGTAAATCAAGCATTAGTAGGCTTTGCACGAAGTACTGATCACGACTAACATTTCTGATTAACATTTCTTTACATTCCAGTAAAGCGTGGGGGCGTTTAACTTTAATAGAAACAAACCTCGATTATTCGGATTTTTCTTTTTTTTTTCCGGACCTCTTTTCTCTTGCACAAGGATTTCTATGAGTATCAATTAGTCGCATTCGGGATCGATGACAACTTTTTCCCACCAAACAGAGCGAAATTCGCCTAATAAAAAAGAGCTACAGGATGTAATTTCAACAGAGAGAGATGAAAAGTGACAGAATTCCCTTTACCTTCAAACTCGTGCATTTATGAGTCACAATTTGTAGATATATCTGCTGTACCATACATGTATTTCTGTGTTCCTATTTTTGACTCGTGCGCGTTAAAATTGGCATCGGAGGCTAATATGCTAAGAAACACTTATTTCTCCTGATGCTCTAATTATTTTCTCATCTTTTGTCCTCCAGCTACCCTACTAATAGTGTTTACTTTCGCTTCCAGACAATTATAATGTAGACACCTGGCAAAGTTGGTAAAATAAGTGACTAATGACCGACTCCAAAGAATACAGTGAGTTTTGTTGCCCTGACAGGGTAAGGTAAAGCAATCTTCACTGTTTGCCGTGGGGCCAGTCACTTTAATTTTAATTTTTTAAGTGTTTCTCGTACATCCCAACTCGAAAATGACTTCAAAAAAATCATTTTTATAGGCAGGCTGGCACACACATTTGCTGCGGTTTCACGGTGAACGACCTTATCATGTGAGAGTCGAATTTTGAATTTTGTTTCTCCTAGAAAAGTAAGTGTATTTTGATTCACGACTCGCGACATGTTCAGCCCTCCAACCAAAAGATATATTTAAGTTGGGCATTGCAACACCTGAGAGTCGAAAGTCAAGTCGTTGCTTCCTCGGGGGCTTAGTGAATTTTGTTTATCCGAGAAAGGTAAGTGTATTTTGATTCACGACTCGCGACATGTTCAGCCCTTCAATCAAAAGACGTATTTAAGTTGGGCATTGCATAAATGTCGCGTTCAGAGCTCTCTGCAAGTCAAAAATTATATTATGCTTTCAGCACCCATAGGTACTTTTCCTTCAAGTTTCAGTCGACTGAAATCCCAATATTAGCAACGTTATATGCCCCTTGGAAGTAAACGTTTCCGTTGTGGCGGACCGGAGTAGGCTATGTAGGGGCTCTTTTCATACCGCATGCATGTTTACAATTAGGAGGCTACAATAGTCGTCATTCCATACGAGGGGGTTCTGCTATCACATCGAAGGTTTCTGTATCACTGAACTAACACGAGCGACAATCTCGCTAAGAGGTTGAGAGTAGCCATTACTTGCTTGAAGACCAGTTGTATCTATGTTCTCTCAGTGATGCAATGCCGATGCCTCGATCGCAAGCAGATTTGCTCGATTTTTCATGACAAAATACTGTAAACCAATAGTAACTAGAACTCGTGTTTGTTCTATGAGTTAATTCTCGAGAGAGGATTGTTCGTTCATTTTTCTCAGTGATTTGAGACGTTGCTGACAGCGAGATTTGAATCGACTGAAAAACCAAAGGAAAAGGAGCTTATGGGTGCTAAAAGCGTGATATAGTTCTTGACTTGTGTGAAGCTCTGAACACGATAAAAAAAAATTATACATATAATAATAATAATATATATATAATGCCCGGTTATTATGCTATTATTACGTTTGATATAAACCTCTCAATCATTGAAAATTAAAATTTCTTCGATTGTGATTGGTTACAATATAAAAACTCGTGTCATGTCTAAAAAGTGAAAAAAAAACCCTCCCCCAATCCCCGCGGGGTTGAAGGTCAAAATCTGTATGATTACTTTTTTATTTTCCCGGAGATTTCCCAGCTAGCCTCGACCTCTTGTGTTATGCATAGTTTTTTCTCAATGGCTTGAAATTGAAAATTGAAATTTTCTTGTGTCAGAAGTGACTCTTTTTCGAATTGCAAAGTGTTCTTTCCTCTTCCTCTGGAATTTTTAGTATTCACGCGCGACGCTCGCGATCCGATCAACTAGCCAATCACGTTTAGAGTCCTTCAACTTAGCATTGAGGTTGACGTGGTCACTCGTTCAACCTTTTATTTAGAAGGAAGCAGTTGTGAAAATTTAATCGTTATGTACCTCTCAACTCAAATACGTTTTTTGATTGGATGGTTGAATATGTCACGCGCCGTGAATCAAAATACACTGACATTCTAGGGTGGACAAAATTCACTAAGCCCCCGAGGAGACAACAACTTTAACTTTCGACTCTCGCGTGATAAGGTTGTTCACCGTGAGACCGCAGCAAATGTGTGTGCCAGCCTGCGTACAAAAAGTGATTTTTGGCAGTCATATTCGGTTTGGGACGTATGAGAAAATATTTTCAAATATCAAAATTAAAATGACTGGCCCCACGGGAAACAATGAGGATTGCTTTCCCTTGCCCCGAAATGGAAACAAAAACTATCTTATAACCCGATGAGTGTAACGGTGCATTTGTCTTTATTTTGCTTTATTGGTTTGTTACTGTTATTCGCACAGTCAAGGGTTGCTTGGTGTGCAGATAGACGCAACTAACGAACAAAGACTCTCCAGAAATCGCCGTTTGTGTTATCATTGTGACCTTGGCGATCATCACATTCCATTTTTTGGAGGTCGTCAACGTTCTGCAGTTGGACCCTAAGGTGATACCTTGACTTTCTTAAGACGGGATACTTGTATAGCCTCTCTTGACCTTCACCATGTCCCCACTTTCCAACCTGGAACTCTCCACTTACTAGTCGACCCCATTCTTTGCAAATGCCAGCTAACTTGGAATTGTCATCCCGCGTCACTCTCACAAACGAACCACAGGCGTCCGGTTGCTCATCTATCTGACCGCTGAAGTACCGGACCACAGCTTCGCCTGAGCTGTTGGAAGCTGTGACCACGTGGAATGTGCGTCCCTGTTTCTTGCGGCAGTGGAATCTCAGCTGAGTGAAGGACAAGTGTTTTCTGAGCTCTTTCAGGGCACGTTTCTGCAGAACCATGTGTGACTTAGCTATTCCACGGTATGATGTCTCAACTGACACCTTAGGAAAGGAACTTTCGAACTCAACATTTGACACCAGAAGCCAACCTCCTAAAATAAAACAAACCTAAATGATCTTGTGACATCCATGTACCTAGAATTTTGGACATATTAAATAGTAACAGGACCGAGTGCAGTCCAATTGGGTCTGCAATCATACGAGTGATTTATAGAATCGTACGACCGCAAAGCGGGAGTCCGATTTGTTAATCACTCGTATCACTACAGACAGAATTGGACGACAAGAAGGCCTGTTACCAATTAATCAAAACTATGACAAAAATTGAGAAAGAAACTAAACATCGGTTATACGTTTTCAGAAAAACGAAAAACAACAGTTCACCCGGCGAAATGCGAGACAACAGCGCGCACATGACGTGTTCTGTCCACTCACACAGGCATGACACGTTAACTATCCCTTTAACGGTCCTATTACACTGTTCAATCACAAGTATGACGCGTACACTGTCCTATTAGTGCTCAAATCGGCCGGCTGATGATAACTAATCAGTTTCAAGAATTCTGCAGTAGATTTGATTAAAAACATAAGAAGGATATTTGTAGAGAAAGCAAGAATAGCCAAGATCAAATATACTCCTGTTGAAGTCCTCGTGTCTCAAAAAAAAAAATTTCTTTTCTTACCACCATGTCTTGACATGTCACAATAGACCTTCAAAGGGTTTCCACTCTTCTCAGGGTCGATCCAATACTCCCCGTCTCCTTTGGAGTGTCCAGAGTCCAGAATTTCTTTACAGGAAAAGGCCGGATGAGCAGAATCCCAACCTCGTTTACCTTTGGAGTGTCCAGAGTCCAGAATTTCTTTACAGGAGAAGGCTGGATGAGCAAAATCCCAACCTCGTTTACCTGCATAGGAAAAAGAATAATCTTTTGAAACGAGGAGAGGATCAAATTAAGAAACAAAACATGCCACAGAGGTCTTATTTCATAAGAAGTTCTTTTCGAGTGATTGTTAGATAGCTCTAGATTTTATAAATCTTGGCAGGATCCATAGAATCTTTCAATTCAAACAAAGAATATGGAAAACCTTTCATTATAAGGAAAAGCAAGAGATTTTAAACTTCATATTCTCTCGGGAAAGATTATTCATGGATGTACACGTGACATGAGAGAGCTCTGAAAAGCGCTAATCAAAAGTAAGAAATAGGTCACCATTTTTGACTTGGCCATGGAAAGAGGAGGTGGAAGGGGTGGCAGAGTCTTGGGGGGGATATCATTGTTTTCAAGGGAATGGAGAGGGGATCAGTGGTCGTTAACAGAGTTTAAAGGTGGGACTAAAGAAAATTGGCGGCCAATGAGGAAGATCGATAGAATCATTCGGAACGTTATGGAAGGATTAGGAAAACTTTATCGTGACAACTAAAATACTCCGATTTTTCATACCCTCCCACCTCCTCTAACTTTTCCATAATGTTAAGCACCTTACTCAACAGTACCTCTTCCATAATAAGTAGAACGTGGGTTACACCTCAGGTTTTCCGGACTTGAATTTTTGGTTTGATTACTCAGTTGACATTCTTTCTTTGCATCATTAGCATCGGATTTGCTGTTGTAAGATCGGCAGTTTTCATCTCGAAGGCAACTCAATCCACAGCTTATTTCATCAGCATATAATGTCTTGGTGACGTGACCAATTAGCTCAAATCCTTGAAAAACAACACAATCGCGTTTCATGTTCTCATCACTCAGTTTATTTTGGATACTTTCATAATACAGTTTGTGTGTAGTTAATTACCCTGTCTTAAGAGGTCATCTTGACTCTTGATATCGTACAAAGGTGAATATGAAGAAGCCCTGAGAGTTATGAGAGTTGCACGTAGAAAGTTCCTGTTGTTTTTACCCAATTTTGGGGCGATCTTATATTTTTTTTCCAGGGCGAACTGCTGTGGCTAACAGAGTATAAAAGGGGAAGAATGGAAATTTACTACCAATGAAGGGGATTTTAGGAATGTCACAAAGCCTTATTAGGGGGGTGGGGGAGGGATCAAAATCTGTGTCAACCGATCCCAGTTTTCCGATCCCATGGCACTTGAAACACTCACATCCCACCGGAACAAAATATCACTGTGTCGAGAGGTATAACACATTTACGTGTTACCTTCAATTCGCTCGAAAACCTCGTGCCTACTCAAGTCAGTGTGCAAAGACGAACTGAAAGCCACAAGAAACAAAGCAACACCACTCAACAGAACGAGACAGAAATGGAAACCAACTAGAAGCCCTCTCATCCTGTAATTTGAGAAAGAAAGAAAAACAGATGAAAAATGTTGCCCTTCTCCCTTCTTAGATGCAACAAATAGTTTTGATTGTGAATTTAGGATTTTAGCATATAAAGGAATCTTCCCTGCTGAGGATTAATTCTGTTCGCTGGCTTGCACAAGTTACTCACCCGATAGTAAGTAAATACATCGAGTTTCTCACTCACACTCACCTTCCTTTTCTTACTTTTCCTCGACTTTTCTTCTCACGATCATGCGGTAATAAAGGTCTTTTGTATATATACTTCTCACTCAAACATATTTATCGAAGCGGCTGACCATTCAAGATTTATGTTGTTGTCAAAGTTAGGGAGCAATCTTCTTCTGAAGTTTAAATTAACCAATTTTCTCCAAATTGAATGACTTGGTTACTCCTTGAAACCAGTATATTTTTACCTTCAGTTTCCTTCCACTCCTCTCGTATTTTTGCATTGAAAAACTCTTTTATCAACTTTTCATACAATTTTAATGAACCTTGTGTAACAATGAAAATTATAGAAATGAATAGGAACAGCTTGAGAACCCTTACATAAATTATGCATTGGTCAGTTTTGCACGAAGTACTGATCACGACTCGACTTTTCTTTCACGTTTATGCGGTAGTAAAGGTCTTTTGTAGATATACTTCTCACTCAAATGTATTTATCCAAGTGGCTGACTATTCAAGATTTATGTTGTTATCAAAGTTAGAGAGCAATCTTCTTGAAACCAGTATATTCTTACCTTCAGTTTCCTTCCACTCCTCTCGTATTTTTGTATCGAAAAACTCTGTTGTCAACTTTTCATACAATTTTAATGAACTTTGAGACAATGATTAAAAGAAATAAATAGAAACAGCTTAAGAACCCATACATAAATTATGCATCAGTCAACTTTGCACGAAGTACTGATCACGGCTTGGGGTTAGCTTTTTCTACATTTGAGTAAAGCGTGAGGGCATTTAGCTCGAAACAAACCAAGATTACTCGGATTGTTTTTATTATGTTGTTATCAAAGTTGGAAAGCAATCTTCTTCTTAAGTTTAAATTAACCAATTTTTTCCAAATTGAATGACTTGCTTCTTCCTTGAAACCAGTATATTCTGACCTTCAGTTTCTTTCCACTCCTATCGTATTTTTCTATTGAAAAAATCTTTTATCAGCTTTTTGTACAATTTTAATGAAACATGAGACAATAATTAAAAAAAAAATAAAAAGAAACAGCTTGAGAACCCCTTTCGTAAATCAAGCAATAGTCAGCTTTGAACGAAGTACTGATCACGACTAACATTTTTGATTGATATTTCTTTACATTCGAGAAAAGCGTGGGGGCGTTTAACATTAATAGAAACAACCTCGATCATTCGGAATTTTTCTTTTTTTTCCGGACCTCTTTTCTCTTGCACACGGATTTCTATGAGTATCGATTAGTCGCATTCGGGATCGATGACAACCTTTTTCCACCAAACAAAGTGAAATTCGCCTATTAAAAAAGAGCTACAGGATGTCATTTCAACAGAGAGAGATGAAAAGTGACAGAATTTCCTCTCACCTTCTAACTCGTACATTTATGAGTCACAATTTGTAGATATATCTGCTGTACCATACATGTATTTCTGCGTTCCTATTTTTGACTCGTGCACGTTAAAATTGACAACGGAAGCCAATATGCTAAGAAACATTTGTTTCTTCTGATGTACTAATTATTTTCTCATCCTTTGCCCTCTAGCTACCATACTAATAGTGTTTAATTTCGCTTCTAGACAATTATAATGTAGACACCTGGCAAAGTTGGTAAAGTAAGTGACTAATGACCGACTCCAAGGGATACCGTGAGTTTTATTGCCCTGGCAGGGCAAGGTAAAGGAATCCTCACTGTTTCCTGTGGTGCTCGTCACTTTTTAAAAGTGTTTCTCATACATCCCAACTCGAAAATGACTGCAAAAAATAATTTTTATAGGCAGGCTGGCACACACATTTGCTGCGGTTTCACGGTGAACGACCTTATCATGTGAGAGTTGAAAGTCAAGTCGTTGCTTCCCCGGGGGCCAAGTGAATTTTGTTTATCCTAGAAAGTAAGTGTATTTTGATTCACGACTCACGACATGTTCAGCCCTCCAATCAAAAGACGTATTTAAGTTGGGCATTGCATCACCTGAGAGTCGAAAGTCAAGTCGTTGTTTCCCCGGGGGCTCAGTGAAGTTTGTTTATCCGAGAAAGTAAGTGTATTTTGATTCACGACTCGCAACATGTTCAGCCCTTCAATTAAAAGACGTATTTAAGTTGGGCATTGCATAAATGTCGCGTTTAGAGCTCTCTACAAGTCAAGAATTATATTATGCATAAGCCTTTTCTTCAAGTTTCAGTCGACTGAAATCCCGATATTAGCAACGTTATGTGCCCCTTGGAAGAAAACGTTTCCGTTGTGGCGGACCGGAGTAGGCTATGTAGGGGCTCTTTTCATACCGCATGCATGTTTACAATTAGGAGGCTAAAATAGTCGTCATTCTATACGAGGGGGTTCTCCTATCATATCAAAGGTTTCTGTATCAGAAAGTCCACTGAACTCACACGAGCGAAAATCTCTCTAGGAGGTTGAGACTGGCCATTGCTTGTTTGAAGACCAGTGGCATCTATGTTCTCTCAGTGATGCAATGCCGATGCCTCGATCGCGAGCAGATTTGCTCGATTGTATTGGGGATTGTAAGATTATTACAGAGCCTTATTGAGGGGAGGGGATCATGTAAAGTTTATCGTGACATAGCCAAAATCGTTCGACGTCAGTAAGTTATTATATTGATTTGGCGAGTTTTCGCCCATGGCAATTGACACGTTTATATTCCGTCGGAAAAAAAATATATCACGGTGTCATAACAGAGGTATAACACATTCACGTGTTACCTTCAACTCTCTCGAAAACCTCTTCCCTGCTCACGTCAGTGTGCAAAGACGAACTGAAAGCCACAAGAAACAAAGCAAAACCACTCAACCGAATGGGACAGAACTGGAAACTAACTAGATGCCCTCTCATCCTGTACTTTGAGAAAGAAAGAAAAACAGACGACAAATGTCGCGCTTACCCTTTATTGATGTAACAAATAGTTCTGATTGTGAATTTAGGGTTTTGTTAATTACACTTTGTCTGACTCGGTGAAAGAATACGGAGGGCTTTTTAAACTACCAGCTCATAAGGAACCTTCCCTGCTAAGGATTAAAACTTGTCCGATGGCTTGCAAAAGTTACTCAACTCAGTGTAGAAATGACAAACGGTTCAGCTAACTGTACTTTGGTTTAGTGACTTGACACGAACAGTTCAGAATAGTGTGAAATGGCTAAAGCTATCGGCAAATGGTTGATAGTAGGCCCCAATGGCTTCGTATCGCATCAATCTACTCACCGAAATGTGAAATGGTTTAGCGTGACGACAATAGGTTTAGTACAAACCGAAATAGTTTAGTGTTACAGCAGATGTTTTTCGCCGTAACCGCCAAAAATACAAAGGTGAAATGGACAAGTCAAGCTTGAAATGGAACAGTCTATGTGGGGTCTTACGTCACAACCTTATAGTTTTTCTAGTTTTTAGACGCCTTCTAGCTGTAGTTTCGCCGTCTTAAAAACAATGGATCGCTTTATTACGTTTCCTAGCTATGATTCTGACTGTCTAGACTTTAAATGTGCCGTTGCGCAAAATGATGCATTTTATTTGTATTTTTGTCATTCCTTTTGTTCAGTTTCAGATTCTTATTTTATCTTGAGGGAGTACAATGGAGAATTCTTACCATGGTCACACGTAACCATGGCAAGAATTCTCCATTTCAAGTACACCAGTTTTAACTATAAACTATTCGTAACTATGTAGTTTTTAACTAGATAGTTTTTAAAGTTACTACTTTAGTTGTAGTTTCGTCTTCTTTAAACAAGGAATCGCGTTATCACGTTTCCTAACATTAGTTCTGACTGTCTAGACTGTAAGTGCGCTTTCGCGTAAAATGATGCATTTTATCTGTATTTTTGTCATTTATTTTATCGAGGTAGTAAAATTGAGAATTCTTATCATGGCTAGTCGTAAGGCCAGTAAGGATCAAATTAAAAACTAGAAAAATGAACGGACAAATGCTCTCTCGACAATTAGCTAAATACAACAAACATGAGTTATAGCTATTATTCGTTTACAGTATTTTGTCATGAACAATCGAGCAAATCTGCACGCGAGGCATCGGCATTGCATCACTGAGAGAACATAGAAAACCCTCCCCCAATCCCTGAGGGGTTGAAGGTCAAAATCTGTATGACTACTTTTTTATTTTCTTGGAGATTTCCCATGCAGCTAGCTAGCCTCGACCTCTTGTGCTAAGCATAGTTTTTCTCAATAGCTTCCCACCACATAAAACAGGTCGTTGAAATTTTCTCGAGTCAGTCGTGAATTGTTTTGAACTGCAAAGTGTTCTTTTCTTTTCCTCTGGAATTTTTAGTATTCACGCGCGACGCTCGCGATCCGATCAACTAGCCAATCATGTTTAAAATTCTTGAACTGAACACTGAGGTTGACGTGGTCACTAGTTCAAACTTTATTTAGAAGGAAGCAGTTGTGAAAATTTAATCGTTATATACCTCTCAACTCAAATAGGTTTTTTGATTGGATGGTTGAATATGTCACGCGCCGTGAATCAAAATACACTAACTTTCTTGGGTGAACAAAATTCACTAAGCCTCCGAAAAAAACAACAACTTTAACTTTCGACTCTCGCGTCCTAAGGTCGTTCACCGTGAAACCGCAGCAAATGTGTGTGCCAGTCTACGTACCAAAAGTAATTTTTGGCAGTCATATTCGCTTTGGGATGTATGAGAAAATATTTTCAAACAGGTCCCACGGGAAACAGTGAGGATTGCTTTCCCTTGCCCCGAAATGGAAACAAAAACAATTCTTATAACCTGATGAAGGTAAAGGTGCATTTTCTTTATTTTGCTTTATTCGTATGTTACTGTTATTCGCACAGTCCAGGGTTGCCTGGTGTACAGACAGCTCTGAGTTAAACGCAACTAACGGAACAAATACTCTCCAGAAATCGCCGATTGTGTTAACGGTCTGAGAGGCAACATCATCGCATTGCATTACGTTGAGGTCACCAACGTTATTCAAGTGGACCCTAAGGTGATACGCATGTACTTTGAATGCGGGATACCAGTATACACTGTTTTAATCTTCACCATGTCCCCACTTTCCAACTAAGTACTCTCCACTTATTAGTCCCCAATCTTTGCAAATGTCAGCTAACTTGGAATTGTCATCCCACTTCAATCTCACAAACGAAACACAGGCATCCGGTAGCTCATCTGTCTGACCGCTGAAGTACTGGACCACAGCTTCACCTGAGCTGTTGGAAGCTGTGACCACGTGGAATGTGCGTCTCTGTTTCTTGTGGCAGTGGAATCTCAGCTGAGTGAAGGACAAGTGTCTTCTGAGCTCTTTCATGGCACTTTTCTGCAGAACCATGTGTGACTTACCTATCCCACGGTATGATGTCTCAACTGACACCTTAGAAGAGGGGCTGCCGAACTCAACATTTGACACCAGAAGCCAACCTCCTAAAATAAAACAAACCTAAATGATCTGGTGACATCTATGTAAATAGAATTTTGGACATATTAATAGTGGTAACAGAACCGAGCGGAGTCCAATTCGGACTGAAATCATACGAGTGATTATCAAAATCGTAGGACCGCAAAGCCGGAGACCGAATTGTTAATCACGAGTATCATTACTGACAGAATTGGACGACAGTCCAAAGTCCTGTTACCAATTAATCAAAACTGTGTTAAAATTTGAGAAAGAAACTAGACATCAGTTTTCATAAAACTAGACATACGTTTTCATAAAAACAAAAAAACAACAGTTAACTCGGCGAAATGCGAGACAACAGCGCACACATGACGCTATCTGTCTAGGCAGGCATGACGTGTTAACTGTCCCCTTAACTGTCCCATTACATTGTCAACTTACAAGCATGACACGTACACTGTCCTATTAGTGCTCAAATCGGCCGTCTGGTGATAACAAATCACGTTCGAGAATTTTGCCATTGTTTTGATTAAAAACATAATACGAATAGCCAAGACCAGAACGTTCCAATAACAACTGCACCAAGTCAAACATTCTCCGGTTGAAGTCCTCGTGTCTCAAAAAAAAATCCATTCTCTTACCACCATATGTTGACATGTCACAATAGACCTTCAAAGGGTTTCCACTCTTCTCTGGGTCGATCCAATACTTCCCGTCTCCTTTGGAGTGTCTAGAGTCCAGAATTTCTTTACAGGAGAAGGCCGGATGAGCAGAATCCCAACCTCTTTTATCTGCATAGGAAAAGTGAAGAATAATCATTTGGAACGATGAGAGGATCAAAACAAGAAACAAAACACGCCACAGAGGTCTTATTCCATAAGTAATTCCTTTCGCGTAATTATTAGATAGCTCATGATTTTGGAAATCTTCTTTTGTAGGATCCATAGCATCTTTCAATTCAAACTAAGAAAATGGAAAACCTATCATTATAAGGAAAAGCAAGAGATTTTAAACTTCATATTCTCTCAGGAAAGGTTATACATGCTATGTTATACATACGCTGACCAGAAGTTAGAAATAGGTTACTACTTTTTCGCTTGGAAAGAGGGGGTGGGAGGGGTGGGAGGGGGCATCTCATGGTTTTCAAAGGAAACGGAAGGGGGAGCAGTCGTCGCTAACAGAGTTTAAAGGTGGGACTAAAGAAAATTGGCGGCCAATGAGGTAGATCGATAGAATAATTCGGAACGTTATGGAAGGATCAGGAAAACTTTATTGTGATTTTTATGGTGACAACCAAAATACTCCGACCCTTAATACCCCCCCTCCCACCTCCACTAGCTTTTCCATCATTTTAAGCACCTTACTCAACAGTACCTCTTCCATAATAAGTAGAACGTGGGTTACGCCTCAAGTTTTCCGGACTTGATTTTTCGGTTTGGTTACTCAGTTGACATTCCTTCTTTACATCATTAGCATCGGATTTGCTGTTGTAAGATAGGCATTTTTCATCTTGAAGGCATGTGAATCCACAGTTTATTTCGTCAGTGTATAATGTCTTGGTGATATGACCAATTAGCTCGAATTCTAGAAAAAAACTCAATCGTGTTTTATTTTATCATCACACAGTTTACTTTGGATACTTTCACGATACAGTTTGTGTGTTGTAGTTTACCTTATCTTAAGAGGTCATCTTGATTCTTGATAGTGCACAAAGGTAAATATGAAGTAGCCCTAGGAGTTATGAGAGTTGAGCGTAGAAAGTTTCTGCTGTTTTTACCCGATTTTGAGGCAATCTCATATTTTTTTTAATGGGGGGGATCTGTTGTGGCAGAGTATAAAAGGGGAAGTATAGAAAATTGTCTGCCAATGAGGAGGATCGTAAGATTATTCCAGAGCCTTATTGGGGGCGGGGGGAGGGAATGTAAAGTTTATCATGACACAGCCAAAATGTGTCATCCGATCCGACTTTTCGCCCATGACACTTGAAATATTCACATCCCGTCGGAAAAAAAATCTCTATGTCGGGAGGCATAAAACATTCACATGTTACCTTCAGTTCTCTCGAAAACCTCGTCCCTGCTCAAGTCAGTTCTAGCAGACGAACTGAAAGCCACAAGATACAAAGCAATACCACTCAACAGAACGGGACAGAAATGGAAACTAACTAGATGCCCTCTCATCCTGTAATTTAAGAAAGAAAGAAAAACAGATGACAAATGTCGCCTTTTTCCCTTTTTTGATGCAAGAAATGTTTTTGTGACCTTAGGATTTTGTTAATTACAATTTGCCGTCTGACTTGGCGATAAAATGCGAGGGCTTTTTAAACTACCAAGTTATATAAAACTATCTTTCCTGCTAAGGACTAAAACTTGTCCGCTGGCTTGCACAAGATACTCACCCGATAGTAAGTAAATACATCGAGTTTCTCACTCACACTCACCTTCCTTTTCTTACTTTTCCTCGACTTTTCTTCTCAGTTTATGAGGTAGTAAAGGTCTTTTGTATATGTAGTTCTCACTCAAACGTATTTCTCGAAGCGGCTGACTATTCAAGATTTATGTTGTTGTCAAAGTTGACAAGCAATCTTCTTTTGAAGTTTAAATTGACCAATTTCTCCAAATTGAATGACTTGGTTACTCCTTGAAACCAGTATATTCTTAACTTCAGTTTCCTTGCACTCCTCTCGTATTTTTGTATTGAAAAACTCGAAGATCAACTTTTCATACAATTTTAATGAAGCTTGAGACAATAATTAAAAGAAATAAATAGAAACAGCTCGAGAACCCATACATAAATTATGCATCAGTCAACTTTGCACGAAGTACTGATCACGACTTGGGGTTAGCGTTTCTTTACATTGAGTAAAGCATGGGGGCATTTAACTTTAATGGAAGCAAACCTAGATTATTCGGATTTTTTTGGTTATCCGGATTTCTTTTCTTCTGTACCCGGTTTTTTATGAGTATCAATTAGTCGCATTCAGGATACAAAACAACTTTTTCCCACCAGAAAAGCTAAATTCGCCCAATGAAAAAGAGCTACAGGATGTAATTTCAGGTCAAAAGTTTTCTTTAGAGATTAACCTGACAAAATTCCTTCTCATGTTCTAACTCGTACATTTATGACTCACAATGTGTTGGTATATCTGTTGTACCATACATGTTTTTTGTGTGTTCCTGTTTTGCACCTGTGTTAGTTAATCTAATAACCGATGCCAATATGCTAAGAAATATATATTTCTTTCGATGATCTAATTATTTTCTCACCTTTTGCACTCTAGCTACCCTACTAATGGTGTTTACTTTCGCTTACAGACAGTTCTAATACAGACACCTGGCAATGTTGATACATTAAGCGACTAACTGATTCCAAAGGAAACAATTAGTTTTGTTTCCACTGCGGGTCAAGGGAAAGCAATTCTCACTGTTTCCCGTGGGGCCAGTCTCTTTGATTTTAATTTTCAAAAGTGTTTTGTTATACCTCCCAACTCGAAAATGACTAAAAAATTATTTTGTTTTCGCAGGCTGGCACTCACATTTGCTGCAGTTTCACAGTGCACGACCTTATCACGTGAGAGTCGAAAGTTTAAGTTCTTGTTTCCCTAAGGGCTAAGTGAATTTTGTTCACTTAGAAAGTTGGTGTATTTTGATTCCCGGCCCGCGAGATGTTCTCCTCAAATCAGAAAACTTATTTGAGTTGAGAGGTACATAACGATTAAATTTTCACAACTGCTTTCTTCTTAATATAAGGTTGATCTAGTGCTAAGGAAATTGACCACGTCAACCTCAAGATCAAGTTCAAGGATCTAAACATGATTGGCTAGTTGGTCGAATCACGTGCGTCGGGCGTGAATACAAACATTCCAGTGGAAGAAAAAAGAACGCTTTGCAGTTCGGAAAAAATTCACGAAAATATTATATTTGATGTGGCGGAAAACTATTAAGAAAAACCATGCCTAACACGAAAGGTCGAAGCTAGCTGGGAATCGTGGACGAAAAAAAAGTGATTAAACAGACATTGACCTTTCTGGCTTGTTCTTGTGCCTTACAGCAAATAAATCCTTTTCTTCCAAGAATTTGATTCAAACGAAAGAAAAGTGAACAGTGAGGAAACAAGTCGAAAAACTTGGTTTGCCTCGGATTAATTTTCCAGAAAGTTTACTGAAGAGCCGTCATTTACAGCGTCACTTAGTATTCCTGGCTCGAGTCTTAATTAACACATCGAACTGACCAGAACTTAAATCTATACTCGCCCCAGTCCCAATGTATACCCCACGGTATCCATTCAACAGATGAGCGAACGAACGAAAAATGACTATGATTTTACTTTATTTATTTTAATTTTTTCTATCAATTTCGCTAGTTAAGTTTTTTTTTTGGTAAAAATTCATGCTAAGTGTTTTCATTGCCCTTGACACAATTTTACATAAGCTTTCACTATTCTTTCACCTGCCTTTACATTCCCACACAACAATCCAAAGTTCTCGCAGACTACAACTTTCCGAAAAAAACAGATACTAATTGTCTGTAAATTCGGCTTTTCGTTTCCCTAAAAAAGCTGTCATCCCTTCCTTTCGATCGTCCTGCGAAATGAAAGAAAAGGAGAAAATTTTCCTTAGGGAAAGTTTCATCGCAAGTCTTTACAAGTACACTATACTGTTATTCATCACCATGGTAACAATTGAATAGACGGGGTAAGTTTCTAGAGAAACTGTGGTGCTGCGGCGGGTGGGGTATCACAAATATCATTTTTATCAAAAGCGTTGATAATGCAAAGTGGCCACCATAGAGAGTTTCTAAAGCTGACGTTCCTAGCCTTAGCCGTTCGTCAGAGCGAATAGAGAAATTGTGGATGGTGTGTAGTTTACATGCGGAAAGATGGAGCTGCACTTTTGGTGAGAACATAGGAACATTTTCATGTTTTAAATTGAACTTACTTTGGTTGCGCAGAAGACGTGAAGAGTTCAGTGGATTGCTCTAAATCAGAGAGAGTAGGTGATATGTTTTCGGGAAATGGTTGAGTGGCTTTACCACTTTGTATTGCAATTGCCGTCTTCTTTCAAGTGTAAACGCCGATCAATATTAACTTACTGTTGAAAATGTTGAGTGAAACATTCTTTTCTCAAAATGCAGTCCTTCTCGTAGCCTAATAAATAAAAGAGGAAAAAAAAGATTTCAGACGCCTGAACAAAAAGACATTTGGGAATTTCAACGGTCTAAGGAACTTTCACAATAGTCTCGCAATAGAACAGTCAAGTAGAAAAGATAATTGTTTTGAGATTAACTACTAAACCAACAAGAAACTACTGCGATGCTAAGTACCCCACTCCTTGACCCTTTAACCCCCAAGATCTGATTGTTAATTCTCCCCTCTAGCTGCTACACATTTCCTTTTTAATTAGATACGAGAGTTTGATGTTAGATCAATAACAACTTTGAACTGATAAGTTTAAATATTCTCATTATCCGTTTGCTGGATGATGTATGTTTATTACAGGGAGAAGTTGCATGTTGATCAATTTTGTAAGGTAAAGAGGTAATGATGAACAACTGGTCAAAAATAGGAGCTAAGTTGAAAGGAACATGAACCTGATTTCTGTGGATCTTCTGCTGAAATAGGATCTCCTGTGAGTATCATTTCCATAGCCAGAGACTTCCCAACAGCTCTTGGAAGTCGCTGTGTACCACCGGCACCTAAAAAAATGATAGCAATCTTCGAGTTAGTTGCAACTTTAAGCACAAACTTAAGCTTGACACAGTTAACCCTTTAACTCCCAGATCAAATTTGTAATTCTACTTATTGTCAACCATACAATTCTTATAATTTTAGTTTAAAGAATTTAATATTGGATCAAATAATTATCCCCAAATTGAAATTTTTCTTTATTCTCACCACTTATCTGGTTAATATTGTATTGATAGTGTAAAGAGAAATTCGGTCTTGGTCACTCATGGGAGTTAAAGGGTTAAAGAACATAAAAGCAGCAATATAAGAGAGTCTAGAATAAAAAAAATATCCATTTTAATAAAAAAGCCATCTTACTCCTATGATCTTTCCTGATTACAAGTCTTTACTTCTTCAAATCAGATCACCTTTTTTTAAGTTCAAGCAAATTTGAACTTTTTTACTCCAAAGAGTGACTAGCATCTAGTTTCTCCTTACAATATCACCCCTGAATCACACATTAAAGTCATGAGAATGAAGGAAATGATCAAACAAGCTCTTGATTGTTAAACAAATTCTCCTTGTCAGCACATTAGGAACTGTATGGAGAAAAGTATGGAGAACTTGCAGACTGATGTTTGGGTGTAAAGGGGCTATTGACTAATACTCTTAAGAAGTATAAAAATATCTTGGAAAGGAGAAGACATCATTTTCATTTTCTTCATCTGCTATCCTGTAGCTTATTTCTACTCTCTAATTGTTTAATCAAGGTCAGTGGAGTATATTTTCTTACAGTGCAAACTCATAAAGTTGTTTCTATGGGTGATTTACAGGTGTGCCACTCCTGGAATAGTTCCAAGCAAAATCTCTGGTTGACCAAACTTAGCTTAACAAAATCGTAGGACCGCAAAGCGGGAGTCCAATTTGTTAATCACGAGTTTGATTTCAGACAGAATTGGGCGACAAGAAGACCTGTTACCAATTAATCGAAACTATGACGAAATTTGGGAAAGAAACTAGACATTGGTTATACGTTTTCAGAATAACCAAAAACAACAGTTTACTCGGCGAAATGTGAGACAACAGCGCGCGCACATGACGCGTTCTGTCCCCTCCTACAGGCATGACATGTTAAAGGTCCATTTAACTGTCCTATCCTGGTTTTCAAAGGGAACAGAAAGGAGATCAGTCGTCGCTGACAGAGTTTAAAGGGGGGACTAAAGAAAATTGACCAACTCGATTTATTGTGACAACCAAAATGCTCCGACTTTTCCCTCCCCCTCTTCTCCGCCCAGGTGATAAAAATATGACTAAAGTTAAGCACCTTAGTTAACGGTACTTCTTCCATAATAAGTAGAACGTGGGTTACGCCTCAAGTTTTCTGGACTTGATTTTTCAGTTCGGTTACTCAGTTGACATTCCGTCTTTGCTTCATTAGCATCGGATTTGCTGTTGTAAGATTGGCATTTTTCATCTTGAAGGCATCTCAATTCACAGGTCATTTCGTCAGCGTATAATGTCTTGGTGATATGACCAATTAGCTCAAATCCTGGAAAAACAACATAATCGTGTTTCATTTTCTTATTATACAATTTACTTTGGATACTTTCATAATACAGTTTGTGTGTAGTTGTTTACCCTGTTTTAAGAGGTCATCATATGAAGAAGCCCTAGGAGTTATGAGAGTTGCGCGATTTGTTGTGGCTAATAGAGTATAAAGAGAAACCGAAGGCGTAGAAAATTGACTGCCAAAGAGGGGGATTGTAAGATTGTTACAGAGCCTTATTGAGGGGAGGGGGAATCATGTAAAGTTTATCGTGACACAGCCAAAATCGTTCGACGTCAGTAAGTTATACTATATTGATTTGGCGAGTCAACACCTCAGTGTGCAAAGACGAACTAAAACCCACAAGAAATACAGCTACACCACTCAACAGAACGGGACAGAACTTGAAACTAACTAGATGCCCTCTCATCCTGTAATTTGAGGAAGAAAGAAAAACAGATGACAAATGTCGCGCTTTCCCTTTATCGATGTAACAAATAGTTCTGATTGTGAATTTAGGGTTTTGTTAATTACACTTTGTCTGACTCGGCGAAAGAATACGGAGGGCTTGCTTTTTAAACTACCAGCTCATATAAAGGAACCTTCCCTGCTAAGGATTAAAACTTGTCCGCTGGCTTGCAAAAGTTACTTAACTCAGTGTCGAAATGACAAACGGTTCTGCTAGCTGTACTTTGGTTCAGTGACTTGACACAAACAGTTCAGAGTAGTGTGAAATGGCTCAAGCTATCGGCAAATGGTTGATAGTAGGCCGCAATGGCTCAGTATCGCATCAATCTACTCACCGTAAAGTGAAATGGTTTAGCGTGACAACAATAAGTCTAGTAGAAACCGAAATGGTTTAGTGTTACAGCAGTTGGTTTTCGCTGTAACCGCCAAAAATACAAAAGTGAAATGGACAAGTCAAGCTTGAAATGGAACAGTCTATGTGGGTCCTACATCACAACCCTATAGTTTTTATAGTTTTTAGAGGCCTTCTAGCTGTAGTTTCGCCGTCTTAAAACAATGAATCGCTTTATTTCGTTTCCTAGCTATGGTTCTGACTGTCTAGACTGTAAGTGCGCTGTCGCGTAAAATGATGCATTTTATCTGTATTTTTGTCATTTATTTTATCGAGGTAGTAAAATTGAGAATTCTTACCATGGCTAGGCGTAAGGCCAGTAAGGATTAAATTAAAAACTAGAAAAATTAACGGACAAATCCTCTCTCGACAATTAGCTAAATACAACAAACATGAGTTATAGCTATTATTCGTTTACAGTATTTTGTCATGAACAATCGAGCAAATCTGCACGCGAGGCATCGGCATTGCATCACTGAGAGAACATAGATACCACTGATCTTCAAACAAGTAATGTCCAGTCTCGACCTCTTAGTGAGATTGTCGCTCGTGTGAGTTTTAGTGGACCTTCTGACACAGAGACCTTCGATATGATAGGAGAACCCCCTCTGTATGGAACGACGACTATTCTAGCCTCCTAATTGTAAACGGCATGCGGTATGAAAAGAGCTCTTATGTAACCTACTCCGGTCCGCCACAACGACAACGTTTTCTTCCATGAGGCGCATGACGTTGCTGATATCGAGATTTGAGTTGACTGAAAACCTGGAGGAAAAGGAGCTTATGGGTACTAAAAGCGTAGTATCGTTCTTAACTTGTGTGAAGCTCTGAACACAATAAAAAAAAAATATATATATATATATATATATATAATGCCCGGTTATTGAGTTTGATATAAACCTCTCAATCATTGAAAATTAAAATTTCTTCGATAGTGATTGGCTACAGTACAAAAACTCGTGTCATGTCTAAAAAGTGGCAGAAAATCCTTCCCCCAATCCCTAAGGGGTTGAAGGTCAATATCTGTATGATTACTTTTTTATTGTCTGGGAGGTTTCCCATGCAGCTAGCTAGCCTCGACTTCTTGTGCGAAGCATAGTTTTTCTCAATAGCTTCCCACCATATCAAACAGGTCGTTGAAATTTTCTCGAGTCAGTCGGGAATTGTTTTCGAACTGCAAAGTGTTCTCTTCTCTTGCTCTGAAATTTTTAGTATTCACGCGCGACGCTCGCGATCCGATCAACTAGCCAATCATGTTTAGAATTCTTGAACTTAACACTGAGGTTGACGTGGTCGCTAGTTCAACCTTTATTTAGAAGGAAGCAGTTGTGAAAATTTAATAGTTATGTACATCTCAACTCAAATACGTTTTTTGGTTGGATGGTTGAATATTTCACGCGCCGTGAATCAAAATACACTAACTTTCTAGGGTGAACAAATTTCCCTAAGCCCCCGAAAAAATAACAACTTTAACTTTCGACTCTCGCGTGCTAAGGTCGTTCACCGTGAAACCGCAGCAAATGTGGGTGCCTGCCTACTTACCAAAAGTAATTTTTGGCATTCATATTCGAGTTGGGATGTATGAAAAAATATTTTCAAACTGGCCCCACGGGAAACAGTGAGGATTGCTTTCCCTTGCCCCGAAATGGAAACAAAAAAAATTCTTATAACCTGATGAAGGTAACGGTGCATTTGTCTTTATTTTGCTTTATTCGTTTGTTACTGTTATTCGCACAGTCCAGGGTTGCTTGGTGTACAGAAAGCTCTGAGTTAAACGCTACTAACGAACAAATACTCTCCAGAAATCGCCGATTGTGTTGACGGTCTGATAGGCGCCATCATCGCATTGCATTTCATTGAGGTCACCAACGTTATTCAAGTGGACCCTAAGGTGATACGCATTTACTTTGAATGCGGGATACCAGTATAGCCTGTTTTGATCTTCACCATGTCCCCACTTTCCAACTAAGTACTCTCCACTTACTAGTCCCCAATCTTTGCAAATGTCAGCTAACTTGGAATTGTCATCCCACTTCAAACTCACAAACGAACCACAGGCATCCGGTTGCTCATCTGTCTGACCGCTGAAGTACTGGACCACAGCTTCCCCTGAGCTGTTGGAAGTAGTGACCACGTGGAATGTGCGTCCCTGTTTCTTGTGGCAGTGGAATCTCAGCTGAGTGAAGGACAAGTGTCTTCTGAGCTCTTTCATGGCACTTTTCTGCAGAACCATATATGACTTACCTATCCCACGGTATGATGTCTCAACTGACACCTTAGAAGAGGGGCTGCCGAACTCAACATTTGACACCAGAAGCCAACCTCCTAAAATAAAACAAACCTAAATGATCTGGTGACATCTATGTAAATAGAATTTTGGACATATTAATAGTGGTAACAGAACCGAGCGGAGTCCAATTTTGCCATTGTTTTAATTAAAAACATAATACGAATAGCCAAGACCAGAACGTTCCAATAACAACTGCACCAAGTCAAACATACTCCGGTTGAAGTCCTCGTGTCTCAAAAAAAAATCCATCCTCTTACCACCATATCTTGACATGTCACAATAGACCTTCAAAGGGTTTCCACTCTTCTCTGGGTCGATCCAATACTCCCCGTCTCCTTTGGAGTGTCCAGAGTTCAGAATTTCCTTACAGGAGAAGGCCGGATGAGCAGAATCCAAACCTCGTTTACCTGCATCGAAAAAGGGTAGAATAATCATTTGGAACGGTGAGAGGATCAAAGTAAGAAACAAAACACGCCACAGAGGTCTTATTCCATAAGTTGTTGCTTTTGCGTAATTATTAGATAGCTCATGATTTTGGAAATCTTTGTAGGATCCCTAGCATCTTTCAATTCAAACTAAGAAAATGGAAAACCTATCATTATAAGGAAAAGCAAGAGATTTTAAACTTCATATTCTCTCAGGAAAGGTTATACATGCTATGTTATACATATGCTGACCAGAAGAAAGAAATAGGTCACCACTTTTCGCTTGGAAAGAGGGGGTGGGAGGGGTGGGAGGGGGCATCTCATGGTTTTCAAAGGAAACTGAGGGAGGATCAGTCGTCGCTAACAGAGTTTAAAGGTGGGACTAAAGAAAATTGGCGGCCAATGAGGTAGATCGATAGAATAATTCGGAACGTTATGGAAGGATCAGGAAAACTTTATTGTGACGACCAAAATACTCCGACCCTTCATACCCCCCCTCCCCCCTCCCACCTCCTCTAACTTTCCCATAATGTTAAGCACCTTACTCACCAGTACCTCTTCCATAATAAGTAGAACGTGGGTTACGCCTCAGGTTTTCCGGACTTGATTTTTCGGTTTGGTTACTCAGTTGACATTCCTTCTTTGCATCATTAGGATGGGATTTGCTGTTGTAAGATTGGCATTTTTCATCTTGAAGGCATCTCAATCCACAGCTTATTTCGTCAGTGTATAATGTCTTGGTGATATGACCAATTAGCTCAAATCCTAGAAAAAAAAACACTATCGTGTTTTATTTTATCATCACACAGTTTACTTTGGATACTTTCATGATACAGTTTGTGTGTAGTAGTTTACCTTATCTGAAGAGGTCATCTTGATTCTTGATAGTGCACAAAGGTAAGTATGAAGTAGCCCTAGTAGTTATGAGAGTTGAGCGTAGAAAGTTTCTGCTGTTTTTTTCATGGGGGATCTGTTGTGGCAGAGTATAAAAGGGGAAGTATTGAAAATTGTCTGCCAATGGGGAGGACCGTAAGATTATTCCAGAGCCTTATTGGGGGCGGGGGCGGGGGAGAGGGAATGTAAAGTTTATCATGACGCAGCCAAAATGTGTCATCCGATCCGACTTTTCGCCCATGACACTTGAAATATTCACATCCCGTCGGAAAAAAAAATCTCTATGTCGGGAGGTATAAAACATTCACATGTTACCTTCAGTTCTCTCGAAAACCTCGTCCCCGCTCAAGTCAGTTCTAGCAGACGAACTGAAAGCCACAAGATACAAAGCAACACCACTCAACAGAACGGGACAGAATTGGAAACCAACTAGATGCCCTCTCATCCTGTAATTTAAGAAAGAAAGAAAAACAGATGACAAATGTCGCCTTTTTCCCTTTTTTGATGCAAGAAATATTTTGTGACCTTAGGGTTTTGTTAATTACAATTTTGCCGTCTGACTTGGCGATAGAATGCGAGGGCTTTTTAAACTACCAAGTTATATAAAACTATCTTCCCTGCTAAGGATTAATTCTTGTCCGCTGGCTTGCACAAGTTACTCACCCGATAGTAAGTAAATACATCGAGTTTCTCACTCACACTCACCTTCCTTTTCTTACTTCTCCTCGACTCTCCTTCTCACGTTTATGCGGTTGTAAAGGTCTTTTGTATATATACTTCTCACTCAAACGTATTTATCGAAGCGGCTGACTATTCAAGATTTATGTTGTTGTCAAAGTTGAAGAGCAATCTTCTTTTGAAGTTTAAATTAACCAATTTCTCCAAATTGAATGACTAGGTTACTACTTGAAACCAGTATATTCTTACCTTCAGTTTCTTTCCACTCCTCTCTTATTTTTGTATTGAAAAACTCGAAGATCAACTTTTCATACAATTTTAATGAAGCTTGAGACAATAATTAAAAGAAATAAATAGAAACAGCTCGAGAACCCATACATAAATTATGCATCAGTCAACTTTGCACGAAGTACTGATCACGACTTGGGGTTAGCGTTTCTTTACATTTGAGTAAAGCATGGGGGCATTTGACTTTAATAGAAGCAAACCTAAATTATTCGGATTTTTTTGGTTATCCGGATTTCTTTTCTTCTGTACCCGGTTTTTTATGAGTATCAATTAGTCGCATTCAGGATACAAAACAACTTTTTCCCACCAGAAAAGCTAAATTCGCCCAGTGAAAAAGTGCTACAGGATGTAATTTCAAGGTTAAAAGTTTTCTTCAGTGATGAAACTGACAGGATTCCTTCTCACATTCTAACTTCTACATTTATGAGTCACAGTGTGTCGGTATATCTGTTGTACCATACATGTTTTTGTGTGTTCCTGTTTTGCACCCGTGTTAGTTAAATCTAATAACCGAAGCCAATATGCTAAGAAATATATATTTCTTTCGATGCTCTAATTATTTTCTCACCTTTTGCCCCCTCTAGCTACCCTACTAATGGTGTTTACTTTCGCTTACAGACAATTCTAATACAGACACCTGGCAAGGTTGATAAACTAAGCGACTAACTGATTCCAAAGGAAACAATGAGTTTTGTTTCCACGGAAGGTCAAGGGAAAGCAATTCTCACTGTTTCCCATGGGGCCAGTCACTTTGATTTTAATTTTCAAAAGTGTTTTGTCATACCTCCCAACTCGAAAATGACTAAAAAATTATTTTGTTTTCACAGGCTGGCACTCACATTTGCTGTAGTTTCACAGTGCACGACCTTATCACGTGAGAGTCGAAAGTTTAAGTTCTTGTTTCCCTAAGGGCTAAGTGAATTTTGTTCACTTAGAAAGTTGGTGTATTTTGATTCCCGGCCCGCGATATGCAGTAGAGTGAACTGCGCGATATGATCTCCTCTAATCAGAAAACGTATTTGAGTTGAGAGGTACATAACGATTAAATTTTCACAACTGCTTTCTTCTTAATATAAGGTTGATCTAGTGCTAAGGAAATTGACCACGTCAACCTCAAGATCAAGTTCAAGGATCTAAATATGATTGGCTAGTTGGTCGAATCACGTGCGTCGCGCGTGAATACAAACATTCCAGTGGAAGAAAAAAAGAACGCTTTGCAGTTTGGAAAAAATTCACGAAAAGTCAAAAAAATTTCAACGCAATATTTGATGTGGCGGAAAACTATTAAGAAAAACCATGTCTAGCACGAAAGGTCGAAGCTAGCTGGGAATCCTGGACGAAAAAAAAGTAATCATACAGACATTGACCTTTCAGGCTTGTTTTTACAAGGTGCCTTACAGCAAATAAATCCTTTTCTTCCAAGAATTTGATTCAAACGAAAGAAAAGTGAACAGTGAGGAAACAAGTCGAAAAACTTGGTTTGCCTTGGATTAATTTTCCAGAAAGTTTTACTTAGTATTCATGGCTCGAGTCTTAATTAACACATCGAACTGACCAGAACTTAAATCTATACTCGCCCCAGTCCCAATGTATACCCCACGGCATCCGTTCAACAGATGAGCGAACGAACGAAAAATGACTATGATTTTACTTTATGTATTTTAATTTTTTCTATCAATTTCGCTAGTAAAGTTTTTTTTTTGGGTAAAAATTCATGCTTAGTGTTTCCATTGCCCTTGACACAATTTTACATAAGCTTTCACTATTCTTTCACGTGCCTTACCATTCCCACACAACAATCCAAAGTTCTCGCAGACTACAACTTTCCGAAAAAAACAGATACTAATTGTCTTTAAATTCGGCTTTTCGTTTCCCTAAAAAAGCTGTCATCCCTTCCTTTCGATCGTCCTGCGAAATGAAAGAAAAGGAGAAAATTTTCCTCAGGGAAAGTTTCATCGCAAGTCTTTACAAGTTCACTATACTGTTATTCATCACCATGGTAACAATTGAACAGACGGAGTAAGTTTCTAGAGAAACTGTGGTGCTGCGACGGATGGGGTATCACAAATATCATTTTTATCAAAAGCGTTGATAATGCAAAGTGGCCACCATAGAGAGTTTCTAAAGCTGACGTTCCTAACCTTAGCCGTTCGTCAGAGCGAATAGAGGGATTGTGCGTGGTGTGTAGTTTACATGCAGAAAGATGGAGCTGGGCTTTTGGTGAGAACATAGGAACATTTTCATGTTTTAAATTGAACTTACATCGGTTGCGCAGAAGACGTGAAGAGTTCAGTGGATTGCTCTAAATCAGAGAGAGCAGGTGATATGTTTTCGGAAATGGTTGAGTGGCTTTACCACTTTGTATTGCAATTGCCCTCTTCTTTCAAGTGTAAACGCCGATCAATATTAACTTACTGTTGAAAATTTTGAGTGAAACATTCTTTCCTCAAAATGCAGTCCTTCTCGTAGCCTAACAAATAAAAGAGGAAAAAAAGGATTTCAGACGCCTGAACAAAAAGACATTTGGGAAATTCAACGGCCTAAGGAACTCTCACAATAGTCTCGCACTAGAACAGTCAAGTAGAAAAAATAATTGTTTTGAGATTAACTACTAAACCAACGAGAAACAACTAGCGATGGACAAGATTAACGCCGATTGCAGTAGAAATAAAATCCTTCGATTAATCGAAGTATAACTCATAGCAAGAAACAGCCAATGGGACGGTTACAACTGCCAGGGTAATACCTGTGTTGGCGATCTGTGCAGCGATCTTCGACAAGGATGATGTTTTAGAAGCTGTCTTGAAAGCTTCATTGACGAGCCCTTCTGCGGGGAAGACTTTACTAACCAGGCCTAATAAAAAATAGGAAAACTGTCTAATTCTGTCATTTGAATTTGAATCTGGGCAAAGAAACATCTCAAGAATGAGTGTGCACCAGTTTTATCACAGGAGGGCATGCCCCAAGTTCACAGTTTAGTCCTTTAACTTAGCTGAACAATTTGAAGTAACGCGGCCTCAACTACGACTTTTTGAAAAAAGTATATTGAGCAAATCTACTCCAATCAACACGAAGAGAAAGGTTGGGGCAAATAAATTTTTCAGAGAGCTTTTAATAATAGAGGAGTACTGAAGACATGCAAGTTTACGTAAACTCTAAAAAACGTCTTCGGAAGTGAACGGTTCCTTCGCGGAAATACTAACAAACAGAAGGGAAAAATCTACGCCTTTAATTCAAATTTTGCAGGCTTGCACAAGTGTTTAGCATAAAAAAGTGTGTCTCCGTTGCAGTCCTTGGTGATGTGGAAGTATTGTACACATTTCTCAATAATTTGTGTGAGAATTTCCTAGTGCCACCGGGAAGACTTGCGATGCTAAGTACCTTCCTCCTTGACCCTTTAACCCCCAAGATCTGATTGTTAATTCTCCCCTCTAGCTGCTACACATTTCCTTTTAATTAGTTACGAGAATTTGACGTTAGATCAATAACAACTTAGAACTGATAAGTTAAATATTCTCATTATCTGTTTGCTGGATGATGTATATTTATTACAGGGAGAAGTTGCATGTTGATCAATTTTGTAAGGTAAAGAGGTAATGATGAACAACCGGTCAAAAATAGGAGCTAAGTTGAAAGGAACATGAACCTGATTTCTGTGCATCTTCTGCTGAAATAGGATCTCCTGTTAGTACCATTTCCATAGCCAGAGACTTCCCAACAGCTCTTGGAAGTCGCTGTGTACCACCGGCACCTAAAAAAATCAAAGTGCTCTGTGAGCAAACTCGTGAATTGACACGATTTTTTGGATTATTTTTAATGTTATCTGGTTTAGGGAATTTTGAGGTTGATTGTCATATCTAGAGTACGAGCAGTAGTCCAGTGTTCGCTAATGTAGCAAAGAAACAAAGTAACGTTGGGATAAGAAGGCATTACAATTGAAATGATCATGCTATCACATTTGACAAGGGTGGATGATGTAATGTGTTTTAAACGTGTATCATTTTTGTTTCCGGTTCAAAAGAAAAGGTTGGAATTAAATGTGGGTGAAAAGTGAAATTTACTGTCTATCATTGTAAATATTAGAAAATCAAGGCAATACTGTCTTAATGAAAAAATTAACGATTCCCTCTTTATCAAATGTGACCAACGGGAACGAGTTTTGAGTGATGTAACTAAGCCAAGGCTGCCACCGTCATTTTGGATCTCTGCCTGGGTAGATTTTAGTCACGTGCTAGGAAACGTATAATCAACAAAAAGATAGAATTTCATTTCAGGCCTATTTATCAATTTTGTGGTGTATAACTTTCGCATTTTAGTACTTTATATGTATTTTAAATCTTCAAATTGTCTTGAAACTTAAAAGGAAATTGTTCTTTAAAAATTCACTGAAAATCGCTAGCTAAAATTGTTTGTTTAGGTGTTATTTGATTTTCGTGTTAACTTGTAATTTCGTCAGTCGCCGGCATCTTTTGTTGCTTCACACAGGAAAAACACACGATACGAAACGTAATGATCGATTTTGTCCTCAATCTCACGCCATAACAGAAAAAGCTTTTGAACATCTGTTAACTCCGAGCGCTTCGCAGTAAGTGATATTTTCAATGAATCTTCGGATTGTTTTCAAGTTCAAGGATTGTAAATTACAATTTTATGAAAAACGAAGATTGTTCTGTTATTTCAATGTGAATCCTTGCATGCCTGCCAGTCGCTGGCGCCGCTTGTTGAAACTAAAACGAAAAAAAGAAACTCTTTTAAAATTATTATTGGCTTCTTTTTCACCCCACCACTATTCTGAGCAACAAAGGTCGCCATTTCGTTTGTTTATTGCTCGCCAAAAACTATCAAATGCACTCAAAAGCCTAAAATCGAAAAAAAGTTTTCAGGAATCGACCAATCGAGCGAGCGAGCGAGCGAGTGCTATTACCCACATTGTACCTACAACTCGCTCTTGCGCATGCGCGCAATATACGAGTTAATGAAAGAAATCTTCGAATTAGTTGCAGCTTTAAGCACAAACTTAAGCTTGACACAGTTAACCCTTTAATTCCCAGATCAAATTTGTAATTCTACTTATTGTCAACCATACAATTCTTATAATTTTAGTTTAAAGAATTTAATATTGGATCAACTAATTATCCCCAAATTGAAATTTTTCTTTATTCTCACCACTTATCTGGTTAATATTGTATCGATAGTGTAAAGAGAAATTCTGTCTTGGTCACTCATGGGAGTTAAAGGGTTAAAGAACATAAAAGCAGCAATATAAGAGAGTCTAGAATAAAAAAATATCCATTTCATAAAACTGAAAGCCATCTTACTCCTATTATCTTTCCTGATTACAAGTCTTTACTTCCCCAAATCATATCACCTTTTTTTAAGTTAAAGCAAATTTTAACTCTTTGACCCCAAAGAGTGACTAGCATCTAGTTTCTCCTTACAATGAGAATGCTAATTGTGCGAACGAGGTGTGCGGACGAATATCTGATCGCTCCGCGTTAATGCAATTTTTTTCCCCTAACTATGCCTGATACGAATGTTAACTCGCTTAAAAAAGAAAATGAAAGCCTCAAATCAGAAATTGCTGCTCTAAAGAAAAATTTTGAAGACTTTCAGAATTCCCTCAAACTTAGCGTCAACGATGCTAATGTCTCCGACAATGGCGGCGAAGCGAGTCGACCGGCGATATCACAGGACGAGACTTTGAACACCCTCCAATTTTATGGCAAGTCTTACGATGACCTTCGCCAGGAAGCGGATAAAAGTTTACAACAGCTCTGGGCGTGCCTGAATGTCCTGTCTAAACGAGTGGAAGAGATTGGGAAATCCATAGAGTTGATTCAGCGCTACAGCTATCAATACAACGTAAAGATCGTCGGCCTCCCTGAAATAAAGGCAAGTGAGTCAGCCTCCGACACAACTACAATACAATACAATACAATATTTATTTGCCATATACGACATTTACACATGGAAAAAAAAAAAATGAAGAAAATTGATGACAGAAAATAAATGGCGAGAAAACCTGAAAGAAACCACGAGGCTTATAACAAGTCAGGCTTTCTCACTTAAAATAACTAATCTTATATTAGAATTACAATATAGACTTATGGTAATTAACTTTGACCGCGCACACGTCCACACACACACACGCACACACATATTAACTAAGTTAGTTAAGAATTACTGCCTTACAGAAGCTAATACTTAGAGAGAAGAAATTCCTTAAGCTTTCTTTTAAAAGAAGCGGAGGAGGGAGAACTAGTTATGTCAGAATTTAACGAATTATAAAAGTTTGGACCTTGAAAGTAAATTGAAAACTTCCTGGTGTTCGTTCTGCACAGTGGCAAACGGAAGGACTGAGCATTCCTAGTATTATAATTGTGGATTTGACTATTCAGTAAAAAAAAGTTATTGAATTTGGAAGGGAGTGTAGAGTTCTTGAATGAAAACATAAAAGTACCTAATTGAAACGAATGGATATCATGAAATTTTAAGAGTTTAAGTTCCTTTAAAATAGGGCCAGTATGGGCAATGTATGTAGAATTGCTTACTATTCTTAACGCACGTTTCTGTAAGGTTACAATTCTTTGAAGGTTTGACTTATAGGTACCAGCCCAAGCTAAATTGCAATAATACAAATATGGAAGGATCATAGAATTGTATAAAGTACGAAGGGAGTGAGTAGAGAGAAAAAACCTAGATTTATGAATAATACCTATAGATTTGGATAATTTATTTGCTGTTAAGGATATATGCGATTTCCAGGTCAAATTGTCGTCTAATAAAACACCCAAAAACATGGTCTCAGAAACACGAAGAATAGGCTGCTCATTTATGAAAACTTGAAATTCAAAGGATTGCTTCTTTTGCCAAGGCTTGAATACCATAAAATTGGTCTTGGCTAAATTCAAGGAGAGCCGGTTTGCTGCAAACCAGGTTGACAATTTGTTTAATTCTCTATTTAATGTGTTAATTAGGTAAACAGGGTCATTATGGGAGATAAATAAGTTTGTATCATCAGCAAACAAGATTGCATCAAGCAGGGAAGCATTGTTCAAATCATTAACATACAGGATAAAAAATAAGGGACCAAGAATAGAACCTTGAGGCACCCCACAGGAATCCCCTGTGGGGCAGATCTAACGTTATTAAATTCGACAAATTGTGTCCTCTCAGAAAGATAACTTTTGACCCATTCTAGTGCCAGACCACGGATCCCATAATGATTGAGTTTTTCAAAAGAATGTCGTGATTTACCGTATCGAATGCTTTTGAAAGATCTAGGAATACTCCAATGGCATGTTCTTTTCTATCAAATGCAGAAGAAATTTTGTCACACAAATCGATAAGCGCAAGGCTAGGAGAGCGATTTTTTCTAAAGCCATATTGATTATCACATAAGACATCGGAGTCATTGAGATAATTCATAATACGGTTGTAAATTATTCGTTCCAAAAACTTTGAAAAGCACGGTAGAACAGAAATAGGTCTGTAGTTGCTGAAGAGAGCTTTGTCACCTGATTTAAAAATAGGTATGACACGAGCAATTTTCAAATCATCCGGAACGATACCATGAGTAATGGAGAGATTTACAATGTGTGTTAATGGAGAGGAAACGCTGCATATAGATCGCTTTATGATAGACATAGGGATATTGTCATACCCAGCCGATTTTCCCGCCGGAAACGTAGATGCGATATCTATAATCTCCTCCTGAGTTGCTAAATTTAGGAACATTGACTGAGGGAAATGACCAGGAAGAAAATTCTTATACGAGGTCGTAGGTTGAATTCGTTTAGCGAGGTTTGGTCCAATATTGCTGAAGTAATGACAAAATCGATTAGCAATCTCCATTGGGTCAGAAATATCTTGATCATCAACCTTAAACACAGAGTTGGGTTTAGGTCTCAATTTCTTGCTGTTTAGTACCTCATTAAGCAGACGCCAAGTGGCTCTTATATTGGATTTTGACTCGCTTAGCCTCTTATCATAATATAAACGTTTCGCGATTCGTAGGGAGTGATTCAGTTTGTTCTCATAAGTTTTATATTTCGCTTCGTTCCAGAGAGAGGGGTTTGAAATATACTGCTTGTATAGTTTGTTTTTCTGCTTGACAGATTTAAGTAAGCCCTGGGATATCCACGGTTTCCTAAAGTGAAGGCGACGCTTAAGTTTCTTCAAAGGAAAATGTGTTTCGTAAGCTTTAGTGTATCGCTCAAGAAATTTGCTGTAGCAGATTTTAGGATCATTATACCCGTCTATATTGAGCCAATCAATACAATCTAATTCCTCTAGGAAGTTGGAAATGTTTAGCTCGCTTTTGACACGGACAAATATGTTCTCTTGGTGTTCGCGGGTACACTTATGATCGAAGCAAATGGAAAAGATAGGCAGATGGTCCGAAATATCCGTTATTAATAGTCCAGACTTCAAATAACTGTGCTTGACATGGTTAGAAAAAATGTTGTCAATCAGAGTTGCAGTGTGAGAAGTAATTCGGGAAGGTAACGTGATTAACGGAAAAAACAGGTGAGAATACAGGCCATCTAGGAATTCCCCGGTGGCGTTGTGGTTTTGATTTTTTAGCAGATTCAAATTAAAATCTCCCATTATATAGCATATCTTGTTGTCCAGAGATATTTTCCCTAATATTTCGTTCATTCTGGTCACGAAATCATTTACACTATGTCTTAGCCTCTTTCAAGCTGCAGGAGTTGAAGTTTCTATTCAAGATACCGATATTGTCCATCGTATTCCCACCAGAAACGCCACTTCCAGCCTGAGACCAGTTGTTTGCAAGTTCAAAAGGAGTACTGTTAAAGAGAAGGTCATGAACGTATGGAAAGATGCATGCAAGTTACAGCTTCTTCAATTGGTTTACCTGCCGATCGCACACTAGAGAACGTGAAGCTTTTGATCATCTAACTGCGCAAGTTCAACAACTTGTAATGGCTTCCGGTTTTGTTGGTGTAAGAACTTCACCATCTATCTACGGCAAACCGAAGACTCCCGCCCTATCCAGTTCAAAACCCTTGACGAACTTGAAAGGTTTGCTCGGCAAGAGAGCTTACCTTTAAGCTAAGTACTCTGAATTTGTAACTTAGTCTGTAATTTAATTTGCTTCTTCTATGATGGCTGACAACACACCCTTTCAATCTTTCCTCCCTTTTAAGCACTTGGATGATAGTTCCTTTAATTTAGCAGTTTATGAATTTTCTCATGGTCCCTTGAGTTACGATGCCGACCGTCTTGAAACATTATTATTCAATCCTGTTGAAAAGCCCGAATCATTTAATCCACTTTCTAGCCATCTTCTAACCTGCCCAATAGTGGCTACATGGTTGAGGAAGATCTGAACAATCGAGTAACTTCTTTTGGTGACAAAACAAACTTTTCTATTATACATTTCAACACTCGAAGCTTAATAAGAAATTTCGATCAACTTAATTTATTGCTAAGAAATCTTAATATGCCGTTCTCTGTGGTTGATGTGTCAGAAACTTGGCTAACTGATTGCACTGCAGAGCACGTAAATATCAGGGGATATAATTTTGTCTCCAACCATCGTAAATCGAAAGCAGGCGGCGGAGTTGGAATTTATTCACCAAACGGCCTTGAATACAAACTTCTCGAAGAATGCAAATATTCAGATCCAGATGTAATTGAGTCACTCTTCTTGGAAATTATTGTTCCCCACGGAAAAAATTTTATTGTTGGTTGCGTCTACAGACCACCAAATCAAAATGCTGCTATGTTTACTGACAAATTCAACAATATTCTCTCACTAATTTCCAAAGGCAATAAACACTGTTATGTGATGGGAGACTTTAACCTAGACCTTCTCCAATACAATCATCATGTTCCAACACAGGAATTTATTGACAGCTTATTTTCACACGCCTTTCTTCCTCTCATCTCCAATCCAACACGCCTCACCTCATACTCTGCGACGCTAATTGACAACATATTCACCAACAACCTTGCCCCTAGTGTTTATAGCGGCATTATTCTAAATGATTTATCTGACCACTTACCCGTTTTTGCATATTTTGACGACGCAACTCTAACGCGCAGCACAGAAAGAAGAATTGTGATGCGCGAATCATTTGGAACGAGGAGAGGATCAAACTTAGAAACAAAACACCTCACATAGGTCTTATTCGAAAAGTAGTTCCTTTCGCGTGATCATTAGATAGCTTTTGATTTTGGAAATATTTGTAGGATACATAGCATCCTTCTATCTCAAATTAAAAAAATGGAAAAGTTATAAGGAAAGGCAAGAGATCATAGACTTTATATTCTCTGAAAAGTCCTTAGGAGAAGTAAGGAATAGGTCACCATTCTTCGCTTGGAAAAAGGGAGTGGGAGGGGTAGGAGGGTCTTACGGGGGGGGTGGGGGTTATCCTGGTTTTCAAAGGGAACGGAGATGGGATCGGTCGTCGCTGACAGACTTTTAAGGTGGAACCTAAATTGAAAATTGATTTGAAAATTGGCTGACTCAATTAATTGTGAGAACCGAAATGCTGTGACCTTTCCTTCCCCCTCTTCTATCCTTCTACCCAGGTGGTAAAAATATGACTTGTTCCTAAGTACTCAACAGTACCTCTTCCATAATAATTATAACGTGGGTTACGCCTCAGGTTTTCCGGGACTTGATTTTTTAGTTCGGTTACTCAGCTGACATTACTTCTTTGCATCACTAACATCGGATTTGCTGTTGTAAGATTGGCATTTTTTATCTTGAAGGCATCTCAATCCACAGCTTATTTCGTTAGCGTATAATATCTTGGTGATACGACCAACTAGCTCAAATCCTAGAAAAACAGTCGTGTTTCATTTATTTTCGGCAAATGGTTAATAGTAGGCCCCAATGGCTTAAGAGCGCATCAATCTACTCACCGGAAAGTGAAATGGTTTAGCGTGACGACAAAAGGTTTAGTACAAACCAAATTGGTTTAGTGTTACAGCAGTTGGTTTACGCCGTAACCGCCAAAAATACAAAAGTGAATTGAACAAGTCAAGCTTGAAATGGAACAGTCTATGTGAGGTCTTACGTCACAATCCTATAGTTTGTGTAGTTTTTAGGCGCCCTTTAGTTGTAGTTTCGTCGTCTTAAAACAATGAATCACTTTCTTACGTTTCCTACCTATGATTCTGACTTTAAATGTGCTGTTGCGCAAAATTATGTATTTTATCTGTATTTTTGTCATTCCTTTTGTTTCAGATTCATATTTTATCTTGAGGGAGTACAATGGAGAATTCTTACCATGGTCACACGTAACCATGGTAAGAATTCTCCATTTAAAGTACAGCAGTTTTCACTATAAACTATTTATAACCATGTAGTTTTAAACTATAAATTTTTTTTTGAAGTTTGAAAGCGCCCTCTAGTTGTAGTTTGGCCGTCTTAAAGTAATGAATCACTTTATCACGTTTCCTAGCAATAGTTCCGACTGTCTAGACTGTAAGTGTACTGTCGCGTAAAATGATGCATTTTATATGTATTTTTGTCATTCCTTCTATTTCAGATTCTTATTTTATCTTGAGGTGGTAAAATAGAGAATTCTTACCATGGTTAGGCGTAAGGCCGATAAGGATCAAATTGAAAACTAGAAAAATGAACGGAAAATCCTCTCTCGACAATTAGCTAAATACAACAAACATGAGTCATAGCTACTATTCGTTTACAGTATTTTGTCACTAACAATCGAGCAAATCTGTACGCGTGGCATCGGCATTGTATTACTGAGAGAACATAGATACCACTGGTCTTTAAACATGCAATATCCAGTCTCAACCTCTTAGCGAGATTGTTGCTCATGTAAGTTCAGTGGACTTCCTAACACAGAGACCTTCGATATGGTAGGACAACCCCCTCTGTATGGAATGACTATTATTTTAGCTTCCTAATTGTAAACTGCATGCGGTATGAAAAGAGCCCTTACTTACCTACCTACCGACCTACTCTGGTCCGCCACAACGGCAACGTTTTCTTCCAAAGGGCACATGACGTTGCTGATATCGAGATTTGAGTGGACTGAAAACCCGAAGGAAAAGGAGCTTATGGGTGCAAAAAGCATAATATGGTTCTTGACTTGTGTCTAGCTCTGAACACGATAAAAAAAAAAAAAATAATAAAAAAATTTATATGGATATATTATGCCCGGTTATTATGTTTGATATAAACCTCTCAATCATTGAAAATTAAAATTTCTTCGATTGTGACTTGTGTCAAGTTTAAAAAGTGGAAAAAAAACTCCCCCCAATCCCTGAAGGGTTAAAGGTCAAAATCTGTATAATTACTATTTCATTGTCCGGGAGATTTCCCAGCTAGCCTCGACCTCTTGTGCTAAGCATGGCTTTTCTCAATGGCTTCCCACCATATCAAACAGGTCGTTGAAATTTTCTTGTGTCAGTAGTGAGTTTTTTTCGAACTGCAAAGTGTTCTTTCCTCTTCCTCTGGAATTTTTAGTATTCACGTGCGACGGTCGCGATCCGATCAACTAGCCAATCATGTTTAGAGTCCTTCAACGTAACGTTGAGGTTGACATGGTCACTAGTTCAACCTTTTATTTAGAAGTAAGCAGTTGTGAAAATTTAATTGTTATGTACCTCTTAACTCAAATACGTTTTTTGATTAGATGGTTGAATATATCACGCGCCGTGAATCAAAATACACTAACTTTCTAGGGTGAACAAAATTCCGTCAAACAGCGGCAAGTGTGTGTGCCAGCCTACGTACAAAAAGTAATTTTTGACAGTCATATTCGGTTTGGGATGTATGAGAAAATATTTTCAAAAATAAAATTTAAAATGACTGGCCCCACGGGAAACAATGAAGATTGCTTTCCCTTGCCCCGAAATGGAAACAAAAACAGTCTTTTAACCTGATGAGTGTAACGGTGCATTTGTCTTTATTTTAATTTGCTTTATTCGTTTTTAACTGTTATTCGCACAATCAAGGGTTGCTTGGTGTACATATAGACGCAACTAACGAACAAAGACTCTCCAGAAATCGCCGTTTGAATCAACATTGTGACCGAAGCCATCATCACATTCCATTTTCTTGAGGTCACCAACAGCAGTCAAGAAGACCCTAAGGTGATAGCATCCATTTTTGAAGACGGGATACCAGTATAGCCTTCTTTGATCTTCACCATGTCCCCACTTTCCAACCAAGGACTCTCCACTTACTTGTCCCCAATCTTTGCAAATGCCAGCTAACTTGGAATTGTCATCCCACGTCAATCTCACAAACGAACCACAGGCGTCCGGTCTCTCTTTTGTCTGACCGCTGAAGTACTGGACCACAGCTTCACCTGAGCTGTTGGAAGCTGTGACCACGTGGAATGTGCGTCCCTGTTTTTTGCGGCAGTGGAATCTCAGCTGAGTGAAGGACAAATGTCCTCTGAGCTCTTTCATGGCACTTTTCTGTAGAACCATGTGTGGCTTACCTATTCCACCGTATGATGTCTCAACTGACACCTTAGGAGAGGGACTTCCGAACTCAACATTTGACACCAGAAGCCAACCTCCTAAAATAAAACAAACCTAAATCATCTGGTGACATCCATGTAGCTAGAATTTTGGACATATTAAATGGTAACAGGACCGAGTGGAGTCCAATTCGGTCTCTTATCATACGAGTGATTTTCAGAATCATACGACCGCAAAGCGGGAGTCCGATTTGTTAATCACTCGTATCATTACAGACAGAATTGGACGACAAGAAGGCCTGTTACCAATTAATCAAAACTATGACAAAATTTGAGAAAGAAACTAGACATCGGTTACACGTTTTCATAAAAACGAAAAACAACAGTTTAATCGGCGAAATGCGAGTCAACAGCGCGCACATGACGCGTTCTGTCCACTCGCGCAGGCATGACGCGTTAACTGTCCCTTTAACGGTCCTATTACACCGTCCAATAACAAGTATGACGCGTACACTGTCTTGTTGTGCTCAGATCGGCCAGCTGGTGATAACCAATCATAATAAGGATATTTCTAGAGAAAGCAAAAATAGCCAAGACTAGAACGTTCCAATAACAACTGCTCCAAGTCAAATATACTTCTGTTGAAGTCCTCGTATCTAAAAAAAAAAAATTCATTCTCTTACCACCAGATCTTGACATGTCACAATAGACCTTCAAAGGGTTTCCACTCTTCTCTGGGTCGATCCAATACTCCCCATCTCCTCTGGAGTGTCCAGAGTCCAGAGTCCAGAATTTCTTTACAGGAGAAGGCTGGATGAGCAGAATCCCAACCTCGTTTATCTGCATAGGAAAAGGGAAGAATAATCATTTGGAATGACATACGAGAGCTCTGAAAAGCGCTAATCAAAAGTAAGAAATAGGTCACCATTTTTGACTTGGCCATGGAAAGAGGGGGTGGGAGGGGTGGCAGAGTCTTGGGGGGGGATATCATTTTTTCCAAGGGAATGGAGAGGGGATCAGTTGTCGCTAACAGAGTTTAAAAGTGGAACTAAAGAAAATTGGCTGCCAATGAGGAAGATCGATAGAATACTTCGGAACGTTATGGAAGGATCAGGAAAACTTTATTGTGACAACCAAAATACTCCGATCCTTCATACCCCCCCATCCCACCTCCTCTGACTTTTCCATAATGTTAAGCACCTTACTCAGCAGTACCTCTTCCATAATTAGTAGAACGTGGGTTACGCCTCAGGTTTTCAGGACTTGATTTTTTGGTTTGATTACTAAGTTGACATTCCTTCTTTGCATCATTAGCATCGGATTTGCTGTTGTAAGATTGGCATTTATCATCTCGAAGGCATCTCAATCCACAGGTTATTTCGTCAGCATATAATGTCTTGGTGATATGACCAATTAGCTCAAATCCTTGAAAAACAACACAATCGTGTTTTATGTTCTCATCACTCAGTTTATTTTGGATACTTTCATAATACAGTTTGTGTGTAGTTAATTACCCTGTCTTAAGAAGTTATTTTGACTCTTAATATCGTACAAAGGTGAATATGAAGAAGCCCTGAGAGTTATGAGAGTTGCACGTAGAAAGTTCCTGTTGTTTTTTCCCAATTTTGGGGCGATCTTATATTTTTTTTCCAGGGCGAACTGCTGTGGCTAACAGAGTATAAAAGGGGATGAATGGAAATTTACTACCTATGAAGGGGATTGTAGGAATGTCACAAAGCCTTATTTGGGGGGGAGGGATCAAAATCTGTGTCATCCGATCCCAATTTTCGCCCATGGCACTTGAAACACTCACATCCCATCGGAACAAAATATCACTGTGTTGGGAGGTATAACACATTTACGTGTTACCTTCAATTCGCTCGAAAACCTCGTCCCTGCTCAAGTCAGTGTGCAAAGACGAACTGAAAGCCACAAGAAACAAAGCAACACCACTCAACAGAACGGGACAGAAATGGAAACCAACTAGAAGCCCTCTCATCCTGTAATTTGAGAAAGAAAGAAAAACAGATGACAATTGTTGCCCTTTTTCCCTTCTTAGATGCAACAAATAGTTTTGATTGTGAATTTAGGATTTTGCTAAATGAATAGGAACAGCTTGGGAACCCATACATAAATTATGCATTGGTCAGTTTTGCACGAAGTACTGATCACTACTCGACTTTTCTTTCACGTTTATGCGGTAGTAAAGGTCTTTTGTGTATATACTTCTCACTCAAACGTATTTATCCAAGTGGCTTAATATTCAAGATTTATGTTGTTATCAAAGTTAGAGGGTAATCTTCTTGAAACCAGTATATTCTTACCTTCAGTTTCCCTCCACTCCTCTCGTATTTTTGTATCGAAAAACTCTTTTATCAACTTTTCATACAATTTTAATGAACTTAAAGGTAGAGGAATCCTCACCGTTTCCTGTGGTGCTCGTCCCTTTTTTTTTTTTTTTTTTTAAAGTGTTTCTCATACATCCCAACTCGAAAATGACTGCAAAAAATAATTTTTATAGGCAGGCTGGCACACACATTTGCTGCGGTTTCACGGGGAACCCCCTTATCATGTGGGAGTCGAAAGTCAAGTCGTTGTTTCCCCGGGGGCCAAGTGACTTTTGTTTATCCTAGAAAGTAAGTGTATTTTGATTCACGACTCGCGACATGTTCAGCCCTCCAATCAAAAGATGTATTTAAGTTGGGCATTGCATCACCTGAGAGTCGAAAGTCAAGTCGTTGTTTCCCCGGGGGCTCAGCGAAGTTTGTTTATCCGAGAAAGTAAGTGTATTTTGATTCACGACTCGCAACATATTCAGCCCTTCAATCAAAAGACGTATTTAAGTTGGGCATTGCATAAATGTCGCGTTCAGAGCTCTCTACAAGTCAAGAATTATATTATGCTTTTAGCACCCATAAGCTACTTTTCCTTCAAGTTTCAGTCGACCAAAATCCCGATATTAGCAACGTTATGTGCCCCTTGGAAGAAAATGTTTCCGTTGTGGCGGACCGGAGTAGGCTATGTAGGGGCTCTTTTCATACCGCATGCATGTTTACAATTAGGAGGCTAAAATAGTCGTCATTCTATACGAGGGGGTTCTCCTATCATATCAAAGGTTTCTGTATCAGAAAGTCCACTGAACTCACACGAGCTAAAATCTCGCTAGGAGGTTGGGACTGGCCATTGCTTGTTTGAAGACCAGTGGCATCTATGTTCTCTCAGTGATGCAATGCCGATGCCTCGATCGCGAGCAGATTTGCTCGATTGTTCATGAAAAAATACTGTAAAACAAGTAGTAACTAGAGGTCATGTTTGTTCTATGAGTTAATTCTCGAGAGAGGATTGTTCGATCATTTTTCTAGATTTAAATTTAATCCTTACAGGCCTTCGGAAACAAAAGAATTCTAAAACTAATCTGAATGCATCCCCTTACGGAATAAGATTGATAGAAAAATTGATCCGTCAGTTAAATTGTCAAATTATCACCTGTACTGATCTGTAAATAACGTCTTTCTGATTTACAATTTACGTTAACAATTCAGTTGATAAAACCAAATTATTTTGTCATACTTCCCCACCGACACAGCACCGCTGTTTCTCTAAAAACTTACCCCCTTTATACTTCAGACAAAGTTCCTCGTGCTCTCAAAAACTTGAACGATTTGACTTTGAAATGGATGAAATAACAAATTGTAAGATTTAAAAAAACATCTTGCCCTAATATTTATTTATATTCACGCGGAAATCAGTATATTTACATATTCCGTGACCAAACAAAAAGGAAAGTCTATCTCTTTGAACCTAAATTGTTCTCGGAAACAAATAAAGCTTCATAAACTACTACATAGAAAACCGTGTTTATCTCATTGACTCCTTTAGGATCCGGTGCATGTAAAACTATAAGTACATGATAAAAACAGTGGAGCACTGTCGGTAAGCCTACCACAAGGAAGAAGCGAGTGTCAGACATGTGACCTAATTAGATATTTGTGCGCTAAAACGGCTTTATAATCCACAGCTGAGGGTAACGGTGCATTTCTTGTGTTCGTCTTTGTTTTCAGTCTATTCGTTTGATGAAGTTATTCTCACAGTCAAGGGTTGCTTGGTGTACAGACAGCTCTGAGTTAAACGCAACTAACGAACAAAGACTCTCCAGAAATCGCCGATTGAGTTAACACTCTGAGAGGCGACATCATCGCATTCCATGTCGTTGTCGCTATTCAAGTGGATCCTAGGTTGATACTTAAATAGTCAGAAGGTAGGGAAGCTGTATAAACTCTTTTGATCTCCACCATGTCCCCACTTTCCAACATAGTACTTTCCATTTGCTAGTCCCCAATCTTGGCAAATGCTAGCTAACTTGGAATTGTCATCCAACGTCCATCTCACAAACGAAACACAGGCATCAGGTTGCTCATCTGTCCGACCGCTGAAGTACTGGACCATAGCTTCACCTGAGCTGTTGAAAGCTGTGACCACGTGGAATGTGCGTCCCTGTTTCTTGCGGCAGTTGAATCTCATTTGAATGAAGGACAAGTGTCCTCTAAGCTCTTTCATGGCACTTTTCTGCAGAACCATATGTGACTTACCTATTCCACGGTATGATGTCTCAACCGACACCTTAGGAGAGAGACTTCCGCACTCAACATTTGACACCAAAAGCCAACCTCCTAAAATAAAGCAAACCTAAATGATCTGGTGACATGCGTGTAAATAGAATTTTGGACATATTAATAATGGTAACAGGACCGAGTGGAGTCCAATTCGGTCTGAAATCATACGAATGATTGTCAAAATCGTACGACCGCAAAGTGGGAGTCCGATTTGTTAATCACGAGTATCATTAGAGACAGAATTGGACGACAAGAAGTGCTGTTATCAATTAATCAAAACTGTGTTAAAATTTGAGAAAGAAACTAGACATCAGTTTTCATAAAACTGGACATACGTTTTCATAAAAACAAAAAAACAACAACAAAAAACTCGGCGAAATGCGAGACAACAGCGCACACATGACGCTATCTGTCTATTTACGCAGGTCTTATTCCATAAGTAGTTCCTTTCGCGTAATTATTAGATAGCTCCTGATTTTGAAAATCTTTGTAGGATTCATAGCATCCTTTAATTCAAACTAACAAAATGGAAAACTTATCATTATAAGGAAAAGGAAGAGATTTTAATCTTCATTTTCTCTCGGGAAAGGTTATACATGGATGTACACGTGACTTGAGAGAGCTCTGAAAAGCGCTGACCAGAGTAAGAAATAGTTCACCATTTTTTCGCGTAGAAAGAGGGGGTAGGAGGTACTTCGAAGGGGGGGGGGGATCTCATGGTTTTCAAGGCAACAGAGAGAAGATCAGTTGTCGCTAACAGAGTTTAAAGGTGGGAGTAAAGAAAATTGACTGCCAGTGAGGAAGATTAGTAGAATAATTCAAAACGTTATGGAGGGATCAAGTAAATGTTATTGTGACAACCAAAATACTCCACCCCCCCTACCCCCACCTCCACTAACGTTTCCATAATGTTAAGCACCTTACTCAACAGTACCTCTTCCATAATAAGTAGAACGTGGGTTACACCTCAGGTTTTCCGGACTTCATTTTTTGGTTTTTCTTTGTATCACTAGCATCGGATTGGCTGTTGTAAGATTGGCATTTCTCATCTTAAAGGCATCTGAATCCACAGCTTATTTCGTCAGCGCATAATGCGTCGGTGATATGACCAGTCAGCTCAAATTCTAAAATAACAACACAGTCGTGTTTCATTTTATCATCATGTAGTTTACTTTGGATACTGTGGCCAACACAGTATAAGGGGGGAGGTATGGAAAATTGACTGCCAATGAGGAGGATCGTTATATTGTTACAGAGCCCTATGGGGGGGATGGGGGGGATCATGTAAAGTTTATCATGATACAGCCAAAATCTATGTCATCCGATTCGAGTTTTCGCCCATGGCACTTGAATTATTTACATCCCGTCGGCAAAAAGAAAATCACCACGTAGGGAGATATAAAACATTCACGTGTTTTCTTTATCTTTCTCGAAAACCTCGTCCCTGCTCAAGTCAGTGTGCAAAGACGAACTGAAAGCCACACGAAACAAAGCAACACCACTCAACAAAACGGGACAGTAATGGAAACCAACTAGAAGCCCTTTCATCCTATGATTCGAGAAAGAAAGAAAAGCAGATGACGGATTTCGTCCCTTTGCCTTAAGCTTCTTAGACGTAGCAAATAGTTTTATGAGTTAAGGGTTCTGTCCATTACACTTTGCCTGAGTCGGCGAGAGAATGCGAGGGCTTTTTAAACAACTGAGTCATATAAAGGAATCATCCCTGAAAAGAATGAAAACTTGTCCGCTGGCTTGCACAAGTTACTCACCCGATAGTAAGTAAATACATCGAGTTTCTCAATCAAACTTACCTTCTGTTTCTTACTTTTCCTCGACTTTTCCTCTCACGTTTATGCGGTAGTAAAGGTCTTTTGTATGTATACTTCTCACTCAAACGTATTTATCGAAGCGGCTGACTATTCAAGATTTATGTTGTTGTCAAAGTTAGAGAGCAATCTTCTTGAAACCAGTATATTCTTACCTTCAGTTTCCTTCCACTCCTCTCGTATTTTTGTCTCGAAAAACTCTTTTATCAACTTTTCATACAATTTTAATGAACCTTGAGGCAATGATTAAAAGAAATAAATAGAAACAGCTTAAGAACCCATACATAAATTATGCATCAGTGAACTTTGCACGAAGTACTTATCACGGCTTGGGGTTAGCGTTTCTTTACATTTGAGTAAAGCGTGGGGGAATTTAACTAGAAACAAACCTGGATTACTCGGATTGTTTTTATTATCCGGATTTCTTTTCTCCTGTACCCAGTTTTTTTATGAGTATCAATCTGTAGCATTCAGGATACATAGTAACTTTTTCCCACCAAACAAAGCTAAATTCGCCTAGTGAAAACTGAAAGAACTGCAAGATGAAATTTCAAGGTTAAAAGTTTTCTTCAGTGATGAAACTGACAGGATTCCTTCTCACGTTCTAACTCGTACATTTGAGTCACAGTGTGTTGGTATATCTGTTGTACCATACATGTTTTTGTGTGTTCCTGTTTTGAACCCGTGTTAGTTAAATCTAATAGCCGAAGCCGATATGCTACGAAATATATATTTCTTTCGATGCTCCAATTATTTTCTCGTCTTTTGCACTCTAGGTAATATACCCTGCTAATATTGTTAGGCAACATAACCCTTTGGAGATCAAGTTCTTCTCTGCTTAACTTGGTTAAAAATTTACCTCATTTTCTCAGTTTGTTTCAATTAAGATGATGGCTTAGAAACAATCAATTTGACTCGTATGAATATTAGTACGTCATGATGTTTTGGGCTATTTCGGTCACCAGAAAAAAAGATGGTTTCGAGGTAGAACAGTCAAATAGGATAGGTAACTGTTTTGAAGTTGACTGGTAAACCAACAAGAAACGTCTAGCGATGGACAAGATCAACACCGACTGCAGTTGACATAAAATCTTTCGAATAATCGAAGTATAACTCACGACAGGAAACAGCCAATCGGACGGTCACAACTGCCAGGGCAATACCTGTGTTGACAGCTTCTTTGGTGATCTGTACGGCGATCTTCGACAAGGATGATATTTTAGTCTCAGTTGGCAAATTGGAAAGAGAGTCTGAAGACTGTAAACATATATATGTATGACATTTAATATTTTGCAGCCTACATTTAAGTTATTATGGGAAGTGAATTTTTCTGGAATTATTTTGCTTTCACTGACCATTATTCGGCAGCTATGTCCAGGATTGAATGCAGGTGTTTTTCTAGCAAATACTTCATGTATGAGTGGATTTTTTCCCATTTTCACACCACTTCATATTTGACAGAATTATGTGTGTTCGGGTGAACTTTTATCAGTGAGGACACTTAATTATGCTTGTGTTAAAGAGCCTGAAATCCTGGACATATCTGCTATTTGGAGGCAGCTACAATTTTTATTCTGTTTAGAGTTCTCTAGTTCTCCATCAGATGGAGCACCCCAATATTTTCCTCAGTTTAAGAAAATATTTTCTTTTGAAGATAATGTTTTTACAAGTTTCAATGTTTTTTGATTTGGCTCAAAATGCTAAAATTGATGATATATCAGAGTTGAAGAGACATGCAGATTTCACTGTAAAGATTTTAAAAAATTATGTTTTTGAAGTGCAGCTAGTGGTACTTTTAGTCAATTGAATTTGTTCTTCAGTTGCAGTTTCAAATATTAGGAGTGTTTCAAATAGATCTGATGTCGGCACAAGATTTAATGTAAGGTGGCATTCCCAGAATGTTCGCCTTGATTCCTTAGGTTCATGAAGTTCACATAATTATTTGTTCTTCAAACCTTTACACTCATTTTTGCAAAATGCTTGATATAGAAGTTTAGACATTGGAATATGTATCTAGAAATCAGTTTTCTGCTTATAGTTTGTGTATATAATTTTTCAGACAGTCATCCTACCAATTCAAAGTCTCAATTATACTGTTCTAAGGGTTTAAGTTTTGCTTCTTTTTGGCTTTAGAGAGAAAAAAATGTGTAAAGTAAAATAATAGTGCAAGACTCAAAGGCTGAAAAACATGATTGTTGTCAGGTTCCATTGTGGAATCTGAATAAATTGTACTGCTAACATCACTGTGCATCAATAAACTTGTTGAGAATGATTGAAAGAGTGCTTATCTTGTCTGGGAGAGGAAAATGGGACAAAATTTTTTCAAAACCTTCAATATTGTTGAGTCTAGGAGGTGAAATCCATCGGATCGAATTTGAAGAACAGTGATTAACCGAGCGCCGGTAAACGCGAGAAAATGCATGCCTTGCACGAATTAATTCGAATTTACCGTTGCAGAGAAATTACTGGAAAATGCATGTTTTCGACTGGTTTACTCCAGTGAATATGAAGTTGGAGTGCGCAAAACGACTGTGAATGGCAGAATAGCCGTTATTTTCCATGGGATAACCGAACAGTAATAAACGGTAAGACGCCGGAAAATGCGTTTCATCGAGTTTGCTCGAATTCACCATTGGGAATATTAGAAAATGCATGCTTTCGAATGGAAAACTCTTGTAAAAATTTCGTTTAACGTGCGAAAAATGGTTCTGAACAGAAGAAAACATGACATTTTCTATGCGTTATACGAACGGCAAACACAGGAGATCATTATGTTTTCTTGCATTTGCACCCATTAATCTTCCAGGAAAATGCATGTTTTCAGCCGCTGACTCCGGTGAATGCGTTGTTGTACACTTGGAAAATGCCAATGAATAAAAGGAAAACATGCTGTTTGCAGTGCGTTAAGCGAGCGGTTAATGCCGGAAAATGATTTGTTTACCTGTATTTACCGCGGAGGAAAACTATCGTATAATGGGACGAATACTGGGATTCACCGATGCGAAAACGCACAGAAAACGTTGGATTTTCCGTACGCATAAAATCAGTAAACGTTTTAAATGCTGCGATTTCCGTGAATTCAATATTCTTTTTCCGTACGGTGAACGCTAATTTTTTGGCCGGGATATTTTTTCAGCTGTCTTGATAGCTTCATCTATGAGCTCTTCTACGGGGAAGACTTTACTGACCAAGCCTAAGAAAAAATGAAAGTTTTTAAGTCTGTAATTTGAATTTAAATTGAAGAAAAATCTCGAGAATGTGTGCGCAATGCCCCACCTGACAAAGCCGACGCCAATAATTCTCAGACGTTTATGTAGTTTTATCACAAGAGTGCATGCCCCACTTCATACTTTTATTAACCCTTAAACCTAACTGAACAACTTGAGGTAACGCGGCCTTAACTGCGACTTTTTGAAAAAGCATACAGAGCAAATGTACTTGAATCAAAACGAAGAGAAAGGTTGGCGCGAATAACTTTTGCCGAGAGCTATTAGTAAGAGAGGAGAGTACTGAAGACATGAAAGTTTACGTAGACTCTAAAAAACGTCTTCGGAGGTGTCCGGACATCTTTGGAAGTGACCGGTTCAGTTCGTACACGGAAATGCTACGCCTCGACTCGAATTTTCCAGGTTTATACAGGTGTTTAGCAGAGCACTGACTTAGCATAAAACAGTGTGTCTCCGTTGCAGTCCTTGATGATGTGGAAGTACTGTATATATTTCTCAATAATTTGTGCGAGAATTTCCTTGTGCCACCGGGAAGACTTACGATGCTAAGTACCTTCCTCCTTGACACTTTAACCCCCAAGATCTGATTGTTAATTCTCCCCTCTAGCTGCTACACATTTCCTTTTTAATTAGTTACGAGAATTTGACGTTAGATCAATAACAACTTTGAACTGATAAGTTTAAATATTCTCATTACCCGTTTGCTGGATGATGTATGTTTATTACAAGGAGAAGTTGCATGTTGATCGATTTTGTAAGGTAAAGAGGTAATGATGAACGACTGGTCAAAAATAGGAGCTAAGTTGAAAGGAACATGAACCTGATTTCTGTGCATCCTCTGCTGAAATAGGATCTCCTGTTAGTATCATTGCCATAGCCAGGGACTTCCCAACAGCTCTTGGAAGTCGCTGTGTACCACCGGCACCTAAAAAAATGAAAGAAATCTTCCAGTTAGTTGCAGCTTTAAGCACAAACTTAAGCTTGACACAGTTAACCCTTTAACTCCCAAATCAAATTTGTAATTCTACTTATTGTCAACCATACAATTCTTATAATTTTAGTTTAAAGAATTTAATATTGGATCAACTAATTATCCTCAAATTGAAATTTTTCTTTATTCTCACCGCTTATCTGGTTAATTTTGTATTGATAGTGTAAAGAGAAATTCTGTCTTGGTCACTCATGAGAGTTAAAGGGTTAAAGAACATAAAAGCAGCAATATAAGAGAGTCTAGAATAAAAAAAATATCCTTTTCATAAAAAAGCCATCTTACTCCTATTATCTTTCCTGATTACGGGTCTTTACTTCCCCAAATCACATCACTTTTTTTTTAAGTTAAAGCAAATTTTAACTCTGACCCCAAAGAGTGATTAGCATCTAGTTTCTCCTTACAATATCAGCCCTGAATCACACATTAAAGTCATGAGAATAAAGGAAATGATCATCAATCAAACAAGCTCTTGATTGTTAACTAAAAACAACAGTTTACTCGGCGAACACATGACGCGTTCTGTCCCCTCATACAGGCATGACGTGTTAAAGGTTCATTTAACTGTCCTATTACACTGTCCAATTACGTATGTATGACGCGTATACTGTCTTGTTGTGATAAAATCGGCCGGCTGGTGATAACCAATCGCGTTCGAGAATTTTGTTACAGTTTCGATTAAAAAACATAATAAGGATCTTCGTAGAGAAAGCACGAATAGCCAAGGCCAGAATGTTCAAATAGAAACCGCTCCAAGTCAAACATACTCCGGTTTAAGTCCTTCTGTCTCTAGAAAAAACTTATTCTCTTATTACCATATCTTGACATGTCACAATAGACCCTCAAAGGGTTTCCACTCTTCTCGGGGTCGATCCAATACTCCCCGTCTCCTTTGGAGTGCCCAGAGTCCAGAATTTCCTTACAGGAGAAGGCCGGATGAGCAGAAATAACTTTAGTTTCTCTGAAAAGCGCTTAGTAGAAGTAAGGAATACGTCACCATTTTTCGCTAGGAAAAAGGGGGTGGGAGGGGTAGGAGGGTCTTGCGGGGGGAGGGGGGTATCCTGGTTTTCAATGGGAACAGAGAGGGGATCAGTCGTCGCTGACGGAGTTTAAAGGTGGGACTAAAGAAAATTGACCAACTCGATTTATTGTGACAACCAAAATGCTCCGACTTTTCCCTCCCCCTCTTCTCCGCCCAGGTGATAAAAATATGACTTGTTCCTAAAGTTAAGCACCTAACGATACTTCTTCCATGATAAGTAGAACGTGGGTTACGCCTCAAGTTTTCTGGACTTGATTTTTCAGTTCGGTTACTCAGTTGATATTCCTTCTTTGCATCATTAGCATCGGATTTGCTGTTGTAAGATTGGCATTTTTCATCTTGAAGGCATCTCAATCCACAGGTCATTTCGTCTGCGTATAATGTCTTGGTGATATGACCAATTAGCTCAAATCCTGGAAAAACAACATAATCGTGTTTCATTTTCTTATTATACAATTTACTTTGGATACTTTCATAATACGGTTTATGTGTAGTTGTTTACCCTGTTTTAAGAGGTCATCATATGAAGAAGCCCTAGGAGTTATGAGAGTCGCGCGTAGAGATTTTTAGGAGGATTTGTTGTGGCTAACAGAGTATAAAGAGAGTCAACACCTCAGTGTGCAAAGACGAACTAAAACCCACAAGAAACAAAGCAACACCACTTAACAGAATGGGACAGAACTGGAAACTAACTAGATGCCCTCTCATCCTGTAATTTGAGAAAGAAAGAAAAACAGATGACAAATGTCGCGTTTTCCCTTTATCGATGTAACAAATAGTTCTGATTGTGAATTTAGGGTTTTGTTAATTACACTTTGTCTGACTCGGCGAAAGAATACGGAGGGCTTTTCAAACTACCAGCTCATATAAAGGAACCTTCCCTGCTAAGGATTAAAACTTGGCTTGCAAAAGTTACTCAACTCAGTGTCGAAATGACAAACGGTTTAGCTAACTGTACTTTGGTTCAGTGACTTGACACAAACAGTTCAGAGTAGTGTGAAATGGCTAAAGCTATCGGCAAATGGTTGATAGTAGGCCACAATGGCTTAGTAACGCATCAATCTACTCACCGGAAAGTGAAATGGTTTAGCGTGACGACAATAAGTTTAGTAGAAACCGAAATGGTTTAGTGTTACAGCAGTTGGTTTTCGCCGTAACCGCCAAAAATACAAAAGTGAAATGGACAAGTCAAGCTTGAAATGGAACAGTCTATGTGGGGTCCTACGTCACAACCCTATAGTTTTTATAGCTTTTAGAGGCTTTCTAGCTGTAGTTTCGCCGTCTTAAAACAATGAATCGCTTTATCACGTTTCCTAGCTATGGTTCTGACTGTCTAGACTGTAAGTGCGCTGTCGCGTAAAATGATGCATTTTATCTGTATTTTTGTCATTTATTTTATCGAGGTAGTAAAATTGAGAATTCTTACCATGGCTAGGCGTAAGGCCAGTAAGGATTAAATTAAAAACTAGAAAAATTAACGGACAAATCCTCTCTCGACAATTAGCTGAATACAACAAACATGAGTTATAGCTATTATTCGTTTACAGTATTTTATCATGAACAATCGAGCAAATCTGCACGCAAGGCATCGGCATTGATACCACTGATCTTTAAACAAGCAATGTCCAGTCTCGACCTCTTAGCGAGATTGTCGCTCGTGTGAGTTTTAGTGGACCTTCTGACACAGAGACCGTCGATATGATAGGAGAACCCCCTCTGTATGGAATGACGACTATTCTAGCCTCCTAATTGTAAACTGCATGCGGTATGAAGAGAGCTCTTATGTAACCTACTCCGGTCCGCCACAACGACAACGTTTTCTTCCAAGAGGCACATGACGTTGCTGGTATCGAGATTTGAGTCGCATGAAAACCTGGAGGAAAAGGAGCTTATGGGTACTAAAAGCATAGTATCGTTCTTAACTTGTGTGAAGCTCTGAACACAATAAAAAAAATATATATATATATATATATATATATATATATATATATTATATATATATATATATATATATATATATATATATATATATATATATAATGCCCGGTTATTGTTTGATATAAACCTCTCAATCATTGAAAATTAAAATTTCTTCGATAGTGATTGGCTACAGTATAAAAACTCGTGTCATGTCTAAAAAGTGGAAAAAAATCCTCCCTCAATCCCTGAGGGGTTGAAGGTCAATATCTGTATGATTACTTTTTTATTGTCTGGGAGGTTTCCCATGCAGCTAGCTAGCCTCGACTTCTTGTGCGAAGCATAGTTTTTCTCAATAGCTGCCTACCATATCAAACAGGTCGTTGAATTTTTCTCGAGTCAGTCGTGAATTGTTTTCGAACTGCAAAGTGTTCTTTTCTCTTGCTCTGGAATTTTTAGTATTCACGCGCGACGCTTGCGATCCGATCAACTAGCCAATCATGTTTAGAATTCTTGAACTTAACACTGAGGTTGACGTGGTCACTAGTTCAACCTTTATTTAGAAGGAAGCAGTTGTGAAAATTTAATAGTTATGTACATCTGAACTCAAATACGTTTTTTGATTGGATGGTTGAATATGTCACGCGCCGTGAATCAAAATACACTAACTTCCTAGGGTGAACAAACTTCCCTAAGCCCCCGAAAAAACAACAACTTTAACTTTCGACTCTCGCGTGCTAAGGTCGTTCACCGTGAAACCGCGGCAAATGTGGGTGCCTGCCTACGTACCAAAAGTAATTTTTGGCATTCATATTCGAGTTGGGATGCATGAGAAAATATTTTCAAACTGGCCCCACCGGAAACAGTGAGGATTGCTTTCCCTTGCCCCGAAATGGAAACAAAAAAAATTCTTATAACTTGATGAAGGTAACGGTGCATTTCTCTTTATTTTGCTTTATTCGTTTTTACTGTTATTCGCACAGTCCAGGGTTGCTTGGTGTACAGACAGCTCTGAGTTAAACGCAACTAACGAACAAATACTCTCCAGAAATCGCCGATTGTGTTGACGGTCTGATAGGCGACATCATCGCATTGCATTACGTTGAGGTCACCAACGTTATTCAAGTGGACCCTAAGGTGATACGCATCTACTTTGAATGCGGGATACCAGTATAGCCTGTTTTGATCTTCACCATGTCCCCACTTTCCAACTAAGTACTCTCCACTTACTAGTCCCCAATCTTTGCAAATGTCAGCTAACTTGGAATTGTCATCCCACTTCAATCTCACAAACGAACCACAGGCATCCGGTTGCTCATCTGTCTGACCGCTGAAGTACTGGACCACAGCTTCACCTGAGCTGTTGGAAGTGGTGACCACGTGGAATGTGCGTCCCTGTTTCTTGTGGCAGTGGAATCTCAGCTGAGTGAAGGACAAGTGTCTTCTGAGCTCTTTCATGGCACTTTTCTGCAGAACCATGTGTGACTTACCTATCCCACGGTATGATGTCTCAACTGACACCTTAGAAGAGGGGCTGCCGAACTCAACATTTGACACCAGAAGCCAACCTCCTAAAATAAAACAAACCTAAATGATCTGGTTACATCTATGTAAATAGAGTTTTGGACATATTAATAGTGGTAGCAGAACCGAGCGGAGTCCAATTCGGTCTGAAATCATACGAGTGATTATCAAAATCGTAGGACCGCAAAGCGGGAGACCGAACTGTTAATCACGAGTATCATTACTGACAGAATTGGACGACAGTCCAAAGTCCTGTTACCAATTAATCAAAACTGTGTTAAAATTTGAGAAAGAAACTAGACATCAGTTTTCATAAAACTAGACATACGTTTTCATAAAAACAAAAAAAACAACAGTTAACTCGGCGAAATGCGAGACAACAGCGCACACATGACGCTATCCGTCTACTCAGGCAGGCATGACGTGTTAACTGTCTTCTTAACTGTCCCATTACATTGTCCAATTATAAGCATGACACGTACACTGTCCTTTTAGTGCTCAAATCGGCCGTCTGGTGATAACAAATCACGTTCGAGAATTTTGCCATTGTTTTGATTAAAAACATAATACTAATAGCCAAGACCAGAACGTTCCAATAACAACTGCACCAAGTCAAACATACTCCGTTGAAGTCCTCGTGTCTCAAAAAAAAATCCATTCTCTTACTACCATATCTTGACATGTCACAATAGACCTTCAAAGGGTTTCCACTCTTCTCTGGGTCGATCCAATACTCCCCGTCTCCTTTGGAGTGTCCAGAGTCCAGAATTTCTTTACAGGAGAAAGCCGGATGAGCAGAATCCCAACCTCGTTTATCTGCATCGGAAAAGGGAAGAATAATCATTTGGAACGATGAGAGGATCAAACTAAGAAACAAACCTCGCGACAGAGGTCTTATTCCATAAGTTGTTACTTTTGCGTAATTATTAGATAGCTCTTGATTTTGGAAATCTTTGTAGGATCCATAGCATCTTTCAATTCAAACTAAGAAAATGGAAAACCTATCATTATAAGGAAAAGCAAGAGATTTTAAACTTCATATTCTCTCAGGAAAGGTTATACATGCTATGTTATACATACGCTGACCAGAAGTAAGAAATAGGTCACCACTTTTCGCTTGGAAAGAGGGGGTGGGAGGGGTGGGAGGGGGCATCTCATGGTTTTCAAAGGAAACGGAGAGGGGATCAGTCGTCGCGAACAGAGTTTAAAGGTGGGACTAAAGAAAATTGGCGGCCAATGAAAAAGATCGATAGAATAATTCGGAACATTATGGAAGGATCAGGAAAAGTTTATTGTGACAACCAAAACACTCCGACCCTTCATACCCCCCCTCCCACCTCCACTAACTTTTCCATGATGCTAAGCACCTTACTCAACAGTACCTCTTCCATAATAAGTAGAACGTGGGTTACGCCTCAGGTTTTCTGGATTTGATTTTTCGGTTTGATTACTCAGTTGACAT